TCGCTTTGCAAGCGAGAGACCTGAGTTCAATTCCAGGCAGAGGGCGAAACCTTGGGCAAGTTTCCTTACTCCACACGCCTAATAATAATCTCTCCAAAAAACCAAAAACAATAATAAATTGGTCATTTTCAATCTACAACTGTTTGTGGGACATTGCTGTGCGCAATTGGCTGCCGCGTTCGCCCACAGATATACAGTCAATTACAGTGTGATCTGTGAAGCGCTTTGGGACGTCCTCCCGACGTGAAAAGCGCTATATCAAATGCAACGATTATTATTATTATGTCGGATGCTCATGTATGGGTTCAACTCGGTGTCAGGCTCCACTACTGTTAAGTGCTCTGAGATGCTACCCTGCATGGAGGGCACTATATAAATGCAAGTAGTTGTTGTTGTCCATCTCAAAACCTGTATATCATGGCCGAAGAAGGAAAAACTGCAAATTTGTCATCTACACAGAAGCCCTGCAATAACTCAAAAGATCTGCCAGATCACACAGTAAACCCCTTCAGTTAGCATAGCTTTGATAGGAGTCCTCCCAAAAGGAGTCTTCCCAAAAGGAGTATAAATAAAGATAAAATCTCTGTCTGTGTGTCAATCTGCATTCCATATTGGATCCTATGGTTGCAAGCAAAGCTGTAACAGGTACACCTAGCATACAATAAAGTTAATTGCCTTTTTTTCCAGATGACAAAAAAATAAAATTTTTGCAGATGACACTCAAATATCTTTGCCTCCACCCTCGACTCCAGGAACACGGCTGTCCTAACAGAATGTTTGTCAGACATCAAGTCCTGGATGAGAGCTAACTTTCTGCAGTTGAACATCAACAAGACCGAGGCTCTCCTGATTAGCTCCCATCAGAGCATCCACACCTCAGGCACTGACAGCATCACCCTCCAAGGATTATCCAGAACTCTGCAGCCCATGTTACCCACCTCTTCAACCGTGCATTTGGTTACCCTCCTTCGCCCCCTGCTCTCCACCCTCCCTGATCCTGAACCCCAGCCTGGGTCTGAAGCACTGATTGTCCAGCACCTTGGGATGTCCTCCCGATGTGAAAGGCGTTATACCAATGTAATTTTGTTGTTGTTGTTGACTGTTTATTTTGTGGGTGAAATGCAGCAGCCAATTGTGCACAGCAGACTCCCAAAAACAATCGTTGATTGAGTGACCAATTTTTTTTAAGGGATTATTATCCCTGGAAAGTGATCAGTTAATCGACAAATGACTGGGTTCCTACTTTAGGTAAACAGAGGCGGGTGGAGTAAGGAAACTTGCCTAACATTTTGCCCTGTCCAGGAATCAAAAGTGTGTCCTCTTGCTTGAAGGTGAGTTCTTTAATCAATTATGCTTCAGGTGTTCACGCTTGGATCAGAAAATTGTGGTTAGGCTATTCAGAGGCTAATAATATATATTAACCCACTGATATCATTCTTATTTCACAGGAATCTCCCCTGCTGTTGGCCTGATGGGGAGCTTGTTTGAAGGCAATGGTGGACAAACCTACATTCCAATCTGCTCAGGCTTCCTGACTGAAAGGAGATTCCTGAATGGATTATAAAAGGAAGAAAAAGAAACAAATGAAAATCTAAAATAGAATGGGGCTTTAATAAATCTAATTTGCCCACAAATACACAATCACTACATTTTACAGTAAAGAGGTTTGGGATGCCCTCCCAATGTGAAAGACGCCTACAAAATACAGTCACAACACTACATTAAAGCACTTTGAGTCATCCTCTCAATGTGAAAAGTGCTATACAAATATAATTTGTTGTTTTTGTTGTAAATGATGTGAAGTACTTTGAGATGTCCTCCTGATATGAAAAGCGCAATATCAAATCTAAGGTTACTTTTAATTAGTAAAGGAATTTTCTGGTTTCATTCCCTGCATGAATTTGGATCTTTGACTTGGTTTTATTCTACTTTTAGTTAGGTAGTCATTTTAGTCCATCTTAGTGGCACGATAGCAGTGGCTTGCTTTTATAACTATCTTACACAGCTTGAAAAGAATAAAAAGTGCATGTGAATAAAAACACCGCTGCCTGCGCTCCATCGAGTCTGGCCTCCTCCTTGTCCCCCGAATCCTCCACTCCACCATCGGCGGACGTGTCTTCAGCCGCTATGCCCCGAGGCTCTGGAACTCCCTTCTTCACTCCCTTGGTTTCGCCCACTTTCTTTCTATTTTCAGGTCTCGGCTGAAGACCTTTCTTTTCGACCGCGCCTTTGGTCACCTTCCTCCCCCTACCCCTGGCTCGGCCCCGGGATCTTAAACTGTGAAGTGCTCTAAGACCCGTCCGGCGTGGAGGGCGTTATATAGATCCAAGTTGTTGTTGTAAAGCAAGGTGAGGAATAGAAGGAGTTCATTAATTATTGAGAATGAGCTGCATGCCTTACCAGACAAGAAGTCACAATGCAAGTTCCATTCTCATTTGGCTCCTGATTAACCTGCAAGCCAACTCTAATGGACAGGGCGGATCAAGCTGGTTAAACAGCTGGAAACTGACGAGTGTCTCATCCTAGTTCTAGCTGGATCCTTTCCAGCTGTTTACCCACCGCATTTTTGGATCCCGAATGCATTGGCTTCTGCCTCCTCGACCCTGAGTTCTCTTGTCATAGGCTCCTAAAGATAATACAGTTCCTCCTGGGGGTGGGAGGGGGATCTTCTTGGAGCTGAACTGGCTCCAAGGTGACATGTCTGGCAATGTAATGTTGGAATCGAGCCAGTCTGCTGTTGCGGTCTTGGTAGTCCAGTTCCTGAGCCAGATGGGGCCGCACTTTTCCAGGGCGCTGCTGATGACAGCCCAGCCAGCCTTGCTCATCAGCAGGAACTGGAAGAGCAGACTAGACACTGGCGGCAGGGAGTTACCCCACTCAGCTCCTATTAACCCTGCAAGCCGAAGCCCTTATGGGTAGGATGGTCCTCGCTGGACAAGAAGCAGGAAAACTTGCCAGACGAGATCATACAACTAATATCATTTGATCTCAGTGACACACTTCATTTTCTTTATTTGGAGTTTCATTTGTCCTTTTCTCTGTGTTTTTCCCTTTATTATAATCTTTACTTTCCTTTTTTCTTCGGATCTCCAGCGACCTTCCTTACTTTAATAAGTTGCTTGGTTGCGCTAAACTTGACATGTGAAGCAAATTCTTTATCGAGACAGCAACATTCTGTTCCTTCTGTGTGGCTGGGAGCATCAGCGCTGAACCAAGAAGGGTCAGGCGCTGAATTACACCATCAACTTCCCCTTTCATTAACCTTAGTTTAGTCTGGTGACCCTATTACCCTCACCCTTGCACAGCTCCACTAGCTCCACATCTTCTAGAGAACAATGTTCAAAATGCTCATCCGCACTTTCAAGGCGTTCCTCAGCCTTGCTCCTCCCTACCTCTGTGACTTGATAACTCCATACTGACCTGTCTGCTCTCTCCGCTCAGTGAACTCGGGCCTGCTCCAAGACCGCCCCCCTGCCCGGCCCGTCATCAATGGTCTGGCGTTCAGCCTCCCTGCCCCCAACCTTTGGAATTACATCCCATAGTCCCTTCATCTCGTCCCTTCCCTTGCCTGCTTCAAGGCCCATCTAAAGATTCTCCTCTTCGACCTCTTCAGTTAGCTTCCTATGGCCCATCCTTCCGGCCCTCCACCCCTCCGCCAGCTCGGGTGCAAATCCTTGATGTCCAGGACCTTGGGTCATCCTCCTGACGTGAAAGGCTCTATACAAATTTAATTTGTTGTTGTCTCAGGTTTCCCAAACATAAGTAAGTTCTGTAGGTGGGAGTAAGAAGACACAAAGGGACTTAGACAGATTAAGTTAATGAGCAAAGCTGTGGCAGATGGAGTTCAATATAGGGAAGTGTGCGGTCATCCACTATGGACCGAAAAAAGATAAAGCAGAATATTTTCTTAATGGGGAGGAATTAAGAACTGTGGAGGAGCAAAGAGATTTGGGAGTCCGTATCCAAAAATCACTAAAAACTAGTTCCCAATTGCAAAAAGTAATCAAAAAGGCGAATGGAGTGTTAGCCTTTATCTCAAGGGGCCTGGAATTCAAAGGGGAATAAATGATGCTTTAGCTATATAGAGCGTTAGTCCTGGAGGGGGTGCAGTGTGGAATGTTGCCAGGCCTAAAAGGGTTAAGTTACTAGGAAAGGCTGCATAAACTTAGATTGTATTCCCTTGAGTTTAGGTTGCGAGTTGATTTGATTGAGGTATTTAAGATAATAAAGGGATTTGATAGGGTAGATACAGAGAAGCTATTTCCTCTGGTGTGGAATCCAAAACAAGAGGGAATAGTCTCAAAATTAGAACCAGGTCATTTAAGAGTGAATTCAGGGAGCATTTTTTAACTCAAAATGTGGTAGAAATCTGTAATTCTCTCCCGCAAAAGGCTGTGGATGCTGGATCCTTTCACACCTTCAAGAGTGAGGTTGATAGATTTTTTGAAGGTCAAGGTATCAAGGGATATGGGGAGAAAGCGGGAAATTGGAATTGAAAGGATTAGTTGAGGTCCAGATCAGCCATGATCTAATTAAATGTCAGAACGGGCTCGAAGGGCTGAATGGCCTCCTCCTGTTCCTATGTTCCTATTGAAAACCTAGCGTTTGCAATGGTAGCAAATAGACAATTTTGCGAACTTCAATTTCCTTAAGTACATGTTGTTTTGCTAATGAAAAGGAAACTTTGTAGCATGTGCAATTTGACATGTATTACTATTCTTGTCACAATAATTTTCATTAGTGTTAACTTGGCTTTTCTAAATGTTACTGGACTGCTAAATGGAAACAACATGCCATTCTTTTTCAAGAGGAAGAGAAAAAACTATTTCTCAATGTTTTTGGAGGGATTTGCTTTCTTCGACCGGATATTACACTTAAATCTGCTTAGACTGGGGAGTTGGAGTGACAGTCAAACAAATCAGATCCAGTGGGACCATTTCTGTCATCCTCAAACAGTATAAAAGCATTCAACACTTAAAAGTCCATGCTTAAAAACATCTGGCTTAGAACAGACTGCAGCTATTGTGAGTACTCCTTTTAAAACCTTTTTATTTTTAATCAAGATAAAACAAAAAAATCATTTCATTACAGTTATTTAAAAATGTTGGTCACTCTAAGTTAATTAATTGTATTGAAATTAATTTTTCCCCAATAAAATTAGTCTCGATTTTTTGTTAAAAATTCAAACAAATGCTTTGGATCATTCTCCCCATGTGGAAGGTGTTATACCAAATACAAGGATTATTATTATTATTATTATTGTTAAGGTAGTTAAAATTAATGACAATGAAAGAGGTAAATTCATTAATATTAAACCTTACATTTGATATAATGCCTTATCATCATCAAAACGTCTAAAAGCACTTTACAGGATATGGTGTAGAGTTCAGAGATTGTGTATTTTTCAATGCGAACGCAACAGCCAGTTCGCACGCAGCAATGTCCCACAAACAGTCATGAGGTTTATAAAGTGAATAACCAATTTTACCTGGCAGATTGTTGGCCAGACTCCGGGAGAAACCTCTTTTCGAATAGTGTCATGGGATCTTTAACATTCACCTGAACAGCAATTTCATTAAGACCGTTTGAGCGACGATGAGGAAAAAAAATTGGGATTGAGACGGTGCTGAATTAAATGTCTTACCCATTACACAACCGTTTCATATTATGCTGTGATTCTTCACAGAGGCGTCAGTCGATGGAAATGGCAAGCCCCCGGTCAATCGTGACACTGGGCTCGTTTCTTCTGATATTTTACTCCTTCAACCTACCAAAAGAAACGTCAGCTCAAGGTAGGTGGCTTGAGTGGACAGAGTTGCCCACCAGGGAACCTGTGAAAATCAAATTCTATTGAGTAAATAAGAGTTACCCATCAAAATACTTAACTAGGGTTTGCTTATTTTTCACCTCACTTGCAGGTGTGATCAGGTCAAAGTGGTATTTTTCTTCTCTTTGATGGGTAGCCCTAATAGGTAGCCCGAATACACTTCAACTGATGACCATTTTACAGGCAACAGGATGGGCTTAGCTGAATAAGTAATAGGAAGCTTTCCAGACAGTGCTATCAATGACAAGCTATGCAATTTTAGCTGGTTAAACTGTCTCCGAAAGTGTATTCTGGAGTCCCCAAGCCTTAGCTCTCGCAAACCCACATCTAGTACTCTCTGGAATTAGATAATCCGTGTCCGTCCCTCCGGGGAGAAAGTGTACATTCCACTGTAGATATGGGATTTCCATATGTAGGTGGAAATCTCAATCTGGTTTGGATGCTCTTAAGCATGGTGATGGGTTTCTTTATGTGTCAGACACAAGGGTTGAACCCCCAAAAATCTCTGTTGCCCGTAAAATGGTCATCAGTTGAAATTTATTCAACTGGTTACAGCTGAAAATTAGTTATCTTGTACCAGTAAATACCGATTATCTCCATAGAACAGAACTGCTTCTTACTGTATCTGCTCAACATATTTGCTGATCTTATAAAGTGTGTGTTTTTAACGTAATAAGATGTGTGTTCAACACTAAAACAAAAATAATGTGGTTCTACACCCCTTCTCGCCTTGGTTAGTTCCTTTGCTTCATTTAACGATCTGTATGTTTTGCACTGAAAAAATTGAAGAGAGTTGCAGAGGAAGATGTGGTAACAAGTACGAGAGAGGATACAAATGCCAGTGTGATGGTAAATGCCTTCAGTATAATGAATGCTGCAAGGACTACAGATCTCTGTGCACCTCAGGTAACTTTTCACCCGCAATCCACAGTCAATCCACTTTACAATCTATCCTGTGAAGCTCTTTGAGGTGTGATAAGACTCTATATCAAATGCAAGGATTATTATTTTAATTAATATTAATGCGCAAACTGCAGACTTTCTGAATAATTCTTTGCATTTCGAGAACTAACCATGAGTTGGAATTCAGCCAAGCAGAAAATTTAAGATAGTCATGAAAGGGAAGGTTCAGAAATATTTTTGCACTGAAGTGGTTGGAATTTGGAATTCTCTTGCCATAAACTATCGTTGAAGCCAAGTCCATAAATTGTTTTAACAAGGGAATTAGACATCCTAGATGCTTCAAAACAATTTGTGTTTTTGTGCTGTAATATTCTACGATTTACCCACAGAGCCATGACGTTGCTGGTAAAATAATAAAAATGTAATGCTTGCATTTAGAATTGTATAAATTTATAAAATTTATAAAATACAATGTTATATTTGTAATAATATAATTACATTGTATATTATATTATTATATATTTTATAACGATAATTTTATAAAATCATAAAAATATTAATAATTGCCCATAAATTGTATAGTAAATTCACTTTGCAATATATCCTGTGAAGTGCTTTGAGACTTCTCAACAATGTGATAAGGTCCTATATCAAATGGAAGGATTATTATTATTATTTGCTATTCTGCCTTACATGACAGGAGGACAAAGCAATTCACAGGATTTACTGTGAAGTGCAGTCAATGTACATTTTGTAGCCCAAACGCACTGCACAATGCACAATGTATGTAACTCTTTGACAAGACCTGGAGTCCTGTAGCTCAGTGGTTAGAGCCGTCGCCTTGCAAGCGAGACACCTGGGTTCAATTCCAGGCAGGGTGAAACCTTGGGCAAGTTTCCTTACTCCACACGCCTAATAATAATCCTTCCAAAACAAAAACAAGAATAAATTGGTCATTTTCAATCCACCACTGTTTGTGGGACACTGCTGTGGGCAATTGGCTGCTGCGTTTCGCCCACAAATATACGGTCAATTCGTTTTACAGCATAATTTGTGAAGCGGGAAGACGTGAAAAGCCCTATATCAAATGCAAGGATTATTATTTTTATTATAATAAGACACAATATTGTCAGATATCAACAAAGGTCACTCAGCATTCCGTTTAGGCAAAATCTGTTAAGCCAAACTTTACTAGTTCTATAAAGTTACACCACGGAAGGATTACAACAAAGCAATGCTTCCGCGGGACGAGACCTTCAGCAGCCGAAGTTCCAATCTGTCTTGTCTGGTTATTCAAGCTTTTGATTTTCATTAAAAGTCTTCACTCGTGCTGCCCCGATATTTTCCTTCCTTCTGTTCTTTGTTCTCCCTATCTAATGCTCTCATTCCCCTCCCTCTATACCTTCCACCAATCTCTTGTCAGTCATTTACAATCGTTATTTGTATATCCACTCATGGGTCTTCCTTTTACATAGATTGTTATTGTTATTTTACATACCCTATCTTACACCATTCACTGGTTGGCGAATATGTTACAATCTCTCATCAACATATCCAATCATATGTTTCCTTCAACCCTCTTTATTTGTACTGACTCATAATTACATGATCACGTGTTCCATGACTTCTCACCCATTTTGACCCATCGTTAGTATGTTAATTTCGCACACCTTACGCTAACAATATGACATTTTGTTTTCTCCACGATCCACAGAGAGCTCCTGTTCCGGCCGCTGCATGGAGAAACATGAAAGGGGTCGGAAATGTCAGTGTGATACCGACTGCATGAAGTATGAGGAATGCTGCCCTGATTTTGTTGCAAATTGCAGGAAAAGTAAGGAAGCGGCAATAAATTCAGAACGAATGCAATCATTTGAAAATAGATTGTTTAACTTTGGTCTTATTGTGGGAAAGTCAACTGATAGGAAAGTGAGCCTTCTCCTTTAGCAATATTCTATTAAGCAGCCAGAAGTGGAGTCCTGTAGCTCAGTGGTTAGAGCACTCGCTTTGCAAGTGAGAGACCTGAGTTCAATTCCAGGCAGAGCGAAACCTTGGGCAAGTTTCCTTACTCCACACAGAGCCTAATAATAATCCCTCCAAAACAAAAAATAATAAAAAAAATTGGTCATTTTCAATCTACGACTGTTTGTGGGACATTGCTGTGCGCAATTGGCTGCCGCGTTCGCCCACAAATATACAGTCAATTCACTTTACTGTGTGTTCTGTGAAGCGCTTTGGGACGTCCTCCCGATGTGAAAAGCGCTATATCAAATGCAAGGATTATTATTATTATAGAATGAGAACTGGCAAACTCTCCTTCAATAAGGTTGCTTTCAATCCCAGTCAATGTAACTTGTGAGCTAAAGACTATTTCCTGCCCCTCCTTTGGTTCCTGCCTGTCATTACTTGAGAAAGTGATCAGCGTTCTCCAAAGCCTCTGCCAATGACACTGTGTAACCAGTGCGGGAAGATGTACGTGTTGAGCACAGGCTGACTCACTGTCTGCCCTTCCCTGAATGGGCTCATGATGCAAATACATCACGTAGAGGGGTCACAGTTGGGTGCACCCATCTTACTACTTCATCATAGTGTAGCAAGACCTAGGATCCAAGGCACATCAAGCCTAAGATTAATATCCCACTTGTAATGTGCATTTGGCTTTGGTGCAATATGATCTCTTGTAAAGTGCCAACACACAGTATGGGATGGAGTGCATAATCGACCGTTGGACCAAACTTTGTTGTAACCCTATTGCAGCTTATTACTACTAATAATAATAATTAATAATCCTTACATTTGGTATATCGCCTTTCATATCGAGAGGATGTCAAAAATCACTTCACAAGATATATTGTAAAGAGTAGTGACTCTATTTTGCAGGTAAACATGGCAGCCAATTTACACATAGCATTGTCCCACAACCAACCATGAAGTGATGACCAATTTTGTGTTTTGGGCGATTGTTTCCAGGACGCTCTCTTTTTGAATAGTGCCATGGGATCTTTAACATCCACCTGATCAGGCAGATAGGACTTTAGTTTAATGTCTCAACCAAAGGACGGCACCTCTGACAAGGTAGCACTCCCCCACCCTCCACCAATGGAGTGCAAAAAAGGCTTACAAAGTGTATTTTGTAAGCCAAATGGCCAGCTTGCAGTTTCTAATGGTGGTGGGACTTATTTTCTGATCTAATCCATTAAAACTCAGGCACTGAACTCAACTCAATCCTTCCATTGCAGATCAAAGTCCAACAACAGCTGCACCAAAAAACAAACTGATCATGGCATTGAAACCAACCACGGCAAACCCTCTTGACTTCATCAATGATGCACAGGTTCAACAAGATTCTGACAGCTATTTGGATGCTAAATCTCCTCAAGCTATGAAAGAACCAACTAAACCAAGTAAGAAGTAATAACGTCTTGTACTGAAAGATGAGGACATAGCCAACAGGTGGCAATGCATTCATACCGCTATATTTTGCCATGCTAATAAGATGATCAACATTGTGTTTTGGGCGACTGTTTCCAGGACACTATTATGTTTCATCGATTATTTACAGTCAGGTAGCTCAATGCAATAAATTCAATTGGATCAGTTTAAAAGTCTTATCCCAAGGACGGCTGGCAATTAAGCACAGCCTCAGTCCTGCACTGGAGTGTCGGTCTAGATTGAAAGCTCAACTCCTAAAGTAGGGCTTGAACCCCAAGCCTGGCACTATTCTAACAATACCACTATCTAACAACTGAGTTCAGTTAACAAAAGAACTCTAAGCACCTGAAGTACAATTAATTATTGAGCTCTTGAATTACCTAATCGAGTGGTACTTTCTTTATTTCAGATAAAGAAACTTCTAAGGAAGCTTTGGCTACAAATAACTTTACACCCATGAATCCCATCAGCTTTGATGGAAAAAATGCAGAGAATCTCTCATGGCTCACATATAGTCCTGACGTAGAATTTGCATTTGTGACTGAGGAATCTAATACAATCAATTTTGAAACCATTACAATGCTCCCAAACAACTTAAACAAAGAAGGACCTGCACAGACCACTGTTCCAGGACAAGTTGTTACCACAGATCTGAACATAGACAAAGGAGGAAAGTCTCAGCCCACTGAACAAAATATTTTCACAGATGTGAAGATAGACAAGGAAATAACTGCACACCCTACAGAACAAGGAATTACCACAGCTCTGGACTTAGACAAAGTAATTACTGCACATCCCACTGTTCCAGAAAAAGGTTTGACCACAGATCTAAATATAGACAAAGAGGGAACTGAAAAGCCAACTGTTCTGCAACACAGTGTTACCACAGATATGGATATGGATAAGGAAATGACTGTATGGCCCACTGTTCCAGAACAAGGAATTACCACAGATCTGAACATAGACAAAGAAGGAACTGAACAGCCCACTGTTCCAGAACAAGGTTTGACCACTGATCTGAACATAGACGAAGAAGGAACTGAACAGCCAACTGTTCTGCAACACAGTGTTACCACAGATATGAATGTGGAGACGGAAACGACCATATGGCCCACTCTTCCAGAACAAGGCATTACCACCGATCTAAACATAGACGAAGAAGAAACTGAACAGCCAACTGTTCTGCAACACAGTGTTACCACAGATATGAATGTAGAGACGGAAACGACCGTATGGCCCACTCTTCCAGAACAAAGCATTACCACCGATCTGAACATAGACGAAGGAACTGAACAGCCAACTGTTCTCCAACACAGTGCTACCACAGATATGAATGTGGAGACGGAAACGACTGTATGGCCCACTCTTCCAGAACAAGGCATTACCACCGATCTGAACATAGACGAAGAAGGAACTGAACAGCCAACTGTTCTCCAACACAGTGCTACCACAGATATGAATGTGGAGACGGAAATGACCGTATGGCCCACTCTTCCAGAACAAAGCATTACCACCGATCTGAACATAGACGAAGAAGGAACTGAACAGCCAACTGTTCTGCAACACAGTGTGACCACAGATATGAATGTGGAGACGGAAACGACCGTATGGCCCACTCTTCCAGAACAAGGCATTACGACTGATCTGAACATAGACAAAGTAATAACTGTACAGCCCACTGCTCCAGAACAAGGTTTGACCACAGATCTAAATATAGACGAAGAAGGAACTGAACAGCCAACTGTTCTGCAACACAGTGTTACCACAGATATGAATGTGGAGACGGAAATGACCGTATGGCCCACTCTTCCAGAACAAAGCATTACCACCGATCTGAACATAGACGAAGAAGGAACTGAACAGCCAACTGTTCTGCAACACAGTGTGACCACAGATATGAATGTGGAGACGGAAACGACCGTATGGCCCACTCTTCCAGAACAAAGCATTACCACCGATCTGAACATAGACGAAGAAGGAACTGAACAGCCAACTGTTCTGCAACACAGTGTGACCACAGATATGAATGTGGAGACGGAAACGACCGTATGGCCCACTCTTCCAGAACAAAGCATTACCACCGATCTGAACATAGACGAAGAAGGAACTGAACAGCCAACTGTTCTGCAACACAGTGTGACCACAGATATGAATGTGGAGACGGAAACGACCGTATGGCCCACTCTTCCAGAACAAAGCATTACCACCGATCTGAACATAGACGAAGAAGGAACTGAACAGCCAACTGTTCTGCAACACAGTGTGACCACAGATATGAATGTGGAGACGGAAACAACCGTATGGCCCACTCTTCCAGAACAAAGCATTACCACCGATCTGAACATAGACGAAGAAGGAACTGAACAGGCAACTGTTCTGCAACACAGTGTTACCACAGATATGAATGTGGAGACGGAAACGATCGTATGGCCCACTCTTCCAGAACAAGGCATTACCACCGATCTGAACATAGACGAAGAAGGAACTGAACAGCCAACTGTTCTGCAGCACAGTGTTACCACAGATATGAATGTGGAGACGGAAACGACCGTATGGCCCACTCTTCCAGAACAAGGCATTACGACTGATCTGAACATAGACAAAGTAATAACTGTACAGCCCACTGCTCCAGAACAAGGTTTGACCACACATCTAAATATAGACGAAGAGGGAACTGAACAGCCAACTGTTCTGCAACACAGTGTTACCACAGATATGGATATGGATAAGGAAATGACTGTATGGCCCACTGTTCCAGAACAAGGAATTACCACAGATCTGAACATAGACAAAGAAGGAACTGAACAGCCAACTGTTACCACAGATATGAATGTGGAGACGGAAATGACTGTATGGCCGACTGTTCCAGAACAAGGCATTGCCACAGATCTGGACTTAGACAAAGAAGGAAAAGTACAGCCCACTGCTCCAGAACAAGGTTTGACCACAGATCTAAATATAGACAAAGAGGGAACTGAACAGCCAACTGTTCTGCAACACAGTGTTAGCACAGATATGAATGTGGAGACGGAAACGACCGTATGGCCCACTCTTCCAGAACAAAGCATTACCACCGATCTGAACATAGACGAAGAAGAAACTGAACAGCCAACTGTTCTGCAACACAGTGTGACCACAGATATGAATGTGGAGACGGAAACGACCGTATGGCCCACTCTTCCAGAACAAAGCATTACCACCGATCTGAACATAGACGAAGAAGGAACTGAACAGCCAACTGTTCTGCAGCACAGTGTTACCACAGATATGAATGTGGAGACGGAAACGACCGTATGGCCCACTCTTCCAGAACAAGGCATTACGACTGATCTGAACATAGACAAAGTAATAACTGTACAGCCCACTGCTCCAGAACAAGGTTTGACCACACATCTAAATATAGACGAAGAGGGAACTGAACAGCCAACTGTTCTGCAACACAGTGTTACCACAGATATGGATATGGATAAGGAAATGACTGTATGGCCCACTGTTCCAGAACAAGGAATTACCACAGATCTGAACATAGACAAAGAAGGAACTGAACAGCCAACTGTTACCACAGATATGAATGTGGAGACGGAAATGACTGTATGGCCGACTGTTCCAGAACAAGGCATTGCCACAGATCTGGACTTAGACAAAGAAGGAAAAGTACAGCCCACTGCTCCAGAACAAGGTTTGACCACAGATCTAAATATAGACAAAGAGGGAACTGAACAGCCAACTGTTCTGCAACACAGTGTTAGCACAGATATGAATGTGGAGACGGAAATGACTGTATGGCCCACTGTTCCAGAACAAGGCATTACCACCGATCTGAACATAAACAAAGAAGGAACTGCTCAGTCCACTGTTCCAGACCAAAATGTTTTCACAGATCTGAATTTAGACAAAGAAATAACTACGCAGCCCACTCTTCCAGAACAAGGCATTACCACCGATCTGAACATAGACGAAGAAGGAACGGAACAGCCAACTGTTCTGCAACACAGTGATACCACAGGTATGAATGTGGAGACAGAAACGACCGTCTGGCCCACTCTTCCAGAACAAGGCATTACGACTGATCTGAACATAGACAAAGTAATAACTGTACAGCCCCCTGCTCCAGAACAAGGTTTGACCACAGATCTAAATATAGTCAAAGAGGGAACTGAAAAGCCAACAGTTTTGCAGTACAGAGTTATCACAGATATGAATGTGGACAAGGAAATGACTGTATGGCCCACTGTTCCAGAACAAGGCATTACCACCGATTTGAGCATAGACAAAGAAGGAACTGAACAACCAACTGTTCTGCAACACAGTGTTACCACAGATCTGGACTTAGACAAAGTAATAACTGTACAGCCCACTGCTCCAGACCAAAATCTTTTCACAGATCTGAATTTAGACAAAGAAATAACTGCACAGCCCACTGCTCCAGAACATGGTCTGACCACAGATCTAAATATAGACAAAGAGGGAACTGAACAGCCAACTGTTCTGCAACACAATGTTATCACAGATCTGAATGTGGACAAGGAAATGACTTCACAACCTACTGTTCCAGAACCAGGAGTTACCACAAATCTAAACACACACAGAGAAAGAACTGCTCAGTCCAATGATCCAGGCCAAAAAAAATTCACAGATCTGAATTTAGACAAAGAAATAACTAACCAGCCCACTGCCCCAGAACAAGGTTTGTCTCCAGATGAGAATGTAGAGAAGGAAGGAACGGCACAGCCTCTTGTTCTAGAACAAGGTTCTACCACAGATCTGAATGTAGAAAAACAAGGTGCTGGAAAACCCACTGTTTCAGAACAGCGTTTCGGCACGGAATTGAATGTAGTCAAAGAAATGACTACACCACCCACTGCTCCAGAACAAAGTGTTATCACAGTTTTCAATGTAAACAAGGAAACTGCAATGCCCACTGTTACTGAACAAAGTGTTACTGCAGATCTCAATGCAGACAAAGAAATAACTGCCCAGACCACTGTTCTGGAACAAGACATTACAACAGATCTGAATGTAGACAACAAAATAACTGCACAGCCCATGGTTCCAGATCAAAGTGTTATGGCAAATCTCAACGAAGCCAATGAAATAATTGCACTGTCCTCTTTTCCAGAGCAAGATGTTACCACAGACCTGAATTTAGAGAAAGGAGTCACTGCCTCGCCCACAGATCCAGAAGGTGTCACCACAAACAAAGAGGAATCTGCAAAGCTCACTGTTTTAGATGTGACTGTAATTACCAACAATGTAGAAAAGGTTGAAACAATGCAAACCTCTATCTCCACCGTGCAACCTGAATATGAAGACAAAGGACCCACAAGCTCTAAAGTCTTTACATTTAATTCCCTGAAACCAGCAACATCAAAACCTTTCATGGACCAGTCAACAATAGTAAGTCTTAACAATGGAAGTAAGCAATGAACTGTGCAACCCTAGAGTCATCTTTCTGTGTAAATCTTGACTCCCTAATTTTCTCCCTTCCTTTCCTGAAGACAGCACATAATTCAGTCTGGGAAATGGGGTCTTGGACATCAGCACACTTCGGATAGCTCAAACACATGGCCAGTATTCCTGTTTAAACCTGGACTTAATGTCGGCAGGCTGACCAACGTAGCACAATTGCAAGCCTGATGCTGACATCCATACATATACTTTCCAGAGGGGAAGAGCCAGTCAAGGCAAAGCAATTAGTAAGGGAAATCATGACAGATTTTTCCCTGCCTGATTCCAGAGATACTAAGGCTAATTGTCTACCATTGTGTCTGAAATAAGGTAATTTAGCCTTGGGGATTGATCCTAGTCTATGTGGATTCCATTCACAAAGAATCCTATATAGTACTAACATCAGTAAAGAGGGGAGCCTGTTATTGTTGAAGTTGCCAAAGATACAAAGTCTTACCTCTTTGATCATAATATTTGTCATCCTTCCCCTCTCTACCCTCTGTAGCTCCCACACCCTGCCTCACATGCCCATCCAGGTGTGTAACACATTTTGAGACATCCTCCCAAAATGAAAAGCCCTCGATAAATGTAAATTAATTGAGGTCAGTCGCCTCTCTCTCTTTGATGAAATGCAAAGGTTTTTGCATCTTAGTGGGGTTATCTATCTGCGACTCCTATAAAAAAGTGTTTACCTCAGATCAAGTGTACCCATAGATTGGATAGGCTAAAGCATGCTTCCCCAATAGACAAAAACACCAATAAATCTTTGCTTTTGCAGGTGCCCACTGCTGCTCACATATCCAAAGTCACTGATGATTATAAGTTATATGATGACAACTCAAAGTATGATGTTACATTAAAACCGCCCACAGGAACATTCAGACCTCAAGTAAATGTCACAATTCCACCAACTGAAGGTAGGACATGCAATTTACTAATAGACTTTTAATTCCAGATCATGCAGATTATCATGTTGTGGTGGGTGATGCACTTCTTATTTTACCATGGTGGCCATTATTTAAACTGGTCCTAGCCGATGTGAAGCTAAATCTCTTACCAACTCTCAAAATGTTAAATTTCTGATGGAAACTCATCACATCATCCAATTCTACACTGGGGAGCCAATTTTCCAATTGATGTCTACTCTAAATGAATAACCCATCAATTTTGTGGTTGATTTCTAATCATTTATTTTATTTTTAATGTTTAGCTTTCAGTTCCAGTCTGACCTACCCTGTGCTACGCACTCTCCATGACAAAGAGGGCAATTCAATTACTCTCAAGCCTTCCCCAAAGCACAAGATTGACAGCTCACACCCTGTTGGGAAGTGACTGCTCCTTGCTCAACACATCTCCACAAAGTTCTGTGACTGAGATGAAGACCTCATGGTGTGGCCTATCATTACCACAGTGTTGCCCACTCCCATAATGGCGCCAAGCTGTCAATCTGCTATTCATTAAAATATGAAGGAGCTATGTTATGTTAAAAGTAAAAGTTGCCAACAAAATATCATTTGGGATAATTTGTCCTAGCTTTCATAATTACATCTATTCCTATCCTAACTCTTATTGTAGAAGAACTTAATGATGCCAATTTATGCAGTGGCAAACCTGCAGATGCATTTACAACCCTACACAACGGAACTTCATATGTTTTTAGAGGTAAGTTATTTTATGGTTTAAAAATAATCCAGTTTTATAAATGCTATTCTGGTTTGTAATGCAAGTTTCTAACCACCAATTTTGTCACACGCTTTTGAAATACAATTTGCACTGAAAACTCAATTAAAACTCCCCAACTTGATTTGTGTTTGTATTTAATGATAACAAGCATCTGGGTTCACAAGATCGATTTGGATGAAAAGGCCCTTCGGCCCATCTGATTCATCCTTTCAGAACACATACCCCACTGTTCCTCCATTCCAGCATCAAGCTTTTTTTTTTAAAAAATGTGTCCCTTGTCCTGGCCTCAACCAACCTTCTTTGGACCCCATTCCAGTCGTTAATTACCTTCTGGATAAAGAAAAACTTCCTGGTTTCTGTTCTGAAATTGCCTTTTACAACCTTAAACCTAAGTACTCTACTGTCACAAATGCCCCCTAAATTAACGAGCACATCTTAATAGGATATGAGGATGACTGACTTGGAACATGCCACTGAGGGAGGAGGAAGAAGATTCACATAGAGCAGGAGAGATTTACTCCGTATTTAGCCTGTGGTACACATTACTAACACACCGCCTGGTTGGTTTTGTATCCTAAGTTTGTTCCATTGTCAGAAGATGCTTGATATGACATTTTTCCAATGCTTTGGTCTTATTGAGAGCTAAGCCTCTGAAAAATGGTAGCAGCTTTCATTAATTGTAAGAAACCTACCCTCACGAGCACAAGTTTCCTCTGTAAGACTTTCTAATAGATGGGTCTCCAACCTTCTATTGGCAGCTGCCAACTCAGTTGATCCAGCCCTCAGAACAGAATTTAAAGCAAACATTTAAGTGTAATTGCCTTTTATTTTTCCATTTCTCAAAGTGCTCATTAACACAAGTCCACCAATATTCTCCACCTACTTATGTCATTTGCAGGTTATCTCTTTTGGACATTAAACGTGAATGGCCATGCTCCTGGACCCCCTCGCCGGATTTCTGATGTGTGGGGAATTCAGTCTCCAATTGACGCAGTCTTCACACGATGCAACTGTGATGGGAACACTTTCTTCATCAAGGTAGATTCATTAAATCTCCATCATTTTTCTTTCAATTGCTGACAATAAATGATTTTCATTATGAATTTAGACCTCTGGGGAAAATCTAGATTAGATGGGCGAGAGAAAATATCAGTGGCTTAATTTGTCAATCACAGCAGATTGACTGGGGAGGAAACCTGATAGCAATCAACATAATTTTGGTTGAAGACCAAAGGTTATTAAACTCTTTAGACTGTTTTGTACCAGAAATGGTCAAGGGCTTTGAACTGAAGGAGGTGATAGGGAAATCACCTGTGTTCAATTGGAGGAAAGCAGTCAAGAATATCACCTGCAGAGATGCCACTCTGCCAAACCCAGGTGCTGTGTATTAGGTAGAACTATCAAGCTACAACAACTTGCATTTATATAGCACCCCTCATACAGGGTAGTGCTTAAACAGGTGAAAGCTGAAGAGATTTCATTAAGAACAGGCTTGAAGACAAAAGGATTGAGTGTTTGGAGTCTGCTATGTGAAAAGCACCAATTTTTATTTGTTTTTTTGCTTACCGCAGGAGCAATTTCCTTTCAGCAATTCATTCTATAAAAATGATCTTGTACATATCTTACTTGAAGGACACCATCTAAATGCAAGTTGTTGTAATGAAAACTTGGGTGTTAACCATAAGAATGAGACTCGAATACACTGAAAAAATCCTTCATTGACATTCTTCAGGTTCTGAATTCTGGTAGTCCCCAGTATTATCAAAATTCATTTATACATTTAATGTGCAATGGTTCATGCTATGCTTTTGGTTTGCATTCAGATCTTGGTTGAAGAAATATTTCCTATTTACAGCCTGTATTTTCCATTCAAATGACGGAGCCCACGTTTAATAATAATTGTTTGTGTTACAGGGGCAGAAGTACTGGCGCTTTCAGAATGGCAAGATGGACTCTGGCTACCCCAAGACAGTGTCACAAGGCTTTTCAGGACTAAAAGGCAAAATAGTGGCTGCTCTTTCAATGGCTGCATATAATAACAAACCTGAAGTGGTGCACTTCTTCAAAGAAGGTAATTTTCAGCTTTTCGCATGTCATTGTATACATTCAATTACAAAATTATATATGCAAAATTGCTGTGTGCAATTGGCTGCCGCATCTCGCCCATAAATACTCAATCCACTTTGCAATATATTCTGTGAAGCCCTTTGAGATGTCTCAATGAAGTGACAAGGCGCTATATCAAATGCAAGGGTCATTATTATTATTAAAATGCCATAACTATTTTACAGTCAATCCTGTGAAGCACTTTGAGATGTCCGTCTGTGAAGGTGCTATATCAAATGCAAGGAATATTATTCCTACACAAAGAGTTGGGGATTTAATCTGTTGAGCCATCCTCATTAACTCTATGGCAAATCTTCAATTCCACTTCCCTGCTTTTTCTCTTAATATCCCTACTCACTGATTACTATATCTACCCCCCACCCCCCACATGGTTAATTATTGATATACAGTGGCCTGTCATAAAAACCAAATTCAAGGATGAAATCGAGTTTGGCTAGGATAACCTCCAGTCGAATGGTATGCTGACTCGGCAGACCATTGGGTGAGGTAACAGAAGTCTAACGGGCATTTACTACTTCTCACCTCCTCGCTTCTTTACCACTAACCTATGACATCCTGCTCAAGCCTCAAGAGCAAACAGATTATAGACTTTTATTCACTCTTGGACCCCTGCTACTTTGGGAGGCAGGAGAGGCCAGGCATATTTTATCATTCTTGATGGGGGAAATTTTCATTTATTTATACTAAGGTACTCAGTTCGATACTTACATGATGTTTTAACAGTAGTATCAGCACAAAAACTTATGACTTTTTAAAGTGACAATTCACACGTCATGATTTTAGTTACAATGTTTGCCGTTTAAATTGAAATAGCTGCTCACCCCCAAAAATTCAAATGCATCTTTATATACCAGGAGGACAATTCCAGACATACTCTTATCGGCAAAGAACTTCCAAAACGTGTTCAAGACAACAAATCAAAGTAAAGCACACCATCCACATCAATCAAAATGTGAGTCGTTTCAAAAGGCAAGCAATCGTGCTCTTTCATCACCATCTTAACAGGCCACAACAAACAGGTATTGTATCTAATTTTACTATTGTTAGATCCCAGCTTTGTGCCTACAATTCAAGAAAATATTCTTTTGATAAATTTTCATCTGCAGTGTTAAGTAAAAATGTAAGATCAAAATCATGCAAAGAAAACAATTTGCATTAGTTTACTTGCTAACTTAGTTTGTTTGTACAGAATTTAACCCATGATTTGATTTTCAGTATCGAGACTCTCTCTGGAAATGCCAGTTAAGAAATACTGGAGAGGATTTCCACAAAAAGTCACCTCTGCCATTTCATCACCAAATGCCCGAAGACTTAACAACTATGAGTACTTTGTCCTTTCTGGCGGTAAGTTCTAATTCAATATATTTCAACTTTTCTGAATTTTGGATACTTTGTATTGCTGTTGGTATATTTCTTTACTTTGGCTGGGTTCCTTTGATTACTTACAGCAGATGCTAACTTTACATCAAAGCCCTTTTCTTAAGTAAAACTGAGGACTCTCCTCATTCGATGTTCCTACTGCAGCGACAATTCTAACGTTTCCTTTCTCTTCCTTCCCATTCAGATCGCCGTTACGCTGTTGATCCAGTAAAACAAATGGCTGTTAAGACCAAAAAGAGGGTTGCAAAGTCCTTATACAGCTGTCCCTAGGCTCTCTGCAACCTTTCACACAAACAAGCAAGATTTCAAGCTTCAAATGGTTTAAAAGGAAGTCACTTTATTTTCAGTAAACAGAAAACGTTATACCATGAAGTGTGCCCAATCTTTTTGAGGTTCAAAAAATTATTCATTCCCAGCGCTTGGTACAATAAGCAAAACGAGTGACATGCCACCAATACAATTTATGGTCATATACAGAGGACAGACTGATTTTTCAAGGCGTCAGGCACTTCAACCCAAATTTCCACGATTTAGACCTCCTCTTCCTCCCATTGCATGGCTCATACCTACAATAAAAAAATAGTTATTCAAACAAGAGTGGAGTTGTAGGTAAGGTCATAAAACATACATCCCACATGCATAATTCATAGCTCACTATTAAACTGCTTTTCTGTTCAGATTCCTTTTTGAAAAAGATTAGGGAACTTTTCCATCACCCTGGCCAATATTCCTCCTTCATCCAAGTAGAGAACAGTTGCTCAATTACTAATTGCGGTCATCTTGCTGGGGTAGATTAGCTGGCTTGTTTGCCTACATAATCACGACACTTCAATATGATCAAGTGCTAAATCAATTGTAAGTTTTGTTAAAAAGTTGGAATGTACCAAAGCTACTTAAGATTCCAATTCAGTTTCAAAATCATATTTGTTACTTCAGGTTGAAAAGATATGTAAGGAAAGTTGTTGCATACATTAAATCAGTGGTATATAAAAATAAATAAAACAGGAGTTTACATTATTTCAGGTCCATTTGAAAAAATCAAAAAATACTTAAAAACAAGCTGCAGAGAAGATAATCAACCCAGTTAAAGCACAAATGAGCAAACTCTTATTTTATACAGTAATACTGCACAATATGACAGAATATTACTTTTAAAGATGAATTATACTTTACGCCTTTTAAAAAATTAGATTGAAAAACTGAAGGTGATCAAACCTCTTCGATTTTGGAATTGTCGCCCTCGACCAACAGTTCTCCCCATCTGTGGGTGAAGTCGGACCCTTCGCAAGGGTTTCGGCTGAGTGCTGCTGGCATCTTATCAGCAAAAGAAAACATTACTATACTTCAGAGTATAGAGATAATAACAATTGGCAAATTCAGATTGAATCCCACACATCTGTTCTCTAGGTCTTCCGTATCTAGTAATTTAGCCCCAACCAGAAAATGGCGCAAATAGTAAAATCGCACAAAGAACCTTTCGTAAATATAAGATTGGATGAAAAGCTGCAGTAAAATATGTTAATCTAATTCAGATTGAAAGGCATCGATCTCACTGCTGGGGTTGAGCAAAACCCTTGCAAAATAGTTTCAGTAAAAAAAATTCAAATTAAAGAGTACAAAAATTGTTCAGTAGGATGATCACATGCATAGTCAGAGATAAAAGCATTGATTTCAATCTCTCTGTCTCCAAACTCTTGAGTTACAGATTTTAATATGGAAAAACAGTCATTTTAATGGGGCATAAGTGGTTAGATCAGTAACAGAAAGCAGCATTTTTGCTTCTCTGTATTATCATACATCATGGTGTGGATTCGTGTTTTTCTTTAAAAGTACATTTGTTTCAGGCTGAATGTCTTTCAAAGCAATTCAAGCTATAAACATTTTTAATATGATTTTTCAACTCAAAATAATCTGTTACAGTTAATTTATATAAAAGCTTCATCAGAAATAGGCATAAAGGGAAATATTACAGTAATAAAAGAAGCTACTGACATCCAAGCCACTTCAATGTAATGGGATTTGTTTTGATATCATTCGTTGTATATGTTTATCATACCAATCATCTATTTACTCAAGAACTTTATTCCAAAAAGACAAGCAATGCACAATGTGAAGGTAATACAACAACTTGCACTTATATAGCCCCCTTTACCCAGGGTAGCGTCTCAAGAGTGTTTAACAGTGGCGGAGCCTGACACTGAGCCGGGGGGAGGGGGCTGTAGGCATGGTTGAAGAGGAAAGTTTTCAGGCAGGACCTGAAAGAGGGGAGAGAGGGGGCAAGGCGGAGGGATTGAGGGAGTGTTCCAGAGTTTTAGGGCGTAGTGACTGAAAGCGCGACCTTCAATGGTGGGGCGGAGGGTGCGAGGGACAAGCAGGAGGCCGGTGCCAGTCAAGCGGAGGCGCTGGGTGGTGGATTGGGGAGTGAGGAGATCGGAGAGGAAGGGAGGTGTCAGGGAGTGAATGGATTTGAACGCGAATGTGAGGATCTTGAAGTTGATGTACCTGCTGAACTGGACGGTGGATCCTGGCTAGTGGATGGCAGGTCTGCCTCTTCGGATGGCTGAACAGCTTCCTCCTCCTGTTGTCCCTCAATTTCCAGCAGAGCATCTGAGCCAAGGCTGAAGAAATAAGAGTTACGTTAAAAACTGGGAGGCCAAAAAAGAAAATTTCATTAAAAAAATGAACCAATATAGTGTAAGTAAATTCAAAGTTTGTAAGAGTCACAAGAAAACTGATAAGATGAAAAGTACTGCTAGCATTTCTAGTTTGATTTAGGACATTAAAATTCATTGCTTGATCAATGACTATTTCTTGCGAATGCTTATCAAGTTCCAGTGCATTATTGTGATAATTACTAATAAATCCTCCTGTTCACAGGAGGGCAAATTACAAGGCTCTGGGTCACTGATCACATTAAGAAGCAATCCAAATTGTAATTAACGTGTTCAATGAAAATTCCCAAAAGGACAATTTAGAAGCATTTAAAATTATCAATGCAATATGAAATCAGAACATAGCTGTGCATCAATCCAGAAAACATTTAAGTATTACATAGAATATTACAGCACAGAAACAAGTCTGTGTCAATTTACATATGGGCTCACGTGAGACTCCACTCCTCCTATTTCCCTATCCCATAACCCTCTATTCCCTTCTCCCACGTGTAATACATTGAGTAGCTGTTAAAGACAGCTCTTTTAAAACCTAAAGCCTTCATAATCTTTTCAGCTCACCCCTCTTGTTCGCCTCCTTCCACGAACACTTCATCTCCATCATCCCCACCACCTCCAGACTCAACAGTATTTGACAGACTGGTCAGAGTTGTTGTAACCATAGGAACGGATTGGGAGGCATGCTCTGTTCCATCTGATTGTATGCCCTCATTGAAAACAGTCACTGAAAGGAAAACAAGATGTAAAATAAAGAGCTTAAACTAATGAACAAGTATCTCAGCCTCATATTCAAAACCCAAATGTACATCAATTTGCAAGGTGCAAGATCGTGCACAAGGATATTAAACAGCAGTTTAGTTGGTATTCGGACCCAAATCCCCCAATTCTGAAAACTTTCTAAGATCACTTATCCAAACACTCCTAAAGCGTATCATTTTAACTGATTTCAGTCTTAGTGAACCATTACTAGTGAAACCATTCGACAAAAGACTTTGCGAATTTCTGTAACGAGCAAAGTTCAATTCATTTGTAATAATTGACTGAAAAGATTATGCAGTTAAATTTAACTGGAATGTGTTGAGCATTATGCCAAACCACAATTCTAAACTGCAAATAAAATGAACCGTGAAATGTGTTATGAATCCCAGCCTCATCCTACAAAATGTACGTAATCTGTGGTACTGACATAATAAAACAAAAAATTCTATTATATTAACATTCATTGTCTCATTGGAAAGGGCATTTGCTGAAACTATGAGTAGCACAAATATTCTAATTAAGTTACAAATCTCAACAAGATGAAAAATTTAAGATTAATTGTGCTTTTTAAACTAATTCTAATCCTATGATAAAAGGAGATCTAGTAGTTATAGTAGCTTGTTTTGTCCCACCCCTAAGAAGGCAGATTCACTAATTCCATACCTGGTGCATGAACCTGGAGTGGTGTAGTGGGCACACTGCGACCTCCAGACTCATCTTCATGAACGGCCGCAAGACAAATGGGAGTTTCATACATTCCCAGGCCTTAACGAGGCATAAGGCAGGAAGTTATTTATTAGCAGTGAGAAATGTAGAGCGTATAATGGTCAAACATACGGTTAAGGAAATCACAGAGAACCACTTGAAATTTTTAAGTTTACGATTGGATTTTAATTCAAATGTTTTGTGGGCTCACATTCATTTTATTAAAGCATTAATAATAATCCTTGCATTTGATATAGCGCTTTTCACGTCTTCTAGACCCCTCAAAGAGCTTCACAAAATATGCTGTAAAGTGAATTGACCATATATTTGTGGGGAAAACGCAGCAGCCAATTGCGCACAGCAGTGTCCCACAAACAGTCGTGGGTTGAAAATGACCAATTTATTATTGTTTTGGAGGGATTATTATTAGTCGTGTGGAGTAAGTAAACTTGCCCAAGGTTTTGCCCTGCCTTGCGTGGTGCACATCCACAATAGTGGATTTCTTAGTGAAAACGCACACAAGTACAGTACTACATTACTTGCAACACTATTTGCCATTTGGATTCACTGGATACTTAATAGTTTGTAGGGGTGTCTTGTGACACACAAGATCAACAGTGCTGTAATAACATTTACATTATTTTGATGGGGGTTGTGAACACATCAAATGTACAATAATTGCACAATCATGCAATCGCCCAAAGGACAGCTTGTGAAAAACTGCAAGAGACTTAAGGCGGTTCTAATTTATGTTCACAGGAAAAGCAGGGAATGCAATCGATGTTACTATTCTGTAAAATCTAGATGCAAGTTTATCAATCCTTAATGCACCTTCATCTGAAATAAAACTGAAAGTCACTTTTCTCAGTATAGACTGCAATTATTTTACTTAGTTACACATTACAAAAATTGACGGAGAAAAATTGCATTAAGAAAAATTACCTCCTTGTGATGCTAGTTGTCCAAGATCCGATTGGCTTGAACTGGTTTGCGAAAGATCCTCAGAGAGACCAAACCCGAAGCTTGGTACAGCAGTGACCTGAGGTGAACTAACCAAATTTGCCATGTGAATTACTAAATCAAACACGTGCAAAAGTATACAAGAGCACATCTGTGGCTTCACGTCCCCCACAAACCATCTGTCAAAAAATGCCTACTCTAGTGAGGCTAAATGTTTATTTCTGCTATTGGATGCCTTGAGCTAGTTTATTGTAATATTCATATTTGCTTAATATGAATTAATAGTTAATATTAACATGCATTAAAAGCATTAGCTAAGAAATGTTTCTATGTAACCTGATTGAAGTTTCATTCAGAAAATAAGTTTGTTGCTGTAAATATTCACCACAGCTTGTTACAGAATAGGTTTTCTGCTGGGTGGATTTTGAAAGGTTCAAATGTTAAACAACTTGAAATGTTCAGCGTTATTCCGGGTGTTTATTATCCCTGTTATTCTCATTTGGTATATTTGCAAATCCACTTACTGAATGACTTCTGCAAATCCATCTGATCGGTGGGGCACAAAAAGAGTTGGTGTGCTTGGCACCATCCTGTCATCTTCATCAAAGAAGTGTTGTTGCTGAACCAAGATATAGAACACAAATCAAAATTCCCCTGTGGCCAACTTGAGGTAAAACTCTGTACAGTATGGAAACTAAACTACATAGGTGTTCACAGTCAGGTTATCTCAGTTAGGTCAAGTTAGGTCTCCAAAATTGGCCTCATCTCTGCCTTAGGGAGAGGCAACAAATAACCAGGGTTTTGCATTCATTTTGCAATCTCGTGATACGCACTGGAAAGTGCCAAAGTAGTGAGAATATTCGGTTTGGCAGTGCTGGCCTCCACAATTGCTTTCCATCACTCACTGGGTTCACACAAGCAGAACAGAGTATCTTGGGACGTACTTTGAGAATCACAATCATGTAGCCAATTTGTGCAGCAGTGTGCCACAAACAGTCAAGAGATGAATGACCAATTTCACAGAACCGTTGGCCAAAACACTGGGGAAAAACTCCCTTCTCTTTGAAAGTGATATGGCATCTTTAACATTCACCTGAGTAGGTAGATGAGATGTTTTACATCTTATCTGAATGAGTGCACCTCCAACGTTTCACTAAAACATCAAACTAGGCAATGGCTCAAAGGAGCTGACATGGGACTTGATTCATCAACCTTCTAACCCAGGAGTATTTGCTTTTAACTGAGCCAAACTGATTTATACTCAAACAACATAATTACATCTAAATGAAGTTCCCTTTGAGCTTTTAAACTGGAAGTCATTGTTCCAGTTTAAATTGTTAGTCATTAACAAAACTGCCCTCTGAAGCCAAAAGCAACTGAAGCAGGAAACTACAGCTCTTCAATGACAATCAGGTTGAATGGGTAACCTATTCATCACCAACATAAACTAACTTGCCTAACATTACAAAGCATCCTTTGAAATTGAAGAACATAAACGATCAGCATGTCAGATACTTACCACTCCTGCGATGCCTGGAGTCAGCTGGATTCCTCCTCGGCTTGATGACGGACGCCTGGCTGGTGGGAACCGCTGGACAACAGAGAGAGAATAAATCTTTACCATTTTTATTAAGGATGTTAAGACTGTATAAGATACGAGGCTAACAACATGGGCTAGCAAGCTTTTCTGGCCACAATTCTCAAAGGAAATTATTTGAAAGTGAGACCAATTTTGTCCATAAAGCTGTATTTAAAGTGTTCCTCTCTGCCCCTACCAGAGACTCAATTAAACATTTTCTACCTGCTCAACAAAAATGTTTACAATCACTTTTCTTTATCATTCCCCAGTCAGGTATTCAAGTAAGCACAATTGCTTGGGAACTGACCATTAACATGATGTACACTGCAATTTGATTGGGAATACAGTAGCTCTCAATGTGTAGTCAATACTATTTGATTATTCTATTAAGATAAAGTAAGAAAAATATCTATTCTGTTGCTAGTCTTGTTGGTGGGTAACAGTGAATATATTTGGGTGTCTTGGTTTTTAAGAGTGGCCAGAGGATAATAAATAGCATTGTTCAGTATTAGTTACCTGGGCAGGGGGCCCCAATTCCTGTGCTGGAGGTTGAATGGTTAGTCTTGGAGGAAGATGATGCGGAGGTCTCCGTGGCGATCGTGGTGGTCGGGGAGTCTGCCTTTCAGCTACAGATTGGTGCTCTCTTGGTGCATCTGAACCAAAAGGTTCCACAGTGGACATACCACCTTCACCTCCTCCAGCTGCAAAGAATAAATCACAAGTTTAGGGCTAAGTGCCAATATCTGCCTCATAAGCAGGGCCAATACAACTAGCAGATATATTTGCCAAAAATTGCAGGGACATTTGATAAAACCTTGTGAAACCTTGCAGGGAGTTGATATTGAGAGGTACATTTTACTGCCTACCTTTATTTTTCCACTTTATTGATAAAAGTTTAAACACGAAGCAACAACACATTGTTGGAAAAAAATTATTAATGCTTTCTGTAACAAAAATTGGGTGCCCACTCAGGGGGAAATTTTTATTGACCTTGCTCATAAGCAACAGCAGTTAAATCATAGCAGCGAGGGAATGAGATTAGTTCTCCTTTGCAGCATTTTTGCCCTTGATAATACTGGATGCTGACAAATTGTAAAACGTGCTGTATACCCAGCACTAACATTGGAAGTGCTAAGCTTTTCAGAACCTTCACTCTGTGCAAAATAGATAACGAAAATAAAACTGGGTCCAGAACGATAGACATTCCTGTCACATAGGTCTCATATCCCTCACCCACAAAAAAAATTCAGTGGACGAAACTGCAGATGTGTACACAATCAATTTATATTATGCTATTTTACTCTCCAGATGTTGACATGTTGGTCTGCAAATTCAAAGGAATACTTACAATTATCTTGAATGTCTTCTGGTCTTTGGATGCTTTCACCTTCCTTAGCACTGCTCATACTTTGCTCATTATCTGTACTGGGGTCTGTACCCTCTGCACCCTACACACAAAATACAACTGATTAACACAATGACTATGCGCTTCCAGTAATAATTGTACATGAAATGTGGAAAGTACAATCTGTGAGAACTCAATTCTCCTGCTCGCAATCCACACTCATCCTCAAATATTCTGTATAAAAGGAACTACTTTACGCAGAGTGTATTGAGCATGTGGAACGCACTTCCAAAATAGTGGTTGAATCAAATAATGATGCATTTAAGGGGAAACTAAATATACACATGAGGGAGAAAGGAGTAGATGGGAACGGGAGTGAGTGGAGACTAATGTGGAATATAAACTAGCATGGACTAGGTGGGCTGAATGGCCAGATACTGCTGTAAATTCTATACAAATCCATTTTTGTTTTTAAACATATTGAATAGTCCCACCACACCCCCACCGCCCACCCCCTCCATAAAAAATACCATGTCCAAAATGCCATCAAGCGATCGCAAGAGCACGACTTGGTATTACAGATCCACAAAAATATGAACATAGTAACAGTATGTTATATTAAAGTTAGTCACAATTAAATAATCCTATTTCATAACAAGTTCAGCTTGAAATACAATGTTAAATTAAAATTGCAACTTTATTTCCTTTCACAATGAATGAGTTTTATACTTATTAGCAGCGCTCAACTACTTTACTATTCATGCCATTGTCTCCTACACTGAGATCTGTAGTCTTTAAAAAGAAACGCATTCTGACTCTCTCAGAAAACTGACATGGAATATTTGCTTATCTTCAGATTAATACTTCAAATACTACAAGTTTCATACAAAGTTTATATAAAAAATAGTAAACACACTGAACATTTAGACTTCTCTTTAAAAGCTACCCAACCATAATTTAATTGGCAATATGATGCTAGCTCAATCAGTTTTACTATAGGGATAATTGGCAATACAACAACAACTTGCATTTATGTAGCACCCTTCACCCAAGACAGTGTTTCGGAGAGCTTAACAGTGGCGGAGCCTGATGCTGAGCCAGAGGAAGGGAGGAGGAGACCGGAGATAAAACTATAAAGCAGTTTTAGGAACACAAAAAAAAAATCGGTATTGCTTTCAACATTGTCCTTCATTTATGGTTATGCCTCAAGATCATGACTGTTGAGCTCACTTCACCCAGAACGTTAAATATTGAAATTCCGTAGGAGGTCAAACTGCATGCAAACTACCTCTGCATCATCACCATCATAATTATCTTCTGCACCAGGACTGCCCTCATTGCTGTCCTCTCCATCACCATCCTCGATTCCAGTATCATCATCTTCATCCTCATCATCCTCTTCCTCTTCGTCGTACTCCTACAAAAGGTACAGTATCGCCAACGAGTTAAAACCTTCAGGAGTCGCACGTTTGTGTTGGTTTAGTTCCACAACTTGGATCCCAATTTGCCATTTCTACACAGGCATTGGTAAAATAAAGGCATATCGTGAACCAGCCTGCCCGCAGCCACATTGTGAGAGCACTAGACCTAAAAACAGCAGTGGAACAGCACATCCAATGGTTGCTAACTGTTGCTCAATGCTCAAAAGCCTAACTCCACACCTAAGAAGATGGCACACATCATTAATGGAGTTAAACATTACCTGTGAAACCTACAAGTTTTATGCTGATTTTAGAAGAAAGAAATCACATGCAAATTGCAACACGCTGAATAGCTCCCCTCTGTAATGAAAATAAGTTTCTTTGAATTAAATGAACGATTACCAACAATGGCATAAAAATACATCACAGGTGCTGAACCTATTTTCAATCTCTCTACTGGTTTCTGTCTGTCTTCAGTTAATGGTCATCATCAAACTCAGCACATGGGATCACAAAAGTAAATGTAGTGCAACTGATGATTATTCCTTCTTCTGTCATATTGCCTCCATATGTACTTAGTGGGAAACAAGAATTAAACATGCACAATCCACAACTGAAAATGCCAACAAGTGGCATGTAGAAGGTTGCTGTGGCAACTAAAGGCAACAATACACCAGAATTGCCTAATACTACTACACTTTTAAAAAATCCTGAACATTTCCCAACATTGGTTTAATTACAGGGTTAACCATAATCTTTTCAGATAACATTAAAAATAGATGAGTGGAATATCTTAAGTCTCAGAAAATTCAGACTTGCCAAGTTTGACAAGAGTGAGTGCTTGTGGTTTGAGTTATAAAACTATGCTTTTTCCATTCCAAATGACCAAAGTAAAAGGCAAATCTGGGTCTTTACTATGTCTTTGGCCAAGATTTTTCATAGTATGTGTGTATTTAATGCAGAAACACATTCCTTTATTGTAAATCTCCAGAAATACAACAATTTATCCAAACAACAGCACTGTCATTTAAAGTATAACAATACAAATCATAGGTAGTATTTGAGCATTAACTGGTATTCATTGTTTTATCACACACTGACATCATCTGCCACTGATACAAGAATTTAATCAACCTAATATAGTCCAGCTTATTCAACAGTATGTCGTGTACTTGCTGTCCTCCATTGTTGAGGATAATTCTCACCACCACCTACACCACAAAAAACATACCTCAAAGCATATCCGCAATCAATCGCCTGAAGGCAAAACATCCCCTGGTGGGAGGTTCGAAGTGACATTGCTGCTTGGAATGACATTCATCGCGGGTGCTGCACAAAGACAGCATTGAACGGTTCTGCCTCAAAGCCACTGCTGCTCCAGCCAATAGTATTCATCCTAAGAGTATACCTGCTCTTGGTCCTCTTCATTTTCTGCCTCGTCCTCTTCATCACTGTCTATAATGATGACATCGGGTGGCTGTGAATCTTGGGATGACTGGGTGCTCTGCTGATGTTCAGGGGGTTGAGGCACCAATTCTAATGGTAAAGTCTGAGAAGCCTCTTGGCTGTCCTCCATTAGTTGAGAAGGAGGATAGTCCTCTTCAATGACTACCTACACCAAGCAACAAATAATATGCCATTGCATACAACAGGTTTGCAGTGTATCATGCAAATAACCACTTCTGTTTCACTAACTGACTTCACCCTCCTTCCTAACCGCAAATTTAATTTTGTTTAAACATAAGTCACTGCACGCACAGTACTGCCAAACTATGGGAGTGAAATAACCTTCCTCACAAGCTCTCTGGTGTCGCATCACTTTATACAATTTAAGCAAGTGCAGCGGTAGAACAGTGTTATTTGCACTGAACAAGTAACTCGTGACTACAACATGATGCATAGCTGTAGTACTATCGTGACTCTTGAAGACAAGACACCACAATTTAGGCCATTGGCACCTTAGATTTTGATCATAATGTGTTCAAGTCACATTCACACAACCTCAACAGCTTGCACTAAATGAGGCGTCTCCACTGACCTGTGTGATGGAGTCTTGTGAACCCAGGTGATCTGTCTGAAGCTGCATTTCAGTTACCACTTCTGCATTTCCTTCAATGTCCTGCACATGCTCTTCCTAAAATTGCAATCCAAGCTTGAATTATGGCTTTCAACATCCAACAGAAGCACAGAAACACAATTCAGAAGCCAACTTCATAGATTTCAGCATTGATTGAACAACCCAAACAGAGGCTCTTAGCTCAAACGTGCCAAGTGTTTTCCCCTTTAAGTGAGTTCAGTTTTGGGCACCAGACCTCAGGAAAGAATGATAATAATAATCCTTGCATTTGATATAGTGCTTTTCACATCGGGAGGACGTCCCAAAGCGCTTCACAGAACAAACTGTAAAGTGAATTGACTGTATATTTGTGGGCGAACGCGGCAGCCAATTGCGCACAGCAATGTCCCACAAACAGTCGTAGATTGAAAATGACCAATTTATTATTGTTTTTGGTTTTTGGAGGGATTATTAGTAGGCGTGTGCATTAAGGAAACTTGCCCAAGGTTTCACCCTGCCTGGAATTGAACTCAGGTCTTTCGCTTGCAAAGTGAGTGCTCTAACCACTGAGCTACAGGACTCCATAAGAAATATTGGCCCTGGAGGGGGTTCAGCGCAGGTTCACCAGAATGTTCAGGTCTAAAAGGATTAAAATGCGAAGAAAGGCTGCATAAACTTGGACTGTATTCCTTTGAATTTAGAAGGTTGAGGGGTAATTTGATTGAGGTATTTAAGATGATAATAGGATTTGATAGCATAGATATAGAGAAACTATTTCCTCTGGTGGGGGAATCCAAAACAAGGGGGCATAGTCTTAAAATGAGATCCAGGCCATTTAAGATTTAAATCAGGAAGCATTTTTTCACTCAAAGGGTGGTAAAAAATCTGGAATTCTCTCCCCCATAGGGTCGTGGATGCTGGATACATCCACACCTTCTGGGGTGATGTTGACAGATTTTTGGTAGGTCAGGTTATTAAGGGATATGGGGAGAAAGCAGGAAATTGGAATTGAAAGGATTAGTTGAGCCATTATCTAATTAATGTTGGGACAGTCTCGAAGGGTTGAATGGCCTCCTCCTGTTCCTATGTGCAAAACCCTCCCTCCCTACATGTGGAAGGGTAGAAGATTGCAGACTGGAAACTCTGTCACCATTAATAATGTTGATCTTTTGTCAGAAAATTCTGCAATATTTTCCTTATTAATCACATTCCAAAAAAAGCACAAAAATGAATAAGTAAAAAAAAATCTACCTCAGGGCCAACTCGTTGGACAATTCTCAATTTCTTAGACTGTGGCTGGTCCACAGATTCTTCCTGAGCATGATCTGTGTTTTCCACACTGGTCTCTTCCTCTTCATCGCGCTGACGCTTGGATATAGAAGTAGTTGCTGAAACTGGACACAAACCAACATTCTTTAGATAAATAATCACCTTTAGATTATATTGCTGAAACATTCTGACTCAAATAAATACTAGTACTTAACAAGAATGCCAATTTCCAACGTTATCTGCCATTGTCACAAGATAAGGTTTGGGTATTGGGAAACATCATTTGTAAACTCAGCATATTATGAAATCCATCAAAACCCTTCTTTAAGTCATCAAATTCTGAATGTTTATAAATTCTCACAAGTGAGAGGACCCGGGATGGATTCCTGGGCAGCGCGAAACGTTGGGCAAGTTTCCTCACTCCACACACCTGTTTACCAAGCGGTGAGTAGGAACCCGATTGTTAGTCGATTGGCAGTTTACTTTTCAAAAATTAAATAATTTGGCCCCTCAATCCACGACTGTTTGTGGGACACTGCGGTATGCAATTGGTTGTTGCGTTTCGTCCACAAAATACAGACAATTCACTTTACAGGATATCTGTATAGTGCTTTTAGACGTCTCGAAGACCTGATAAGTATATCAAATGCAAGGATTATTATTATCATCATTATTATAAGATGGCCTATCTCACCAGTCAACAGTGTCACAATGCCACACCAACCTGTTCCAAACACAGCAGTAGAAGTGGAAGGTCTTTCTATCTGTGAGGTCTGTACAAGCTCTACAATGGTGGCTGACGGCTCCTGATTTGCTGGTTCTACCTGCTGAAGAGTCTGTTGGGTAGGTTGCACAAAAGCAGTGGCCTGGGTTTGCTGCTGTTGGACCGTTAAAATGGGCTGTGACAAGTTTGGGATATTGGGACTCGTTGAGCGAACTGTTCCACTTGCACTTCCAAAAACTGTAACGTGTTCAACTGGTCCCTCTGGCTGTATGGTAGCTAGAAAGATTAAAGCACGTGAAAGTGAACATAAAACATGAAAAAAAACATTATGGTGGCGATTATTATTAATAACAATAACAAATAACATTTGTTTCGCGCCTTGCACATCAGAAGGACGTCACAAGGTGCTGTAACAGGCACTTATGTGGCGCCTTTTGCATAATACAAGCATCTTGAAGCGCTTTACAAATTATAATTGATTAGAAATGAAGTAAACAATGTTATACAGCAGCCATGGCAATCAATCTGCATTAAGCAGCTCAATTGAGATGAGCAGCCATTTAACTTGAAATTCAAAGGGAAAGATAAGGCAGGATAACCAAGATAAAGAGGCCCATATACATTTGAAATAGTAACAGCAGGGCAGTCCCTTCACGTCCACCCGCATCACAAGGCAAATGGATCTCAAAATTAACAAATCAAAAATGGTACGATGATCTGAAATTAAAAAAACTGCATAGAATACACAATTATTATTTGGAATTTCCTTCAATTGGCCAGAAAAATGAAATGCAGTTTTCTGGTGACTCAAGGCGTTTTGACATGATGAAGTGAGAGGCTGAATACAAGCATTATTTTAAATTAACAAATTTAAAACTATCAAAGGGTAAGGAATGCAGGAATGCGACCTTTGCACTGAAACAACAGGATCATGCTGCATTTTTAATGTAATAGATCTCCTCACCTTCTTGGCTCTCCACTTGTGTGGTGGGCATTACGGTGGCTGTGGGTGTTGTAGCTGGTGCAGTCACCGTTGCTGGAGTGACCATTGGACGGATACTGGCTCTTGGTGTTGACTTACTACCAGGTACGGTGCCAGCTGGCACTTTACTGGGCGTTGCCACCAGGGGAGTGGGCTTGATGTTAGCTGTTGGAGGCTCGGAAGCACTGGAACTAAATATTTAGAACACTCGATGTAGCCTTTTGTTTCAAGTTTGCATTTCGTGTGAGAGCAAGTTTTATCGCATACAGACATCCAATTAATAATGTGGTCAAGATTAATGGATTTGTTCATAAATGATAATTATTGACCAATAATGCAGCTAACATACAAAACGTCTAGTAGATATTATTCGTATTGCCATCTTTAATTATACCAGATACAATGTTTAATATGGTAGAAAGTCAATAAATATTCAGAGTTATCACTGAAAAAATGTATTTATCTACTCTAACAACCCAGAACTGTGCTCCCTTGATAGCCTAATGAACAATAGCACCTTAAGTCATGCTGAACAGATAGCAACAGAAATCACGCTGTCCAGCTTGAGAGTAGGAGTATGACCACAGGTGGGAAAGGGAAATCGGACAGGTTTCTTGCTTCTAATCACAAGCTCTGCTGGACTACACAAGCAAGAGTCAGTGTCTTCAGGAAACGAGTGAGAAAATTGGCAAAACAAACCCAATTAAGCATTTTTTTTCCCGCATCTGATTTTAAAAAAGGAAATTATACTCAAAACGTACTGAATTAACTTCCTTCAATGCTTACCTTCCTCTATCAGTAGATGCTGGAGTTTGTTTCAGTGTAATCTGCCTCTGTTGATCCAGTTGTCTCTGTGGTTCAGAAGCCTTATACACAACACAAATCATAGAAAACATTAGTACAGTATATGTTTTTCTGTGTCTTTTCTTCCATAAGTTTTTAACAATAAAGATTCAGATAATAAATCTAAATAAGTGTAACTTTTGATGAGTATTGAATACATTAAATGCAGTTGATGTCAGCATGGAGAAAGTCAAGATAAACGCTAATAAAAGAACCAATGAATTGACATCCTCCGCTTTCCAAATAGATCTTGGAAACTTGATTAGCTAGGAATTTATCAAGGTTTGGAAAGCTAGGTTCGAGATGAAACAACATTCACCCGATGCACAAAACAAATGCACTGAGTATCCTAACAACAACTTGGATTTATATAGCGCCCTCCACGCCGGATGGCGTCTCAAGAGTGCTTCACAGCAACGGATCCCGGGACCGAGCCAGGGGGATACCTTAGTAGGCTAAGGTAAAGTGCACTACACTGCTCTGCAATACTGGCCCTCTGCAATACTGGCGAATACATCTCGACACAGTGTCAACCTCACAATCTATTGCACCAGTACCACCTTCACAATTTTCAGGCAGGAATTTTTTGATTTCAAGAGAATTCTGAGCAATCGTACTGAACTTGGGAGTTTTTTTTGCTAAATGTCGATGGTTTTACCTCTCTCACTAAAAACACTACAAATATGAACTACCTTAGATTACTACTCCATTCCTAAATGGGTTAAGATTCCGACATAATCTCTATTGCATTAACGAGTTATTGAACCAAACTGAAATCAAACAATACACTCCTCTGTTCTCCTGTTTAAACAGTTATTTAATAGACGTGGAACTCTGTCTGGTTTGGATAATCTTAAGAATGGTGATTCCAGGATTCCAAAAGCCTCTGACATCCGACTGACATCCACCCCCAATATATCACTTCACCAGAATGATTTAAGTACCATATGCTAATATCTCAAAAGTGCTTCACTACATTCTGTAAAGTGCTTTGAGACAGCTCGACAACATAACAAGGCACCATATCATTATTAACTTACCTTGCTGGCTAGTTCCTGGGGTTCCTCACGTTGCTCATGTTGTCGATCCTGGTGCTCTTTCAGCTCTCGTTTCAGACGAGCAATATGACCATCGTACTGTGATTTGAGTGCACTCATGCGCACCTCCAGCTCCTCTCTCTGCTGGTCCATAGTCGCGATACGTTGTTTAAATTCTTCATTGCGCTGCTTCAGCTCTTCATTTTCCTTCCCCATTTGGTCCTTTACACCTACACAAGACCATGGTAACAATGAGCTCAATTCCAAATCCAAACCGATTGCAGGGAAATCATAAATTCTAGGATTTAATTCTTTTCTGCAGTATTTTCAGGTGCTAATACAACCCACTTGTGAAAATATGCAAAGTTCCTCACCAACTAGTTGCGAGATCTTTTGTTTGGCTCCCACTATTGCTTTCTTCATCTTCTCTTCCTTCTCTGTAATCTGCTGTCGAAGTTGATCCTCGAGCGTTGATTTTTCCTGCAGTTCCTGGCGTAAGCGAGAAAGCTCTCCTTGTTGCTGTGATACTTCAACTTGCAATGTTTTCACTTCAGATTCTTTCTCATTAATAGACTACAAGAAAAAGACAAGCCATCTCTGACATCAACAAGGGCGAGATACATACGATTATTTACCCAGCCAGCAAGAAATGAGTTCCATTCCTTCAAGTATAAAGTTTCTTAACACAATATTACAAAAATCAATTAATTATGATCAAATTAGATGAACCCTTTCATAAGCAACACAAACAGATCAACTTGTCTACAGCGTGTTGTACCACGTCCACTGAAACAAGCCCCATTATTCAGAGAAAGTAAAACAAAGACCAAGTATACCTTTACTAATGTAATGTAACCATCCTAAACACTTCAAGTTAATAGCAGACTCTCAAGGGTGCAATTTAAGTTGTTTTAGCTACCGGTCATTTTTGCTCGTTTGTTGAAATTTTTTTAAAAATGACTCTTGGATAAATCAATTTAAGTTGCTAATGTGAAGTTGTTTAAGATGTTAAGTTGTTGAAACATTTATTATGGTTGCACTACATTCGCTATCAAGAACTTTCGAATTCCTTAATTATCCTAAGAGGATGTGTTTCTGTGTCTGTGCTTTGAACATTACCAGGAAAACGCTGAACAAGTCAGCAGTCTAACAGCGAACCAAGTATAAACTCAATTATATATCCAATCTAATGGCACCTTCCTAATATATACTGATCTTAAAATATATCCAGCTAAATACAGTTCCTCCATGTCAAGAGTCCCCCAGATTTATTTTGTGAGCAGTCTCACCTTCTGCAAGGCTTCAGTCTGAGACTCCAGAGCCTTGGTTCTGGACTCAGACTGGGATAGAATTTCCTGCAATTCCTGAGTGGCTTGGGCAGAGGACTGTTCTGCTTGCTGCTCTGCTGTACGTTGAGAGGATTTCTCGACAACCATCTGTTTTGGTGGTGGAAGATCAAGTAAGTTTAATTGTGGCAATGCAGGACTGCGAAACAATTCAAATCAATACAACTCAGAAAAAACAAAACGAACACTCAAAATTCCCAAAACATTTCTATATTCCAGCCAAAGATTAATGAGTATTTTTAGTGACAATAACTAGCCCCTACCTTTTAGAGTCAAAGCCTGAACCTCTCTATTTCTTGGTCAATCTCCTGTTACAAAATCGAGTAAGGAACTCAATGTAACCAATTAGAACCAACTGACAGCAGGATAGCTCCCCCACCCAATTATAATACTTTTTTTGAAATTTAGAAATGTGGGTTTTGTGGGTTGTACACGAGATTTACAAATATCATAAACTAAGTGAAAACCTTTACAGTGTACCCTGTAAAGTGTTTTGGGGACATCTTCCCAATGTGAAAGGCAGTGTATCAAACGTAAGGATTATTATAAAAACAATTTCCAGTATTTCAACCAATTAAATTATTTAACTAAATATTGCATCAATCATATGGAACTTCTGATGTCTTGCACAACTATTGTGGAATAAAATGTTCACAGTAAGTAATATATAAAAAAACAGTTGAAACTCAATGTTCTTATTTAATAATTTGATNAAAAAATTAATTAGAGAAAGTATTTATCAAAAAATGTATAATCTATGTTCTACTCAAGGAGATATGACATTACCTTGTCATACTGAACTTTTAGCTCCTCATATTGAGTCTTGTAACGGCGACCGATCTTTTTAACCTGGGTGATGGTTTTGATCTTCTCCAGGTTTTCTGCAACCTTTGTCACCATTTCTTGCTTCAGGTTATCTCGTTCAGTGGTCACTCGAGTTACTTCAATCCTCAAAGTCTGCACATCACGCTGTGACGTAGTGGACGATGCATTCAACCTATAAATAAACACACAAGAAAAATCCAGTCTCTTACTCAAATAACCCATCTATCTTTCCGTAATAATTATTAAAACAGTTAAACAATTGCACTCAGATTCTTGTAACCAATATTTGCTTCAAAGATCTACACCAAGGTCAGGTTGTCAAGAGACAACCTGACCTTATTAATTAATTGGTAACATAGCTCCACTTATTCTTCTCTCCCTCCTTTTGTGTAATTAACTACAACATTGAAAAAGGCGTAAAAGAGTGCATGTGTGTGCGTGTGCATGGGGGGGGCGGGAATAAGAGAAGGAAATAGCAAAACAAAATGTGCAACTTTACCTTGCAATATCAGTCTTCAGTTTCCCGGTTTCTTCAGTCAGTTGTTGAATACGCTTTGCATTTACATCTTTCTCAGACAGTAACTTTTTGTATTCATCTGGGTCAGTCTCTTTCTGCTGACTGATAAGTTGCTGCGATACAAAAGAAAAATAAACTACTAGTCATGTACTCATTACTACATTCATTCCAATAACAGTAATTTGTCTTTTCTGTAAAGTGTAGGAAAATCCGTGTCTGAATGTATTAATTACATTAGATAATTGTTGATTTTTCATAAGTATGGATAGCCATCGATTGATTTGAAATTTCGTGTGAAAAAACAATCCAACAAGAATTTCAGGTACTTGCCAATCAGGCCAATGAAAGTAAAGCGAAGTATAAAAAGTGGTCTCTGTAGATGATGCATTGAACTAGTGGTGAGAGTATCTCATCAGGGCTCCAGCCAACATCAAACCTTGATGCTTGTACAGTGCATTCATGTGAAGCTTGCAGTATGACTGAGGTAGATTGCTTCCCCCATCTCACCTGAGCACGTGCTTTCCAGCGTTTCAGATCCTCTTCCAGAAGTTTCTTCTCAGCTTGTAACATTCCACTTTTCTCGCTCAGTTCCGTGTTGGACTCCTGAAGAGGCAGGATGTCAGATTCCAGCTTGCGAATCTAATAAATTATACAAAACACATTGTGAGCATCAACAGAACTACAACTCAACCAAACACAAGAGCTAACAAATTAGTTTATTTTTTAAAAAAATAATGTAGGATTACACATTCAGACACGGATTATTTTCCCACGCTTTACAGAAAAGACAAATGACTATTATTGGAAAAAATGGTTTTAGACCAATAGATCACGATTGGAATATTGTATTCACGATATTTTGCATGTTTTAGAGACAGGTTTACATAGAAAATCAAATTCCAACAAAGGTTATCTTGAGATCTCTATCAAGACTGCATGAGGAAACTTCACCTTCCTGTACCGCAACTCAGTATTCCGTTTTGTCTTTATCACAAGCTCATGACATTGTATCTGTGCCATGTTTTGAAAGTAACACTTACTGCGGGCAATATATTAAACACCCAGGATCAATGGACATCAAAAACAAATTTAATACTGTACATTGACAAATATTTGTGATTTCATTGAAGCAAATATTACAGTCATAGAGAGCAAGTACAATGTGAAACCAAGAACGAAAACCTGGGGAAAAAATCAATCTGCAGTAGTTTATATTTTAAGCAGTTAGAACCATAAAAAAATTACAATACAGAAGTATTGTAATTTGGCACATTGTATCTGCGTTGGCTCTTTTTTTCTTGCCTACTGTGACCGCCCCGATCGAGGCGTGCTCCACCACTGTCAAGCACTTCTGGACACCCTGAGTGAGGGGCGCTATATAATTGCAAATTGTTGCAGTGTAAAGAGCAACCCTTTCAATCTCATTTACATGCCCTTTCCCCATACTTCATGTCGGTTTGTGGGACGTTGCTGTGCGCAAACTGGTTGCCGCGTTCACCCACAAATAGTCAATCCACTTTACAGAATATCCTGTGAAGTCCTTCGAGACGTCTCGACAATGTGATAAGGCACTACACCAAATGCAAGGATTATTGCTAATATTATGACCTACTACCTCATGGGACCTTGCTGTGCGCAAATTGGCTACTGCATTGGCCTGTAAAACAGTTTACAGTTTATATATCCTGCTAAGCACGTTGGGAAGTCCGCTTCATGTGAAAGGTGCTATACCCATGGAAGGATTATGATTAGCAGTAGTACTTATTACCCCTTGTAATTTACTCCTTAGATTATCCACTTAAATCATCAGTGGACATACTATCTTGCTGCATAACGTTTTGAGAAGTCATTGCACATGTCCACCAGCCTACTTTATGAATTTTAATAAACCTATTACTACATTCTTACTGTAACTAGCCTGATCTTTCAAGCATAAAAGAAACAAGTAGGTTAGAGGAACAAATGTAACTAAATGCCCTGTGCTAACGCAGAACTAACAATAAAAACCCACATGGTAGCACTAGAAAACATGTGTTAAATAATAATTGCATTTGATAAAGTGCCAACTGCGCACAGAAGTATCCCACAAATGTAAATCTTCAGCTGCAGACTTTGTAAGTATACAGACCTTTGAATGAGATTGCTGGAGTTCTTGCTCGAGTCTTTCCCGCTCATCTCTGAGCATCTTATTGGTTTCGATTAAAACATTCATAGTTTCAGTTTTCTTCATCAGCTCATCGTGTTGTGCCAAGGTTTTTGCAGTTACCTGTAACCAAATTCAAGCCAACAATTGGATTGTCATGCAACATCAAAGAAAAATGTACAAGTGTTTCTCTCAGTGTGGCAACAAACCTAGAATTTTTTTTAATTAAAAAAAAGCAGCCAAGTCCTTTTTTATCTCAACCCAAGACCCAATCGTGACAACTCTTTAGTAATATCTTTATCTGAGTAATACTGAGTTTAGTGTGACATCCAGAACACTCAGCATCTTGATCCTTTATGCCAAGAGTCACGGTTTGATTACATTTTAACCATGTTTCTTACTCAGGACAAAATATTATGCATGTTACCATTAGTGCTCTAAATGCTAGCCCTTGCATTGCAAATTATAGCTGGCACACTCACCTGCACTTTTTCCCTTTCAGAGTTGAGATTATTTTGCACTTCCTTCATTTCCCTCTCTAAATTCTCCATTCTCTGGCGATAACGAAGGCATTCGACCTGGGCAACTTCAAACTTTGTGTCTGCAATTTCTCTTTCTCGCCGCACAAACCTACACCAAAATCAATTCCAAAGATACATTAGAAACACATTTGTTTACAGTTAGCAGGTCCCATTTAATACCTTTACCCAGGGTTCATAAGGGACAATAAAACAGAAGTATGTGAAAGTAAGTTTCCCATTTAGTGCCCCATTTCATCACAACAGCAGTTTACATTATGTAAATGTAAGATTTATGTATATATATGGTTTTACATAGCAAAGCTATGGAGTTCAACATTTCAGGCATTGATGTTGCTCTACATTCAACGAATAAAACAACTTAACATTCAATGATTTTAGACCACAAAATATCTAGTCAATCTTTTCAATCACTTTCTAATATATTCTTTGAAGCTCTTTGAGTCATCTCAAAAATGTGATAAGTTGCTATATCAAATGCAAGGATTATTATTATTATGAGCTGGAACTTCATTTTCTTCCAGTCTCTTCTGAAGTTAATATAATCTTCCTCCAAAGTCAACATACAACAACAACAGGAAATTAAAATGTCCCACATTAAACTGGAAGATGATATTGTTTAAGTTTCTTCCTCCTACTTACCGAAGAATTTCAAGCAATTGTTCCTGGGATTTCCCCTCCTCACTGAAAGAAATGTTCATGCAACTCTGGCTTGCATCTTGTACAGTGGTCACCATTTTATTGCTGAGGCCCTCGACCTGCTCAAGCAACAGCTTGTTCTGTTTCTGCAGATCCTCGCAATGTGCTGTTTGTTTCACAATTTCAGCCTGCAGAAAATTTTAAAAAAAATAATGCTCTGAAGTTTCAAGGAGTTCCAGTTATTTGTAAAGTTTGTAGAATTTATAAATTAAAAGCATTTTCTTGATAGTTTCTGTTCATCACACATTAGTTTCATTTCTGAAACCAGTAGATATAAGTCCTTTACTTAAATAATCCTTGCTAAATGCACCATGAATACAACCAGTGTTCGCTCAGGCTGAGCCTAAGCAGCCAGTTCTTTTAAATAGCAAACCAGACACACATTTAATCCTTGCACTTTCCAGCAGGACAAATGTGGAAGGGTTCAATGGACTGCAATTGAGTATTAGATGATTCTTTTCTATACTTGGGAGTTGTTTTTTGAGAAGCGGGTTTGGAATTAAATCAGTGTCTCTGAAGCTATATATAAACAGCACTTAAAAGTTAAACAAATGAGAGGCGGGAACAGATAAGAGAAAATTATCAACCACACACAGCGTACAAAAACTAAAGTGTTTCTTTTCCAGTACAATGAGCTACTCGGATTGTACTTATAGGAGCCTTTAACTGTACAAATAGGAACCTTTAACATCTGTTCAAGTTCTTCCTTGGCTGTCTTCATCTCCAACAGCTGAGCTTCAGCCTTCTGAGCAGTATCCTCTAGCTGTTGCCGCAACTGGGAGGTCTTGGCTACCTGCTCCTTAGCAGTCTGCAGTGCTTCCACATCAGCAGCATGAAGTATCAGTTCCCGCTCATACTTATTCTGTGCTTCAGAGGCTATCCTTGCCTGAAATGGAAACGACAAGGAACAACATTTTATACCAATATAAAGATACTTATTCTAAAAAAGAACACTTTAAATTACAACTCAGGTTATAAGTCACTTAATTCAGACATGCTCTTATTAGCAAATAGCTGGTGAATTTCTGTGCTCGTCCTCAGCAAATCAAGTATCTCATGTGAACATTTCCACATCCCACAACAACCTTGCTTTTACTCTGAAAAAGATGTAGGTAGTTTCTGCTTGGAAGGGGGCTGAAAGTGGAAACTAACTTTGCTAATTTAATTCAGGTCCCAGAAGTGAAAAGGTTGGAAGAGGATGAAACCATTCAGTTCATCAAGCTTGTTCCACCAGTTTATTAGATTTTTTTAAAAAAACAAGATTACATATAGCGCCTTTCACGCCGGGAGGATATCCCAAGGCGCTGAACTCCCATTCCCTGCCTCTCCTCCATGCCCCGTATTTACCCTTACTTCCCAAGTCTCAATTCAGCTTCCCTTTTAGGACATATTAGTTTGCTGCCCAGCTTTATCAACCGTTTTCAAATTTTAAAAGAAAAGTTAGTGCTTAATTCTATACAGTAAACCTCACAAAAGTCGTATGAAATAGGAACTTACAATATGATGTATGCAAAGTATGAGTTATGTCAAAGTTGCATAGATTATAAACTTTTGAACGGGACTTGGGCAGATGTATGACTTAGGCGAATATACAATATATACAGATCTGACTTGTGCGAGCTGTATTAATGCCAGGCAGACACTGAAAGATCTTGTGAAGTAAACTTGTAAACATCATAAAAGTTCTGCAGACCTGTTCCTGACAATCCGCCCTTGCTTGCTGTTCATTGTTTGCAGCACCAGTTGCTCGTTGAAGAGCTTCCTGAAGTTCTGCCTGGAGGCTGCTCAGATTCTTCCTTAGGTCAGACATCTGAAATGTGTTTTTTAAAAGAAAGTGGCAACAAGCAATCATTCAACAGAAGAGAACAACTCACAACTAGAATCTCCCAGGACAAAACTGCACACAATTAGTAGACAACAATCATCAAGTCTGTAATGTGAAGAGTACACAAGGCAGAGCATACACACAGCTGTGCTCAAGTGACCATTTTAAACAACTCAAACTTCACTTCCTGCAATTTGATTTATCATCTGAACTCCTTAAGTAAATATCAAAGAAACAATACCAATTCTTAATCTAATGCTGAGCCAACTGAGAAGTCAAAATAGTTTTGAATATTACGTCTTGGGTCATTGTTCCACACTATTAAATATGAATTGTAGCTGATAAAATTAAATCCATCTTGCAAAGACCAGTTCAGTTAATAAGTTAAAACCAAAATGTTATACCCAAAGATGTACCATAATGAATGAAGTGACAGAACTAGCTGAATTTTAAAGAAATTAGTGTTGAACTATAAATTAATGGTATTAAAGGTACGTTAACTAGTAAACATAACATGTAGGAGCAGGAGTAGGCCATTCGGCACTTCAAGCCTGCCCCTCCATTCAATCATGGCTGATCTTCTAATCTAACTCCAGCTAATAACCTGACCCTGCCTTATCCCCATAACCCTGAATACCTTTTACAATAAGAAATCTATCTATCTCAGTCTTGAATATGTCAACAGCCCTTTGGGGTAGTGAGTTCCATACATTCACCACCCTTTGAGTGAAGAAGTTCTTCCTCAACTCAGTGTGAAAGGGCTGGCCTCTGATTTTAAGGTTGTGACCCCTGGTTTTAGTTTCTCCAACCAGGGGAAACAATCTCCCACTATCTACTCTATCATGTAAGCACCACGAGTTGTGCAAGCTTGTTCCTAACGAGAAGGTTAGTAAGTCGTAAGGTAGGGAAGAACAAGACCGTGGAGGACTTCAAAAGTGAGGACAAGATTCTTCTGGGAGATGTGAAGCTGGGCGAGGATGGGGTTGATAAGGTCATGGAGCTTGGGGTGCGAAAGGACATGGGTTACAAAGCTCTGAAAAACCTGCAGCTTGTGGAGGGAAGAATTGGGAAGTCCAGCGACTTAGCATAGTCAAGCCTGGGCATAATGACAGTTTGGGTGAGGGCCTTGGCAGCCCGAGTTGGAGGTAGTGGTGAAGGCGGGCAATATTGCAGAGGTGGGTGAAGGTAGAACGGGTCATGGCATGGATGTGGGGTTTAGAAGGATAGTTGAGGGTCGAACAAGACACCAAACGTTCCATACTGGCTCAGTGGAGAGTGCAGCCACAAATGTTGATGCTGGTAGCATCTGAAGTGAGGAGGCGCTGATGACATTAAACTGGAGAAAGTTGGCTCTCATGCAGGACTTGATGTCTGACAGATTTAGATCTTTTACAGTACATTTAACTGTTTTAGTAAGGAAAGGTAAAGTGGCAAATCTAGGTAGACAATAGCCAAATTCTTCTCGAGGTGATTCGTTGTGTGTTTGATTACAGTCTGAACAACTACAAAGCCTGGAAAGCTATCACGTATTGCATGGCAGAAAGATTGGGGGCTTTTTAAAAAGTGCAAACAACTGGACAAACAATACATTCAAAATGCATTTGTCAAACAGTTTATTTAGAGCTCCAAATCAGAAAGGAACATTGTATTTTGAATGGCGAGCCTTTACCTGCTGTTCCAGATTTTCTATAGTTTTGCGCTTTTCATCAGTCAAATCTTGTTTTTCTTTCTCAGCTTCCATTAAACGCTTTTCTAACTGTGCCTGATATTCTGCAGACTCAGTGAGCCGAGACTCCACAGCTGCTCGAACCTCCTCAGTCACCTAGAAAGAGAGGACAGAAAGTCAATTGCAACAAACTTTCAATGCAGATCTTAATTACCCACATTTAGCATTTAAAACCGGTGGATTAAGTTCAATTCCAGGCAGTTGTCGTAACACCAATATTTAAGAGATCAATTTTAACATAATTTCTAGTTAGTACAAGCGGTCCTGCTCCTTATCAACCTACTGGCAAAAGCAGCTTCATTCCAATTGGTATAAGCAAAGTATAATTATTATAAGGTAACATTGCTGAAGTTCCTGGTTAATCAAATGTCAAAAGAACTTTCAAGGCAGTTTCTGATGAGAGTCTAAACACTCGTTGCAGCAGATTAAAAAGGAGTCTAATTTGTGACCTTCTCAAACTCCACTAATTGGAGTCTCCACAGTGAGACTGAGCAGCCAGATTGCAGCTGACGATTTTCAAAAGCCTCCAAAGCTTCGAACACAGCCAACCAGAGGGTGAAACGGATAATAATAATAGTACTTGCATTTGAAATAATGCCTTATCACATCAGTGAGACGTCTCAAAGCGTTTCACAGGATAAACTGCAAAGTGGTTTGACTGTATTTTTTGGGTGAAACATGGCAGCCAGTTCACTTTTATAAGAATAATTGCTTAATAGTTGCTAAATCAATTATCTTTTACCTTTTAATTAGGAATGTGGTTGTGTGATTTAAGCAACAATTTGTTGGTTCTCTGCTTAAGAGTGCAAGTGGCTGTTATTCTCTCCCCTTAAATAATAATAATCCTTCGATTTGATACAGTGCCTTATCACGTCTTCAAGATCTCTCAAAAAGGATACTACTAACAATAATTATCGTTCACCAAAGACTATGAAATGCTCTATGCCCGCTGAGAAATGCTGCACATGCTGGTTACAAAGTAATATTTTAGCTTCAGACCTGCTTCTCTTTGCTGATAGAGTCTTCCAGACTAAGCACCATGCCTCTGTACTGCTCCAAATTGCTTGTGGTTGTCTTGAGGCGCTCCCTGAGGTCGTTTGTCTGTTCCTCCGCCTGGCGAAGCCGTGATCTTAGATTGTCCACGTCCTCTTCTCCATTTGAATCCCCTAGAAAAGTACAATATACTTATTGCCACCTTAAAATGTCAAGGCAAAGCAAGTTTATTTGCTCGATTGATTCTTTCAAGGGTTATCATACCAACATAAAAAAGATTTTGTACCATTCAACAGCTCCAAATCCCAATTAAACGTGCATCAGGTACTAAAACCTCAGGGTTGATATCAATAACTGCTATTATGCTGGGCGGTAGGGGAAAGAAAAAGGAAAAGCCTAGCTGTGGTCTGCTTGTAACAATTGCCAATTTACCGGTTACCAAGATGTGTAAGCACAATTATTGTACTTTCAGGAATGAGTTTATGTACAATTATTAACTTGTGTATACGAATACTTTCAGGAAATGCATGATCTGAGGTCCATCAGACATTCATATCTTACTGCAGAAGAGACATCAATCCCAAGAGTTAAAAGCCTAACATAGTTCAACAGATTCTGGATTGCCAAGACACCTGCAATTTTCCATGGGCCAAGTCCCCAATTTCCCCACTGCTAAAGAGAAGGGCTGATACAATAACATGTAACAAAGCTATACTCAAAAATGAGGCTTCTTGCACTTGCCTTTGGATCCTCCTCCTTGAGTATGCGATACCAGTTGAGTTTCAGCATTGGAAAGTTGCTGTTTCAAAGTGCTGGCTTCTTTTTCTGCATTTTTCAATAGGTCCTTTGTCTTGACATGGAGACCTAATTCAGTTTCATACTGCTTTTTGATTTCCACAAGTTGCACCTTTGAAGTAAACAAAGGTTAATTGTTGTATATCTCAGAAAAGAGACAGAAATCAGGACAACTACATTTCTAGTTTTGCCCTATCTCCCATTTTAAATGGTACAACAGGCTTACTTCCGATATTATGAGCCTCTAAGCTCTTATTTGTGCACCAGAAGGTATCTGACCTTCACCCTCAGATTTCTCATCCTTTGGTCTGAATCCACATGACAGTCATATATTATTCACATTGATAAGAATAGTTTGAGAACACTTACATCTTGGTTCCTTCCAAGAAAATGTCGCTGTTCCACTTCATTTTCCAACTTCTTTTTTAACTGTGTTATTTCTCGTTCTTGTCTTTCAATCTGGTTATTCAGGCGTTGTCTGGTCTCAGTCTCTGCGCGCTCCAGACTCAACTAAATGTGACAGTAATGGTCAGTTAACAGAATTCTTTCTACTCAAAGTAACACAATGATCAACAGCAGGAACATCAGTAAAACATTTCAACATCCCAAAGGGTAAATATGCCACATAATAGAATAATAATCCTTGCATTTTGATATAGTGCCTTATCACGTCTTCGAGACGTCTCAAAAAGCTTCACAAGGTATACTGCGAAGTGATGAGACTGTATTCCTTTTGAAGGAGAATACCTATGTCGGACCATTTGCACATCTGTAGATTGCACTGCTTATCAAATCTACCACTAACTGCTATATTTATACCTGAATGGACTGTAGATTTGTCAGCAGCAAACTTTGTCCCCTGTGTTCTGCTAACTTAGAGTCACGCTCTTGGGTCAAACGCGCTTCCACCATCTTCAACATATCTTTCTCTTTCCTCAAATTTTCCCCTCGAGCCTGTGGATAAAGGATTAAAAACACATTTTATTCTAATTTCTTTTTGGTCAGCCAGGTGTCTGACACGTGGAAACCCATCACCATGCTTTATAGAGTATCCAAACCAAACTGAGAAGCATCCTTTTTAAAACTAGAAAAATGTGCTTCTATAATTATGGTTTAATTGCATTAAATCTTCTGTATCATAAAATTGATAATTTGGGGTAAGCAACAAATAAATGCAAGTTCAAGTAATGTGGCAATTCTCCAGACAGGCTGTAAAACTATTCACTAAAGTAACTGGCCTCAGTGAATTGCCTCTTCTTTGTATAAATTAAGCTGCTAAAAACATACATTTAAAGGGCCATGGAACATAATAGCACAGAAGCAGATCATTCAACCGATCGGCCGAAAGGTGATAGCTCATCCACTGACGCTTACTACTCTTAATTCTAATTTGAGGCTCGGATTTTGAACATTAAACAATTTAGAGTGTAATAGTCATCCAAGATCAGAGAAATATTAGATCCATTTATCTAAAATAGTTATTCAACAATGGCTCAGGAAACGTGTTAGTATGAAAGGGGAAAGACGGGAGCGAAATATAGCATAAGGGGAGAGGACTGAGCAAGCACAAATGAATTCCTTGGATATATACATTCTCCAACTATCTATATTTTATTGGGCTTCAAATAGCCTGGATAAGTAGAACAAATAGCTCCCTACACAAATAACTAAAAGTTGATTCTACTTACAGTAAATACATCAAAACACAAAAATACATGTGCATTTCTACATTCGTCAGCGCACAGTCACAAAAACAATTTTACTGTATAGCTGCAGACACATACTAACACGTATATTAAACAAAGTTCTGACCTCTTCTATAGCCAACTTTTCGTTTGATCCTCGCAGTTCCTGTGTCAAACTGCAGATAATGTGCTCCTGTTTCTGTACAGTTGTGGTGAGTTTCTGACCCCTATCACGCAGTGATGATATTTCACGCCGGAATGCATCTATATTGTTCTGCAGCATCTCATACCTTTACATAAAAAAAAAGTTTTTTTAAAAAAAAAGTGCACTTGTTCATACTGTGAATGAAACCAAATGCTTTGAGATACACTGGGTGCAGGTGTAGTGTGGATTAGATCAAGGCAAAGCCTGTGATTTTGCTCTAACCCATCTCAGAAAGGTATTATTTCCTGCCCTAGTACACAATTCTCAATTTACTTAACGACCTCATTGAACCTCCTAAAGATGGCTAAAATCAGGGTGATCAACCTTTAATCTTATTATGAATCTATGGCTGGAATATTTATTAAAGTTCAGCTTTCCGCTCACACAAATGTGTAACCACTGACATTTAATAGTTAATTAGACAAAATAGCTCCAAGTCGGCTACAGATCTGGCTTCTGCAAACGTACCTTTTGGAAGCAAACTCTAGCTGTGTAGACAATTTTGTATTCTGGGTTCGCAGCTGTGTTAAGCCATCCTGAAGCTTATCATTCTGCTCATTTAGCATCTTGTCGTTCTCCGCTTTTTCCTTCTTGTAGGTTTCAAAATGTAACTGTAACTAAAGTAAAAATTATTTTCTAAACAATATGCATCTTGAAAAATATTTAATGCTTTAACCAATGTACATTTTAGTCTTTGATAACAAAACAAACACCAATTTATTTCCTAATTTTGTTCGCGTCTTGAGGCTTAATGGATAATTGGTTTAATTTTTGGTAAAATATAACATCCCCCCAGGCTAGTGCACTCTAAGAAACAAGAGACTGACTAACAATTATACTCTGAACCTGCTTTAAAGAATGGGATTACCAGGCCATGGCTGGTAAAACTGCAATAAACGACAAGAACACAGTATTCACACACTGATTAAGCATCCCTTTTGATTGAAGAATCTAAAATAATTAGTAGTGTCTATGGAGACATCCAGTCTTCAACAAATAGGTGTGACAGGATTTGTTTACATCAGCATTTACCAACCAAAAATATGATTAATTCAATTATTGAGTTTGAGTTTAAATGGTTTATCCACACTATTATTAGTGGAGCTTGGAACTTCCTCCCAATGTGGATCTTAGATAAGTGTAAATTTGCATTGAACTATCCAGAAAATAAAATGTTATAGTATACACAGCACAACTTTTTATTATAAGAGTCAGTTCCATAAATAGGCAATAGGAATTTTACCTTAGGAGATCACAATGGTAACAATAATCAATGAGAGCACATTATAAAAGGTTAGAATACTTAAAAATAAATGTGATCACCAAATAAGAACAGCACCAAAATAAGTTACTCTAACATAATATCACCATGAGAAACAACAGCATCGTTCTACTGCACTCCACATTCTTCCAGCTTATGTAAGATTATATTTGTTGTATTTAATGTTTTTAAGGCTTTTAATTAATATCTTTATATACGTTTAGAAAGTAACCTACCCATAATCCTTTAATAAGGTTTATTGATTTAATAACTAGCCTAGCAGAGATTAAAAGTAGCTTTGCTGAACCAGTTGAGGTTAGCTTCGGATTACATTTTATATTTTCCTGGGAAGATATTCACTCCTCTGAGATAATGAGCAATCGGGTTCTTGAGCATAGACGTAAGAACAGTGGACCACAGAAAGAAAAGGCTGCAGCCTCAGATATCTACCTATCTCAAGACTGAGAAACAAGCAGGGCGTGTTAGGCCCCCCAGAAGTTGACCATATATATGTCTCTCTACAAAGCAGCCTGCGAAGTGTGGGGGCTTATCTGTGACAAGGGGAGGTGGAGATAGAAACACGTAAAAGAAAGATGCAACTTTGAAACAGATGTAATTTTGAAAAAGTTGGGAGTTGAAGAGGGTCAGCGCTTTTCCCAGTGGAACCGACATTGATTCTACTGTATCTGTGGTCTCAGTTTTAAGAATAAGTTACACTATTTGTGTTATTTAAATCTTTGATTATTATACCACTGTATTGGTCATCTCCATCCGAATCTCTTACACCTACATTGTTCCCGCCTTCAGGGATTAAAAGTGTGTAGTGCCATTTTAAAGATATTAAAGTGTATATTTGACACTTACCTGCTTTAGTGCTGCCTTGGCTTGTACAAGCTCTGTGGTCTCCAATGCAGGAATCTGACTGGGTGTTGATGCCATCTGAGGCATTTCCTTACTCAATCCTGGGGAGTGTTTTGGAAGAGACGATATTAAAGACATTTCTCCTGGTGCCTTATCTGAGGGGGGGAAAAAAAATCTGGATTTTAGTGACAAGATTAATATTATGTAAAATCCAGATAATGGAACCATTGTATTAATCGCTTTTTTTTAAATAAACCGTGCGAGCAGGAAGATATAGAAAACTAGTAGATTCAAACCAAGTCTTCATAGATTTGTAAGAAAATGTGAAACCACTGAAGTCCATGCTCCACTAGGGGATGGCATTTATAATTACTCCTTCAGTGAGACAAAGCTAAAACTGATGGGCTATGACTTACCTTGGATTGGAATTGAAACTCCAGTCGTATGTGCGAGTAGTATGCGGTACATATCACGCTGCCGTACAATCGATTCAACCATTTGCATCTGATGATTTCGTGCTTCACGGAGACCCTCCAGTTCGACTAAGGATTTCGAAAGATCAGACTCAAGTCCTTTAATTCTGCAATTTAAAGTCAATTCAATTTAAATAAACCTTCATTCTTGATATATTAAGCAAATTTCTCCTATATCTAAAAATACAAGCAGTCCCAACATTAATATGTTGATAAATCTATGAGTTAATTCCTAAAAAGAAAGTACAATTATTCAGACATTATCTGGGATTTGGAGCCTTATCCAGGTCCCTTGGGATCTCAGGCTACGTGCTGCTCAGTAAAACGAGTTTGAGTGCAAAACATGCACAGTGGATTGTTAGGCAACGTGTGACATGCTGACTAAAAAATATTTTTTCTAAGTTTAACAAACCTTTAATCTCATGCAGATTTAATAATCTAGATTATTACTTTTGAATTAGTCAACTGATACTTAGATTATTTTACTCTCTCAAAATAGAAAGATGGAACAACTGAAGGATAAGTAGTTAGACGCTGTTAAGCATGGTCTTAACTTCAACTACGCAAAGTGTTGTGGTTTGTGACAACTTAGGTGGTATTAGTTGGCAGTAGCATTACAATAAGGCTTAATTGGATTGGGGGGGGCAGAGAGCAAGGGACAAGAAAGTACTTCCAACTACAGTGAAAAACACACACAGGACCTCCAACAATGCAGAACACTTCAACCACTGTACTGGAGGTCATTCTAGAATGTACGTTCTGCAGACCTTTGGCTAAGACTTTGAGTTTACTTGAAGAATAATATGATGTGCCAAAGCCAATTTGATGTGATCAGGCCCCAGAATTTACCGTGATGAGGCCTTTTCCTCTTCTTCTTTCTCATGTTTCTCAGCAAGTTCACGAAGGGTCAGTAGCAGCTGCTGGTTCTGCTGCTGGAGTTCTTCAATGCTACGATAAGTGACTAAATGTTGTGAAATTACTTCAGATGAACTGCTAATATCAGCCGAGCTAACTTCATCTTCTCGCAAAACGTGGTTCCCTCGTGAATCTTCCAGTTCCATCAAAAGAATTCTAGTCTGAATTGCACACAAATAAAGGAGTGCAGTGTTATGCGTTTCAGGTTGGATACAGAGCATTTCATGAGCAATTCCATAGAGCTGCTACAATAATAAACGGACAATGACAGAACAATGTTATCCATATTTTGATATTAGGCTGGAATTTCATTAGCAAAACATTTTTGTGAAAATATATCAGACCAAAGGTTCAATGGTAAGCAGTATAATAATTTTTGCAGTTGATATACTGATTTTTCCCATCATCAAGATGTCTCAAAGTGCTTCAAAGAATTTCGCTGGGAAGCATAGCATCTGTACTTGTAGGTGAATGTGACAGCCAATTTGCACACAGAAATGTTATCTCACAAATAGCCATGAAACGAGGGACCAATTTTATTTGTTGACCAGGACACTGGGATAAGCCCCTTTCATATTTCAAATAGTGCCATGGAATCTTCAATTTCTACCCGAACAACCAGGCGGGATCTCAGTTTAACGTCCTTGCTAGTCTATTAAAGCAAGCTAAATTGCTTTACACTTGTCAACTGTTAACACTTGGTAGCATGGGTTAATACTACCGGCAAATTCCAGCATATTCCTGAACATAAACAATTTTAACAATTGAAGAATTTTATTCAACAGACCACTGGATTCAATTATTCCACTGGAAGTTTTAACTTTAAAAGGCTTGGTTGCAGCCTAATAGTCCCTTTATTTGCAATGATAAAACTGGAAATAAAATAAGCCAAGAACCACAAATGTTTCATCTAAAACTATCAACCCTCTTCTTGTTTTAATGCAAGGTGCAACCTCATCGTACATTTTGTATCAAGCAAAGCAAACATCCTTCAGTTACACACCCACCTGCTGAAAGAGATGAGTCATTTGCATTTTTAATCATTACAGATGCTATGCTTCACAGCAAAATTCTTTGAAGCACTTTGAGACATCTTGATGATGTCTCAAAGTGCTTCAAAGAATTTCGCTGGGAAGCATAGCATCTGTACTTGTAGGTGAATGTGACAGCCAATTTGCACACAGAAATGTTATCTCACAAATAGCCATGAAACGAGGGACCAATTTTATTTGTTGACCAGGACACTGGGATAAGCCCCTTTCATATTTCAAATAGTGCCATGGAATCTTGAATTTCTACCCGAACAACCAGGCGGGATCTCAGTTTAACGTCCTAGCTAGTCTATTAAAGCAAGCTAAATTGCTTTACACTTGTCGACTGTTAACACTTGGTAGCATGGGTTAATACTACCGGCAAATTCCAGCATATTCCTGAACATAAACAATTTTAACAATTGAAGAATTTTATTCAACAGACCACTGGATTCAATTATTCCACTGGAAGTTTTAACTTTAAAAGGCTTGGTTGCAGCCTAATAGTCCCTTTATTTGCAATGATAAAACTGGAAATAAAATAAGCCAAGAACCACAAATGTTTCATCTAAAACTATCAACCCTCTTCTTGTTTTAATGCAAGGTGCAACCTCTTCGTACATTTTGTATCAAGCAAAGCAAACATCCTTCAGTTACACACCCACCTGCTGAGAGAGGTCAGTCATTTGCATTTTTAATCTTTGATTCTCCCTGCCGAGCAACGTAGAACTCTTATTAGCCTCATCGGTATCTTTTTGTAATCGACGCATTTCCTGCAGCAGAAAAAAATCCAATAATATTAATCATTACATTTGGTATAACGTCTTTCATGCCGGGAGTACGTCCCAAAGTGCTTCACAGGACATACTATAAAATGCAGTGACTGCGTTTTGTGGGTGAATGAGTCTAGTATCATATGACCTTTGTAAGAATTGAAAAGGAGGCATTAGACAAAGGGTTTCCCTTTATTCCTGCTCTGTCCATTCATGTTGTGGACTACATAAATAAATATCTTCTCAATACATGAACTGTGCATATATGCTTACAGCTCAATGAATAGCTTTTATGTGTTGTATTATGTTCTCATCTGTACAAATGGTGAGGTGTTTAGCGTAGAATTTTTAAAAAAATGCTATTTGTCAATCACCCGAAGTAACATGTTGTACCGTATGTATTCAAAGCATTTGCATCAAACACAAAGAAAAACGGAGTCTTAAGAACCTCAATAAGTTTCGAGGCAGTGTGGAATGTGCATTAGTACACCAGCCATCATTATTCCATAAACCGACATTCAGAACCAACATCAGACTATTAATTACATTTACAGATAAGTGTGAAGCTGTACCACTATGTCAATGCGTTCAAGACACTACATATGCCAAAGGATTTTATTGAGAACGTTCCTGAAGCATTCATTCTTGCTGCACATTAATATCGGCACCTTTCCTCTCAAAACGATCAGTCAACAAGTTATGGATGGACCGTTGGGAAAGACTTTGTTGACTGGAGAGTATGAGGGGAAGCTTAGCAAACATTCTGACCACCTCAGCTTCAAATTGCTGGGTAATGAAGTCTCACTGCCCTCTGGAATTTAGAGTGTTCAACACTATCACTGCCGAGCAACAAGGACTCAGGAAAGGTGGAATGGAAAAGTAAACAGAAGAGAGAAAGAACAAGAGAAAAGTGAAATGCTACTACAGTTATTTATTTTCCTGAAATCAACTTTTAATTAAATCAGAAGAATGCAAGGATGATTATTATCACCTTCATGGCTTCTTCCAGTTTTGCTGAGAGATTTGCTACGGCTTTTTGCCCACGTTCATATTCCTCCCGCTGGCGTTTCAAAATCGGAGCCTTCATCTCCACTTCTTTCACAATCTCATCCAAGTACTTATTTACCCGCTTGTTTTCCTGTTTTGCCAGCAACAGCTGATCCTGGGCTTCAACATATGCATTGTATAACTGTGTAAGAAAGATGGTGGAGCGGGGGGGGGGGGGGAGGGAGAAAGATGAAAATATTCATCTGCATAGGTTGTTACTCATATTTCATGAAACACCAAAATATTTTAAGTCATATTTTAAGAAATTAGCTTTCCCATTTCATAGCTCATTCATCACATTTGCTTTGCAAGAGTCCAAAGAGTGGAATGAAATTATGTTCTGTACCAGCACTTACAAAAGAACTAGGATTGGAAAAATAGTTTTCACTAAATGGACCAAATTTCCCCACAGTGGGAGTAAGGACAGTTTAAGCTTTCAAATGGCAGCACATCTACAGGGATTCCATATACGTGTTGCTCATGCAATGCAGGAAAAAATGATTACAGTAATAAGGCTACTCAGACACTGAAATTTTCAAACATGAAAACATTCAAAACCAGTAACGGGAAAGTTTTCAATAAAAGCTATTCAATGGCAGCACATATCTTAAGAAAAAGATATTGAATGACCTAGTTCCTACCTCAGTAAGCTTCATTCCAGGTTTTATAACTTTAGCAACAGCTGCTGCAGTTGGGGACATGGCAGCAAGTTCTTCCTCTGAGAGGGTGGCTATACCTATACCAAAACAGATATGCAATCATCTAAACCACTAGCACAGATACAGTTATTGGCCAACATCTAGTAACCAACAGCATGCTCACCTTTACGTTTGGTGGCTACAAGGAGATCATTAGCATTTTCCAATTCCTTCTCAAGCTTACCGACCTTCTCATTCAGGTCAGTAATTAGTTTGGCATTGGAGGCCACGGTCTCAGCCACTCGCTCCTCGCTTTGCTTATGGGCTAAAATATAAAGACGTTAAACAACAACTTGCATTCATGTAGCACTCTTCACGCAGGCAGCGTTTACGTGCGTCACAAAATACTTAATGTTGAAACACTATTTCAACATTAAGTCATTTTCAACTATGAATGAACAGCGCATGTTTTAAAAAGGATGGAAAAATACCCATCAATGAAGTTCGCATTAAGTAACCTTACCCTCGTTAGCCTGTTTCAGAAGGCTATGAAGCTCTTCAACTGCTCCGGTAAGCTCTGCAGCCTTAGCTTCAGAATCATCTGCAGCACTCTGAAACAAATGAAAACATTTAAGAATGAATTGATTTAACTGGATATGAAAAGGTACTGACAATAATGAATGTTCTGAGGAATAACATTATTAAGCATTCAATGGTTATTGCAAAGCCCAAATTTTAACTTTATTTTGTTCAGAAATAATAATATAATAATAATCCTTGCATTTGATATAGCGCTTTTCACGTCGGGAGGACGTCCCAAAGCGCTTCACAGAACACACTGTAAAGTGAAGTGACTGTATATTTGTGGGCGAACGCGGCAGCCAATTGCGCACAGCAATGTCCCACAAACAGTCGTGGATTGAAAATGACCAATTTATTGCTTTTGGAGGAATTATTATTAGGCTCTGTGTGGAGTAAGGAAACTTGCCCAAGGTTTCGCCCTGCCTGGAATTGAACTCAGGTCTCTCGCTTGCAAAGCGAGTGCTCTAACCATTGAGCTACAGGACTCCACAAATGCATTAGAAATCATACCGGCTGTATTTCGCATTAAGTTGCTTCACTGAAATTACATTTCCTAAAATTATCATAGCATCCAATAACATTCATAATCTTAAATTTTTGAATGATGATATAAAATATTAACATTTCAGTAAGGTGCTCTTCGTGCAGTTCGGTGATCATTTCTGTGGCGAGTGCATCAAATCTCATTTAAGTGCTGGAAATGCTCGGCTAATAGTTTTATTTTGAAGCATGGTTCATCCTCAAAGAGAAATCACAAGGAACAACAAGGAATCTTTCTGCAATATTCTAACATTAAGATTGTGTGTAAGACTCAAAAATCCAAATATTACAGTTCAGATTTTGAACTTTTCACTAAACTGTATCAATATTGCTAGTCAAGAGAATTACAAAAGCAGTGAGAGTAAACACAATAGGTTGACTTTTGGGTGGTGGTGGGGTTCATGACACACGCGGAAACCCATCACCAGGCTTAAGAGTATCCAAGCCCAGCTATATAACATACCTTGTATAAGTTTGATAACTTTATGTGAGCATTCAGCTCATTGCGGAATTTTTCCTCCATGCTCGCCGAATGCTCCTTTGACTGCAAAGAAATAGAAGATTGATATCCAAGGTCAATTTTAACATTGAATGCATACATGCATGTAATACATATACACACACACGCGCGCCAGAACAAGCACCAGTTTGACAATCTGCAATTTCCAATTATCCTGAAAAAGTACAAATGAATTTGCATTTACCAAGATTAAACCAATATTGCTTTTACTGGTTTCCAAATGTTTTCTTTGCCAATTTCCCCTCAGTAGGCATTAAAATTTTCTGTATTCAAAACATCATAGAAGGTTATATAGGCACAGATCTCACCAATGGAACAATAAACTAACCTCTTTCAGTTTACTCATTAAGTCATCAATCTGTTTCTTGAAATTTTCATTAGCTCCTTTTAAAGTGCTAATCTGTTCTTCAATACTGGAGACCTGTGAAAGTGAATCGGTGAAAAACGTTCACCATCAGGTATTAGTAAAACAGTTTAACAAAAGTGACAATTTACAGTCAGGAAAATTAATAAATACAAATAGACAAAATGCATTCAAATTACAATACAAATTGACATATTTAACAGCTTTCAAATTGGGAGGACTTCCCAAGACGCTCAACAGTGTTGGCACGCGAGCTGGTGGTGGGTTCTGAGTAGAGAGGAGAAAGATGACCAAATGCGCAGTCAACGAGGTAGGTCTTGAGAATGATCTGGAGCGGGGCGAGGGATGCAAAATATGTATGACGTGTAAAAAATAATTGGCAGTTTTCCTTTCCTAAAGAAGGTGCCTGCTCTTCTTGGTTTAAGGGTGGGGGGGGGGGGAGGGCGACACAAGGCACATGATCCTCATCTAAGCAGTCATTCCTCATGTGCTCAGTTGGAAATTGAAACTTGGCAAGGTATTAAACCATGAAGGACATCATAGCTGACCCTAATGTTGCTATAACCTTGCATCCAGTTACACATATTCTAATAGGAACTAGAATCCTGGTGAATTTTTCCTCTCGAGGTCTGGTCAAATCCACCCAACTGGCTAAGATCAGGTAGCTGAATGTAAGCCATAAATTGAACCAGAGACTTTCTATATTCTTGAGTAAAGGTGGGGCAATCACACCTTGGGCCACCAGGAAAACTCATGCATTGCTTTTTAATTTGCTATAATAGAATATCAATATGTTGACAAACTATTACCTCATCCTTTTTGTTCTCGAGATTACATCTCAGTTCAAGAATTTCATTGCTCTTTTCTCGACGAAGTCCCAACAGCTCATCAGTCTTCTTTTTTAATTCTGCATTCAACCAATTGGTCTGGTTCTGCAATAGTTCCTTTTCTTGTTCAAGTCGTTTTTCACGGTACTGCAAATAAATTAACAATAGAGAAATGGACAGTTGAAATCCTGAGTTTGGGAATTTTATGGTGAACTGGCTTCTCTTGCATCGGACTGTTGTATTATTTTAGATAATGGCATTAATACACAGAAACATATCAACAATTTATTGACTATGAAATACATATAATTTATTGACAATATATATATTTGAACGTTGATCACATAACTCTCATTTTAGTACAGAATTTAATAAATAATGAAGACACTAATCTGTAAGCGTAGCACTTCAAAAGGTCTTATTTGCGCATAAGAGTAGTTTTTAAATTGACCTTCAAAGAATGAAATCTGAATTTGCAAGGTTGAAAGTTAGAGCCACAAATGCACTAAATTGGTTATAAAAAAGACAACCACTCACCTTGATTGAGATTTCAGAAACCTGGAGTTCATCGAGCTTCAGCTGAAGATCTATTTTTGCTGAATTTGTTTCTGCAAGCTTAGTATTTAATCGTTTAAAATCCTCTGCATGGGAAAAAAAGAAACCTGGGTTGTTCAAGTTTTTAGGGAACATTTAAATTATTTTCTTAGTTATGAAAGTGAACTCATAACTCCATCTGTATCCCATTTCTCTCGATCGCCTGGAGTAAAGACAGTCTTACTTTGCTCACTGCTCACATTGTCTGGGAAGGATGTCATGCTGAATGTGAACATAGTATTCTCCACCAGTCACACTCCATTTCCATTTAAATGGTTACTAGTGCTGGTTTGCTTCAAATATTTTAGGATATTTTAAAAGAGCTTTCATTAACCATTTACTAAAAAAAAAGCCAGCAAAGCTAATTTTCAGACGATGTTAAAAGAGCTCTTTGGGCGAACCTGGGTGTTGTTGTATGTTTGTTTTCACAACTGGACGTACCGAAAATCTTAATAGCTTTAAGTAAAGGTCCATGGAATGGGTCTGGGCTTTCCCAATCCAGCTCTTCAGTGGGTACAGCCCCGCAACAAATATTAGTCTCTCAAATCAATCACAAAAATGACCAGTGTAAACAACAGAAAATGTGAGCACACTGGTGTAGTGGAGGTTGCTTTTCAAACATACTGTTGGGCAGTGTAAAGAAAATGTAACATCTGGCAATTGTTCAATTTTACTTTGCCTTGTCTGACCCAGGGCTTCAATGCAGATGCTGGTTACCAGAAATAGAATAGTGCTCCATTCCCCTCAGAGGAACCAAAACCACTACATTTTTAAAATCACAATTTTTATAGTTATAGACAACTCAAACCACTGTTGTACGAAAGTAGAGCTCAGTGGCCATTTGTGTCTGCATGGCTAACCGTCACCTCCCCCTTCCCTCTCCCCCGGCTCGGTATCAGACTCCGCCACTGTCAAGCGCTCCGCGGGTCTCTGCCCCGCACGAAGGGCTCTACATAAATGCAAGTTGCTGTTGTCTGCACCATCGAAAGGATACCAACAATTCAGTGTTGGAAGCTGGAAGCAAACCCACACTGCACTGAAATGCGTTATAACTCGGTCTGACTAGTATCCTCCAGGACAAAGGAAACATTTACCACACAACATCCAAATACACATTTCATCAGTTTCTGAACCAACATACCATTCAAATGTTCCAGTTCTTGCGATCTTCGTTCAAGAGTCCTCACCAGTTCTCGTTTTTCATTATCCAACTCATCCTTTGCTCGTGAAAGTTGGTTCTATTTTTCCATTTAAAAATGCCAAAAGAAAAACTAAATAATTCACAGCAAGCACAACATCTCATTTCACATCAGTTATATTTTGGATCATTTGTCCTAAATCTTTATACGTCAATATTTTTTGCACACAACCTTAAACCTGACAAGTATACAGGCTGGAAAAAAACATTAAACAAAAGTAGTGTTCCTTTAATATCAAAGGATTGTATTCTAGCATAAAAAGGATATGTACAATATTAGTCGCTCGCTTACATGTGATCTTTTCTTGAGCCCACAAATTCAGATGAAGGATTTTCTGCTCATTCCACCTCGCTTATCCAAAATATTAACTCTACCAACTAAAGCATCAAGATGTTTCCTACATATGTATCCTGGCCTTCACTCGCATGCCTGGTAACAAATCAGCTGCTGATCAACTTCCATGTAAAGAAATACTTATTGATGTCCATCCTAAACCTGCTCTTCACAAACCTGAACCTGGGCCATAGAACACTGCTGACTTGGTGTGTCGCAAGATATTGTCCTAGGTTTATCTACTCTATCCTGCTTAGCATCTTTTAAGTTCTATAATGTTCTCCCTGACATCTCACTTTGAGGCTGAAAAGCCCAAACTGATCTAATTGCTTGCCCGAGCTCAGAGATCAGTTTCATTACTGTCCTCATGGAGAAAGTTCCAGGTTTTTATATTTCATAGAAGCATCATCTTTGAAAGGACAACATCACCAGAGAACTGAAAGGTTGGTTTCTCTGACTAAAAGTATTTGAATTTATTTGTAGACGGGCGTCTCTAACTTTAATTCATGCTTTCTCTTCCGCCCCCTTCCACAACCTTAATAGTTTCTCAATTCTCTTCCCAAAAGACTTTTACCCACTCTAGTACTGTTCTTGGTGAAGTTCAAATATAGAGAGCTAGTCACTGTAAAATGATTGTGTTTGTAAAGATCACACACCTGAGAATTTTTTAAATTTTCTTGAGAAGAGTCTAGTTCCTTATTTTTCTCTTTAGTCTCTGTTAATTGATCATCTGTAACAAAAACATGTACATCACCCACAATGGACTACAGTAGTATCTTGCATTAATTCAAACAAAAAGATGGAATTCTAAAGCAGAACATTGAATTTGCTCTTCGTTGCAATGGTTGCCAATAAATTCTTCCTAAAAAAATTCTCATAAGCTACTATGTTCAGCCAAACCAAGATTACCATCTGGTACATGAACTACCTTAAAGAATTCTACTTTTAACGAATGATTAGCTATGAAATAACGGATGGTACCAGCAACCTGCGCATTTATTAAATATGAATTATATGAAACTATAGTCGCTTCTTGAAAGAGCATTTCTTGGAAGAAACGTCAAAAAAGTCCCACTCTTCACTGCAGGCTAAGTTTAATACAGTGTGGTTGAATCCTTTCAGCTAAGGCTGTCCACACCAATTACAGCGCAACCAATATTATAATGATCCTTAGGTAATATATTTGGATAATAATGATGATGACATCTCAAAGCTCTTCAAAAGATATACTGTAAAGTGGTGTCGGTGTGTATATTATGGAGGCAAAAGCAGCAGCCAATTTGCGCACAGTCTAATGATCCACCCTGACCATTTCTACATAGTTCAGAATCGCAGCAAATCAGTATAATTGGGATAGAAAATAAACAACAATAATAACAAAATTACACTTATAGAGCGCCTTTCACGTCAGAAGGACATCCCAAAGCGCTGAACAGTCAGGTGTCAGGGCCTGAGCGTGGGGAATGGGTGGTCTAGGGGTGAGGGAAGGCAGAGAGGTGGGAAGGAGACCAAAGGCACAGTCGAAGAGAAGCTTTCTTTGTGAAGCCACAGCAATACTTACTGAGTTTGGTAAGTTCTTCACGCAGATTTTGACACTCCTGTGATTCTAATACCAACTTTTCCTGGCTCTGGGTGAGCCGTTTCTCTACTTCAAAGTATTGTTGCTCTGAAATGAAAATGTTATCCAAGTTATCAAATAATGCCTAAAGTCCCATCATTAGTCATTAAACATTTGTCCTATATTTTTACAGTTAAATTAAAACATGACAACTTACTTAAATAGATTAGAACTTAAGCAAATCCATTGGCATCATCCACGATGCTGCCCCTGAGCTGCCACAATGAATTGAAGGGCCACAAAAAGCAACAGAAGTCAAATAAACACTAAGAATAAAGAAACCCCGGGGGGCATCACCTTCATCACAGCAAAGATAATAATAATAATGATCCTTGCATTTGATATAGCGCTTTTCACGTCGGGGAGACGTCCCAAAGCGCTTCACAGAACACACTGCAAAGCGAATTGACTGTATATTTGTGGGCGAACGCGGCAGCCAATTGCGTACAGCAATGTCCCACAAACAGTCGTAGATTGAAAATGAACAATTTATTATTGTTTTTTTTTGGTTTTGGAGGGATTATTATTAGGCTCTGTGTGGAGTAAGGAAACTTGCCCAAGGTTTCGCCCTGTCTGGAATTGAACTCAGGTCTCTCACTTGCAAAGCGAGTTCTCTAAACCACTGAGCTACAGGACTCCACAAAGATCTTACTTGTTTAAAAATAAAAAAAATGCACCAATTTACAGCAACTGGCAACGCTCATCACTGCCTTAATTTTAAACGTTTTTGATTAATATCGTGTCTAAAACGGACCAAAAGCTAAACCCGTGGAGGTCTTCCGCATTAAAAAAACCACAGGAAATGCTAACGTTTGGTGCTAACTTTTTTTTAAAAAAGAATAGGCGGGAGGGGGAAAGAAAAGGAGCGGAATGTTTTGCAAGATAAATTTTTTTAAAACAAAAAAACACACACACAAAACACTTAAAAACAACAAAATGCACCTGACCATGAAACAGCTTATTCCGGGCAGTTTAATATGAATGATTTTAAATGCTAGTCAGAGGGTCCTGCAGCTCAGTGGTTAGAGCATTCGCTTTGCAAGTGAGAGACCTGAGTTCAATTCCAGGCAGAGGGCGAAACCTTGGGCAAGTTTCCTTACTCCACACAGAGCCTAATAATAATCCCTCCAAAACCAAAAACAATAATAAATTGGTCATTTTCAATCTACGACTGTTTGTGGGACATTGCTGTGCGCAATTGGCTGCCGCGTTCGCCCACAAATATACAGTCAATTCACTTTACAGTGTGTTCTGTGAAGCGCTTTGGGACGTCCTCCCGACGTGAAAAGCGCTATATCAAATGCAAGGATTATTATTATATTATTATTATAAAATAAAAGAACATTTACGGGTTCCTTTTAAAAGTAGCACAACCTGTCGCGCTCCCTTTATTACTCCTCACCCACCCTCTCCCCCCCGCTCCCCACCCCCTCGGGGCAAAGGGTCCAAACCTCAGACCCACTGAAGCTTCAGCTTCGATGATAAAACTAAAAAGAAAAGAGGTTCTGGTCTCCAGGCCTCAGGCCTCGGACTCTTCTCTTTCTCTCTCTCTCTCTCTCCCACTCACCACTGTCCACTTTAAAGCGCTCGTACTTGACCTTCAGGCCGTCCGCTTCGGCCTCCTTGTCGGACAGCAGCTTCTCCAGCTTGCTGACCGTGGCCTTGGGGAGTTTGGCCAACTCGGAGCGCTCCAGCAACTGCTGCAGCGCGGCCGCCATGTCGGCTCCTCGGCTTCAGGCGCTGCCGCTCCGTGCGCATGTGCAGAAGCCCGCGCTTTGCTCCGCGGAGGGGCCGGGGTGGTGGTGGTAGCCAACTACAACTCCCAGCACGCCCTGCGACTGCCCTTCGGGAGCGCAGGCAAGTGGAAGGTGAACTACACCTCCCAGCATACCCCGCGCTGCCCCTGTTCAACTCTTCTCTGGGAGAATTGCTGCATTGGTACCAAATAATAATAGTACAACGACAACAACAACAACAAGAAGATTGCATTTATAGAGCGCCTTTCGCATCAGGAGGACGTCCCAAGGCGCTGGACAGTTGGGTCGGGACCCGAGCAGGGGGGAAATGGTCAGGGTGAGGGGAGGGAAGGGAGGGAGCGAGGAGGGGGTAGAGAGTCGAGGTGAAGGCACGATAGTAATCCTTGCATTTGATATAAGCACCTTATCACGTCTTCCAGAGATCATCAAAACACTTCATAGAATATGAACTGACTGTATATTTTGTGGGCAAAACACAGCAGCCAAATGTGCACAGTAATAGCAATTTGCCAACAAACAGTTATGAAGTGAGTGACATAACTTATCTGATGGCCAGGTCACAAGACACAAATTCCATTCTCTTTTTGGATAGTGTCACGGGATGCTTAACCTTCACCTGAAGGATTAACATTGGTTAAAGATTTTACCTGGTGGATTGACACAACAGTTTATCCAACCCCCAAGTGGAGTGTCAGCCTGAATTATGAGCAGAAGGTTTGAACCCATCAACTTATGACCCATAGATGAGAGTGCGAACAACTGAGCCAAGGTATCATCAGGGTTGGAGCAGATTGTAAAGAGGGTATATCAGGACTTTGGAGGGAACAGAAAACTAAAGCAAAGATGGCATGGAGTTCTGGTATAAGTTAAAAGCTTGTGGAGGCTGATCCAACACAGAGAACATTAGAGAAATCTCGGCTAGAGATGGTGAGATAATAAGTTCCTCACAAAGGGTAACAGAAAATGTACAGCATGGAAACAAGACACTGCTGATGTTTACATTCCACAAATGTCCACCCTTTCATTTCTCCATCCCATACCCATACCCTTCTGTTCCCTTTTCCCTCACATCCAGGTGAGGGTGAAGTTCCAGTTTCCTCTTGAATGGATCCACAGTACAGCATGTTTTATCTTTATAAGTCTCAAAATAATAAGGCTCTGTATCAAATGGAAATATTATTATTATTATATAGCTGCCGAAGTCGTACGTGCACCTGAATCCCATTTACTTTCCTGTCAAAGCCACAGAGATTTGGGGAGGACAAGTTTGCAGGGCTACAAGGAGAGCGCGGGTGAGTGGGAGTGAATTGGATAACTCTTTTCAAAGAACCAGCACAGACACGAAGGGCCGAATGGTCTCCTTGAGTGCTGTGTAATTCTATGATTTCTTTGCACTGGTTGTATTATATAAAAGCACTCCTTGTACTGATAAGGTGATAAGACCTCTGAATGAGGGAACGCGAATCAACCAGCCTTTTAACTGGCTCCTGTCCAGTACAGTATAATTAATGTGAAGGGTGACTGACTCGTAATGGTGAGGTAAGTCCTGTAGCTCAGCGGTTAGAGCACTGGCTTTGCAAGCGAAGACACCTGGGTTCAATTCCAGGCAGAGGGCGAAACCTTGGGCAAGTTTCCTTACTCCACACAGAGCCTAATAATAATCCCTCCGAAAAAAAACAAACTAGTAAATTGATCGGTTTCAATCCACGACTGATCGTGGGGACGCGCGGCTGTGCCCAATTGGCTGCCGCGTTTCGCCCCAAAGATATACGGGTCCAATTCACTTTCGCAGCCTATTCTGTGAAGCGCTTTTAAGAGTCGTCGAGGAGGCGTGAAAAGCGCCATATCAAATGCGAGGATTATTATCATCAGTATTATTATTATAAGGGGCATAAACCAATGGCCATCAATTTTTGTCTGGAGTGGGGGGGGGGGGGAGTAAATGTTTGGCAATGTGGAGGGTTATTCTGGGGCAAACGTCTAGAAGATCATTACCTGGAAGCCAGGACTCTGACCCAAACCAGGCCCCATGTAATGTAACCTCAGCTAAACCCTGAACAGTAATTTTGTGCTGAATTCATCACAGTGATCACGAGGCCGGGGCTGTTGTGACTGCGGGACACAAACACCCCCCCCCCCGGGGGGGAGGGGGAGCGTCACGCCGCGCGGGAGCCTGGGAGTTGTAGTCCGTCCGCCTGCACGTCACGGCTTGCAAACCGCCGGAGCCCAGGCGGTGGCGGTGGGGGTGAGGAACTACAAGCCCCAGGGAGGCGCGCCCGCAGCGGCGCCTGCGCACGGAAGTCGCGCCCTCCCCAGTTACCCCGATGCAGTCTCACGCTCACCGCCTGGAAGCCGAGAGCCGTCGCGAAGGGTTAGTGGGGGCACCGGGTCACTTGCCGCCTTGTGTCGTGTGTTGCTTTCGCTGCGGCTCCACTTTGCTCTCTGTTGTTAACGCTCCGCCGGTGGGGACGATCTTGTCTCGGTTTTTAATCCTTTACAAAAGTTAGTGTGGTGTGGTCCAGTCCTGCCCTGTCCAGTCCAGTCCCCTGTCCAGTCCCCTGTCCAGTCCCCTGTCCAGTCCCCTGTCCAGTCCTGCCCTGTCCAGTCCCCTGTCCAGTCCCCTGTCCAGTCCCCTGTCCAGTCCTGCCCTGTCCCCTGTCCAGTCCCCTGTCCCCTGTCCTGTCCAGTCCCCTGTCCAGTCCCCTGTCCCCTGTCCTGTCCAGTCCCCTGTCCTGTCCCCTGTCCAGTCCCCTGTCCAGTCCCCTGTCCCCTGTCCAGTCCCCTGTCCCCTGTCCTGTCCAGTCCCCTGTCCAGCCCCCTGTCCCCTGTCCAGTCCCCTGTCCAGTCCCCTGTCCAGTCCCCTGTCCAGTCCCCTGTCCAGTCCCCTGTCCAGTCCCCTGTCCAGTCCCCTGTCCAGTCCCCTGTCCAGTCCTGCCCTGTCCCCTGTCCAGTCCCCTGTCCAGTCCCCTGTCCAGTCCTGCCCTGTCCTGTCTGGTCTGGACTGCAATTTACAACAGTACTGCTGTTGTGGACGGTTCACGGACCTGAGGACCGACGGAGCCGGCGGTGTGTAATAATATAAAATAACGATCCTTGGATTTGATTGTAGCCCCCGATCGCGTCTTCCAGGCGTCTCAAAATGCTTCACAGAATGTACTGTAAAGTGGATTGACTGCATATTTTGTGGGCAGAAGTGAAGAGGCGATCTGCGATCCTGTTATGGTTTATTATTAGGAAACGAGACTCGTGGGGGGGGGGTTTACCAATTTATTTTTTTGTAAATGCGAGCGAAAGATCAACCGGAACTCACTCTGCAACCCGTGTCCTCTCCTGCACAAGGCTCTGCGAGCCCTTCGCATTCACGTTCCAAATCCCCTTCTCGCATCCTTGCTCGGCTCCACTGGCTTCCCAGCTCGGAGGGGATTGCATTCAGGATTCTTGTCCTCACCTTCAAATCCCACCACGACCTCGCCCCATCCTACCTCAGCGAACTCCTGCTCAGTGAATAACAGTCTGATTTATGTCCCCTGCACAATCCACATATCATTGGAAGCGTTCAGCCATTCCGCCCCCAACATCATCTCACCTGGGTCCCTCCGCCTCACCCCCACCCTCCTCACGTTTAAACCCCATCTTTTCAACCATGCTTTCGGTCTACTAGCTGGCTCCGGTCTCCTGAACATCCCTCAACCTTTTCGTTCTACCATCTGCAGCCGTGGTTTCAACCACAAAGCTTCGAAACTCTGGAACTCTATGCCTCAATCCTTCTGCCTTGCCCCACCTTGCCCATTTTCAGATTATACCCTGAAGACCTTCCTCTTTAACCGTGCCCATGTTCACCTCTCCTCTCTTCCTGAAATTTGGACCTATGTCAAGTTCCTCTGTATCGGAAACAGTGAGTAGAGGAAGTGCAATTTCTGACATAGCTCCAGAAACTGAAAGAGAGACTTGAAACTTGAAAAAGGCTGTGTAAATGTTATGTTCTGGGAAGAAAATACAAAAATAATGCCTATGCGGCCTGTGGACGTTTCTCAAATACGGAATCCAGCTCTCAGCAGGCAAAACGTTGGACTCTTTCTTGTTTCTTTCCTACCTACCCTACCTGCCTATCAATCAATCAATCAATCAATCAATCAATCAATCAATCAATCAATCATATATACAGAGAGAGTGTTGAAGTACGCAGAAATTCAACTGATCTGTGGGATTGCAGTGAAGATATCCAGGATATCCTCTGAATTCTGGTGTCAAAGTAGGTTAATATAATCCTTGCATTTGATATACCACTTTATCACGTCTCTGAGATGTCCCAAAGTGGTTTACAGAATATACTGTAAAGTGAATTGACTGTAAATTTTGTGGGTGAAACTAGGCAGCCAATTGCACACAGCAGGGTCCCACAAACAGTAGTGGATTGAGTGACCAATGAATTATTTTTTTTTGAAGGGATTTTTACCCCCGGAAAAGCAATCCGCCAATCGACTAACAACCGGGTTCCTATTTACTGCTCGGTAAATCCTGCCTGGTTTCAAACCCAGAAGCCTCAACTTCTGATCCCATTAACTATCAAAACAAGAAACAAAAAACAGTTTCTTTAGGGTTAGGACGTTGGTGTCATATGTAAGTACCTACCCTGTAATTGGACAAAACAGTTTTGAGCTGTGATTGGCCAAACAAGTCCTAAACTATAATTGGACGAACCTGCATATGGTGTTGTCACATACATAGACTGTTTGGGTATAAAACAAGGTGTAAGTATCTGGGAGAAGCAGATACAACCTCCAGCTGACTGCTACGCTCCTAGAGAAGGTAACCGATCCCAATCTATCCTCTGAATTCTGGTTGCTCCCAATATCGCATCTTGCGATAGTGGTTTAGTGCTCATTGTATATTCATTGACTAATAATAATAATAATCCTATATTTGTGGGCGAACTATAATAATAACTATAATAGAGGAAACTATAATGTGTAGAATTATAATAAAGGAAACAGTGGTTTAATATTCATAATTATGTACACACTAATTCATCATTTATTGAATCCTAAAAACAAAGTTTCCTTACAAATTGGCAGCCTGGTGGGACCTCAATTCAACAACTGTTAAGAGGTCCGAACCCAAAAAAATCTCTCAATCAATGGTTGTCAGGACGGTAAACAAGGACCACAACCTAATTGCTGTCAGATTCTACCTACCTACCTACCTACCTACCTACATCCCACAAACAGACATGGAGTGAGTGACTAATTTTAAATTGACCAAGGCGTGAAAGGGTTAAGATGTTGCCGTTCTCAATGAATAGAGAATAAAGATAGAAGTTTTGTGGTTTGCAGCAAAAACAAAGGGAAGCTCTGAGCAATTTCAGAACCAAGAACATTAGACCCAGGTTTCATTGAATCCATCAGCTTGATTTGCACCCAGAAGGGCTTCTTCAGAAACCCGGGCTGAGTTTGCCTGGCAATCAAGTCTTGTCGATGATGTTGTAAGGAGTCATACACTGTTACGTAATAATAATAATCCTTGTCTTTGATATAGTGCCTTATCACATCATTGAGATGTCTCAAAGCACTTCACAAAATATACTGTAAAGTGAATTGACTATATTTTGGGATGAAATGCAGCAGCCAAATGTGCACAGCTGTATCCCACAAACAATCAGATTGAGTGACCAAATTATTATTATTTTATTTTTTAAAAAAATGTGAAGGGATTAATTCTTAAACAAAACATTTGCTTTTTTTTAAATTAGATGGCGATTCCCAGGAACAACATACACGGTTTGATAGCAGCTACATTCACCCCTATGACAGCAGATGAGTAAGAGCATAGATATAATTTGCAAAGTGATAACTACCTGTTAAAAGATTCAATGCTTAATCAAAAGTGCATTATATTGGTCTAAATCCTCTTTCTTCTCTTGCAGTGAGATTAACCTACCTGTTATTGGTCCATATGTCGATTACCTTGTAAAAGTTCAGGGAGTTAAAAATATTTTTGGTACGTTTGTGTGCAGGTATCTCTTAAGATTTTTCCTCTTTCCCTCTGAGCTGTCACCGAATGATCTGAGGCCTGATTGGAGTGTGTGATAATTGGGCACCAACCCTCAGGGATAATTATAAAGCTGGGTGCTTGGGAGTGTGAGTGGAGAGTCTGGAGAAGAGGAAGAGTTTGCTTGTTAAAATAAACCTTTTTTTTGTTGAAGCTATTGTGCAAGTTTCGTTTTTCAGGCATGACCCATCCCCTCCTACAGAAGGTTAAATGGAAACTAACTTTTTAACTCTTCTACTTTGCAGTCAATGGAACAACTGGAGAGGGCATATCTCTCACTGTTGAGGAAAGGAAATTGGTTGCTGAAGAGTGGATCAAGCAAGGAAAGGATAAGTAAGTGTTCACAACTGAGCCCAACGGTTAATTCCTGTTGTATTGAGGTTTGCAGTTCTGTAATGATATGCACTTTGCGCCTTTCCTCTTCAGAACCTGAGTCTGTGTCTCTTTATGATCAAAAGCTTCTAGACTGAGAGCTCAGTCCGTTGCAGAGTTGCGTACACCTTCCCCAGAGATCAGGAGGGTGTGCGGCCAGCAAACGAGTTTGGAGTGTGTGCTCACTTTTTTCGATTTTGCTGCTGTTGTATAGGCCTTTCCTACACTGTGACCTGTAAGATGGCTCAATTAGCTTCAGCAAAAAAAAGTTGTATTTGTATAGTTGTGGAGTCCTGTAGCTTAGTGGTTACAGCACTCGCCTTGTGAGTGAGAGGACCTGGGTTTGATTCCCTGCAGGGCGAAAAGTTGGGCAAGTTTCGTTACTCTACTCACTTCTGTTTATCTAGCAGTAAGGAGGAACCCGGTTGTTAGTTGATTGGTAGATCGCTTTCCGGGGGTAATAATCCCTTCAAAAGGAAATAACAATCACGACTGTTTGTGGGACACTGCTGTGTGCAATTGGCTGCTGTGTTTCACCCACAAAATATACAGTCAATTCACTTTACGCCTTGGGATGTCCTCCCGACGTGAAAGGCACTATACAAATGCAATTTTGTTGTTGTTTACAGTATTTCCTGTGAAAATTTTGAGACATCTCAACGACGTGTTAAGGTGCAATATCAAATGGATGTATTATTATAGTATCCTTCACGTACAATAACATCTCAGTGATGGGGTTGGACACGAGGGGATGTGAAGATGATCAGAGGCGTGATTGAGGAATTGAGATTTAAAGACACATAGAGCTAAGAATGCAGATGTTATTTCTGTTTCAACTAGCTTTGTTTCAACAAGTTCTAAACTACCAAGTAAAATAAGTGCAGCAATAAAAATTGCTCAAGTGACAGAAGTAAGGCTTTTTTGCTTGTAACAAGTTGGAATTTTTTTTGGTCAGTTGGGTGTCTTAACACTTGTAACAATCCATCACTATGCTTAAGAGTATCCAGACCAGACTGAGAATTCCACCCATAGATGAAAAGGAGGGACACACCCTGATAACCCTAATTCTGGAGTGTATTAGGCATAGGTTGGCAAGAGCCCGAGCTTGGAGATTCCAGGTGTACGCTGGAGTTTAACTAGCTAATACCGCATTGAGAGCATCGGCTGGCAAGCTTCCCACTGCTTGTCTAGTTAGAAACACCCGATCGTCAACGCTTTGGCTTGTAGAGTTAACAGGAACTGTGCAATAAGAATTCCTGCTCTCAGTGACCTGTCTGCCCTCGAAGTCCTGCCAATGAACCAGGCTGTCTGGTTGGTCATCAGCAGTGCCCTGAAGTTCTGCGGATCTGCCTGGCTCAGGAACTAGACTACCAAGACTACCCACAGATGGTTGACTTCATTCCAACATTCCATTGGCAAGCACGTCACCTTGGAGCCAGCTCAACTCCAAGGAGACCTCGCTTATCTTCACTCAAAGGAGGGATAGTTACTAGCTGGTCATTTCTCTCTTTGTCAACCTCCAGGTTGGATCAGGTGATCGTTCACATTGGTTCGTTGAGTTTAAAAGAGACAAAGCAACTGGTGAGTTTCTTGAACAATCTGGGAAACAAACAAAATAGAATTGAACTACAGCAATTTCTGTCTTGTCTGTTCACCTGCAAATACGCCCCTAACCTTGGAACTCCCCACCCCGATCCCCTACATTTCAATCCCTTTCGTTCTGTCTTCAAAAAAAATGTGGTCACTCACTATATGACTGTTTGTGGGACACTACTCCATGCAATTGGCGGCCCTGTTTTGCCCACAAAATTCACATTCAATCTACTTTACAATATATTCTGTGAAGTGCTTTGAGGCATCTAGACAAATGATAAGGCAGTATATTAAATGCAATGATTATTATTATTCATGTCCTGCCCTAAAACCTACATCTTTAATCACATCTATTGTCACATCCACCTTATCCCCTGCTCTGCACCCATCCCCACCATTGTAAAGCTCTCTGAAACATTATTCCATGTGAAAGGCCTAGATACAGTGGAAGCTGCTTTAGCCGGAAACCAGTTAACTCTGGACGCTGGGTAAATCGGACAAAACATCCAGCCCGGATTCATTTGTATTCTTGCCACTTCCTGCCCAAGGGCCACAGGTTGGCCATCACTGAGGTGGTGACTGTGAATTTTGTTGGTGAACAGGTGTGTTTAGGAATCTGGTCAACATTGATGTCGGACATCTTGGAGGAATTGCCAAAGTGACAGTCCCCTGTTTGTATTCTGTTACAGGCGGAGCATGCTGAAAAGCACAAAGCATCTGGGATCGCCGTCATTTCCCCATCATTTATCAAACCTAAAAACATAGGTTATTCTCTCCATGTTGACATATCTTAGCGTTGACAAAGCTTTGATTTTTTTTTAAAAAGGCTGTTTTTCCAGACTCTTAATTTTGAATGATGGATGTTACCAGAGCAAATCATTCATTGATAAAGACGTACCTCAAACAGCACTATCAGCAGCTATAGTCCCCGGAGACCCAGAAATCCAGCATTGTCAGAGGAGTGAATCCGGCTAGTAACATTTTCCTTTGCTTGAGTTTCTAAGTACCATTCAGCTATTAAAGGCTAAATTATAAATTAGGGGTCTTGCTACACAATATTATATTGACATGAATTTGCCGTTGCCAAGTGTTTTCATAGAATCATAAAATCGTACAGCACAAAAAGAGGCCATTCGGCCCATTGAGTTTGTGCCGGCTCTTTGAAAAGAGCAATGTAATGTCAATCCCACTCCCCAGCCCTTTCCCCATAACCCTGCAAACCTGTCCTCAAAAACCCATCCACCGCGGTTTTAAAAGTAATTATCGAATCGGCCTTGACCACCCTTTCAGGCAATGCGTTCCAGATTCGAACAACTCGCTGCGTGAAAAAAAAATTCTCACCTCCCCTCTACTTCTTTTAGATACTATTTTAAATCTGGCCTCGAGTCACCGACACACCCACCAGTGGAAACAGTTTTTCCCTTTCTAACCTATCAAATCCCCTCATGATTTTGAAGGCCTCTATTAGGTCTCCTCGTAACCTTCTCTGCACCAATGAGAATAATCCCAGCCTCTCTAGTCTTTCCTCATAATCAAGGTCCCTCATTCCTGGTACCATTCTTGTAAATTTCCTTTCCAATGCCTTAACATCCTTCCTATAGTGTGGTATAGGAAGTATTCTAACCAGTGTTTTATATAGCTTAATCATAACCACCTGACTCCTGTACTCTATGCCCCTATTTATAAAGTCTAGTATCCCATATGCCCTTTTTACAGCTTTATCTACGTGTCCTAGAACTTTCAAGGATTAATTTACCTGCACCCCCAGGTCTCTCTGTTCTTTCACCCCACCCTTAAGATTGTATTACCAGCCTATATTGCCTCCCCTCATTCTTTCTACCAAAATGCACTACCCCTCATTTCTCCACATTGAAATTCATCTGCCATATGTCTGTCCATTTTACCATTCTGTCTGTCTTCCTGCAGTTGGCTACTATCCTTCTCACTGTTTACCACCCTACCTAACTTGGTGTCGTCCGCGAACTTGGAAATGTTACTTGCTATACCCAAGTCCAGATCATTTATGTATATTAAGAAGAACAGTGGTCCTAATACCAAGCCCTGGGGGATGCCACTGTACATTTCCCTCCAGTCAGAAAAGCAACCGTTCACCACAACTCTTTGCTTTCTGTCTCCCAGCCAGTTCTGGATCCATGCTGCCACTGTCCCTTTTATACCATGGGCTTCTATCTTTCTTACAAGTCTTTCATGTGGCACTTTGTCAAATGCTTTTTGAAAGTCCATATAAACTACATTAACTGCACTCCCTTTATCCACCCTCTCCGTTACCTCATCGAAAAATTCTATTAGATTTGTTAGACAAGGTTTGCCTTTAACAAATCGGTGCTGGCTGTCCCTAATTAACCCATATTCTTCTAAGTGAAGATTTATTCTGTCCCAGATTATAGTCTCCAGGAGTTTCCCCACTAGTGATGTTAGGTTGACTGGCCTGCAGTTCCCAGGTTTGTCCTTCTGTCCCTTTTTGTACAGGGGAGTCACATTGGCCACTCTTCAGTCCTCTGGCACCACCCCTGTGTCCAACGAAGATTGAAAAATTGTAGCCAAAGCCTCTGCTATTTTTCTTAATGCAGATACCAGGAATTACTTCGACACAGATTTATAAACAGATAGAACTATTTACTAGGCAGGACAGTGGTAGCTAAGGCACTGGACTTATTTAAGAGACAGGCTGATGCTATAATGGGAAGACAGTGGAGGAGGTATACTATAAGAATGAGATTAATTAATAAGTACTTGCATTGGATATAGTGCCTTATCACATCTTCAAGATGTGTCAAAGCGCTTCACAACATATACTGTAAAGTAAATTGACTGTATATTTTGTGGGCGAAACATGCCTACCAAGTGCACGTAGCAGCGTTCCACAAACAGTTGTGGGTTAAGTGAACAAATTATTATTTTTTTTTGAAGGGATTATTACCCCCAGAAAAGCTATCCACCAATTGACTAACAACCGGGTTACTACTTACTGTTAGGAAAACAGAAGCATGTGGAGTAAGGAAACTTGCCCAATGTTTCGCCCTTCCCGGGAATTGAACCTAGGTTCTCTCGCTTGCAAGACGAGCGGCATAACCACTAAGCTGCAGGGCAACAGGACTAATTGGGCGAAAGAGGCCTTCTTTATTCAAACCTATCTTGTAATAACGATTCAAAAGTAAAAAGGAGTAATGCCCAGTTTACTGCCCAAAAATCATTCAAATAAAATTGGTTGTTCACTCCGTGGCTGTTTGCAGGACATTGCTGTCCAAAAAATTGGTGCCACATTCAGCTACAAATGCAGTCACAACTCTTCACAGAAAGCTATGTGGAGCACTTTGAAACATTCTCAACATTCTCAACATTATAGGCATTGTATCAAATGCAAGAATTGTTAATGTTGTTGTTGTTGTTGTTACAGATGCTTTGGTGAAGTTTTTACAAGAGGTGGCATCTGCTGCACCAAATCTCCCTTTGTATTATTACCATATCCCTGAATTAACTGGAGTCTTCTGTAAGTATCAACATCCATAAAGGTCCACAGTATAGAAGGAAAATTCCTAGAACCTAATTAATTTTATTTAACCATCATAGTAACACGCCTGGGCCATCAGCTCATCAAGTCTGTTTAACCAATTCATCAGATCATGGCTGATCTTTTAATTTAATTTCCCCACTGTTCTTCCCCGTCCTTTAGTATCTTTGTGTTCCCACTCTCTAGAAATCCATCCCAAAATCCTTCAGACTTACACCCTCCCTCCTTCCCTCCTCTTGTTCAAGACCCATCTTAAAATATAGGTCACTATCAGCCGTCTTTTCACTCCCAACTCCAACAACTCGGGTGCCCTGATAGCAGTTATCAAGGACTTTGAGACATCCTTCCAATGTGAAAGGAGCTGTATGAATGTAAATTGAATTTTATTATTTTTCCAAGCCTTAGCTCTTGACAACCTGTGCCCAAGGATTAGGTGAACAGTCTTGAGTCCACCTAGATATAGGGACATTTCTGTGCTGATGTATGAACTCTCTTTAACTACAGTTTGGCACACATGGAAACCCCTCACTGTGCTGTAGTCACTCAGTTGACCCAAAACAATAGAATACTCTACAAAACTAATTTGCATTAATATAGTGCACTTAACAATCCTGGCTTGGGACAATTCTTAACAATACTTACCAAGAATCTATCACCCTTTTAAAAATTGCCAATCCATTGTACATACCTGTTTGTGGGACATTGCATTCCACAAATTGGCCACTGCGCCCGCCTACAAAATACAGAATCACTACATTTATTGTATATCCTGTGAAGTGCTTTGAGATGTCCTCCCAATGTGAAAGTCGCTGTATAAAACAGAAGGTTTATTTATTGCTCCCTGTTCTAATTCCTTCGGCCAATGCGAAGTCATTCCATGTTTACCTTAACCTCCCCCTCCCCCAGGTTAATTCCACAACTAGAGCTTTCATGGGCATCGTCTCATCTGTCCTTTGGATAAGATCTTAAACCGAGGTCCCATCTGCCTGTTCAGGCACTATTTCAAAAAGAGAAGGGAGAATAATGGACAACAATCCCCTGAATAAAATCCATGGCTGTTTGTGGGACACTGCTGTGCGCAAACTGAATGCTGCACTTTGCCCACAAAGTACACAATCAATCCACTTTACAGTATATCCTGTGAAGGGCTTTGAGAAGCCTCGACAATGTGAAAATGTGCAATATCAAATGCAAGGATTATTATTGCATTCCACAGTCTCGTCACTCTACCTGACTTGCAGTAAGCATTGAGCAATTCATAAAATCCTGAAGTAATTTTTTTTCTTAAATTGCAGTCAACATGGAGGAGCTTTTGGATGGGATAGAGAAAAAGATTCCAACATTTCAGGGTCTGAAGTTCACCAGCAGTGACCTACTGGACTTCGGACAATGTGTTTACAAGTACAAGGATAAGTTTGCTCTCCTGTATGGGAAAGATGAGGTGCGAACATTTTCGGCATTATTAATCAACAGATTTTATCGTTCCAATATGGAGCCATGTAGCATATTGGTTAGTGCACTTGCAAGCAAGAGGACCCAGGTTCGATTCCCGGGCAGGACAAAAGCTTAGGCAAGTTTTCTTACCCTACAGCCTCTATTTACGTAGCAGTAAGTTGGAACCTGGTTGTTTGTCAATTGGAGGATCGCTAACCAGGGGTAATAATCGCTCAAAAAAAAATGTGATCACTCAATCTACGACTGTTCGTGGGATACTGCTGTGCACAATTGCCTGGCGGGTAAAAGCCAGCATCACAGCAAGGAAGCGATTCAGTTATTTTCACGAATGCTTTAATAAGTCAGCAAGACCAAAATGGTTGACTCAGTAAATCAAATTAACCCAAGCTCGAACAAAAGTGTCAGAAAATAACTTGGAAATAAGAATGAATTGACTATCCTTCTTGAGTAGATGCCCACAAAATATACAGACGATTCACTTTACAGTATATATGGGGGTAGGGGCTGCATGGCTATCTGTAGTGGGAACTCTGGCTAATTATTTCACTTCTGGTACAGTACTACATCTTGCCTGATCGCGTGCAGTGCGATTATCCCTTAAAATCCCTTACAGTCAAAACACTTTACAGTATATTCTGTGAAGTGCTTTGAGCTGTCTTGAAGATGTGATAAGGCGCTAAATCAAATGCAAGGATTATTATATTATTAATTTCCCTGAATTCAGAAAGTGGCTGCAAAATGGTCCCACAGGCAACAGACACTTCCAATGCTTCGCCCCCTGCTGGCTGCCATGCTCGCCTACAAAAAGACTTTACAGTGAATACTGTGAAGCACTTTGAGATGTTCTCCTGACATGAAAGGTCTTCTATGAAATGCAAGGTTTAATAAATATATTATTATTGTCTTCCAGCAACTCCTTCCTGCGATGGTACTGGGAGCATCAGGAGGTATTGGCAGGTAAATGTCTTAACAAACCCTTGGACTCGCTGCTTGTCCTCCATCCACAGGCTGCAGATCATCCAGAACTCTGCAGCCCATGTCCTCTCCTACACTAGGCTCCATGACCCTATCACCCCCATCCTTGCCCAACTCCACTGGCTTCCCATCACACAGAGGATACAGTTCAAGATCCTGGTCTTCACCTTCAAAGCCCTCCACGGTCTTGCTCCCCCATACCTCTCCGACCTCCTAACCCCCTATAAATTGGTCACTTCAATCCACGACTGTTTGTGGGATGCTGCTGTGCAAAATTGGCTGCTGCGTTTCGCCCACCAATATAGTCAATTCACTTTACAGTATATTCTGTGAAGCGCTTTGAGACGTCTAGAAGACGTGAAAAGCGCTATATCAAATGCAAGGATTATTATTATTACCATCCTGTTCGCTCCCTCCGCTCAGCTGGCTTCAGCCTGCTTCACGTCCCCCGCCTTGCTCGCCCCACTATCTGCCGCCACTCTGCACCCACCCTCTGGAACTCCATCCCGCAGTCCCTCCGTCTCACCCCCTCCCTCGCCACCCACCTCAAGACCCTCCTCTTTGACAGTGCTTTCGATCTCCCTGATTCCCCCGCTGCCCTCCCCCACACCGACCCCCAGCTCGGGTCCGTAATTCTGTCTTTTCAGCACCTTGGGACTATCTCCCGACGTGAAAGGCGCTATACAAATGTAATTTTGTTGTTGTTGTTGTTGGACAGGGGTGATGGGTAGGTGATAGAAACTAAAATCTTAAGTGAGGGTACCTTGCCGCTGCTGAGATCAACCAACTCGGTCAGGAATAGAGCGTTGGATCCTCTGGCCCACTTCCTGTTAGGCATTGACTTTAGCAACTTTGATGGTCTTTGTATAAAATGCTGCATTATTGAGCAGATTTTCTGCTAACCTCTATGTCCCTCAGCACATACAACTACTTTGGGACTTTATTCAATAAGATGCTATCCGCTTTGAAGAAAGGAGACAATAAACTGGCAAGACAGCACCAGGTAAAGACTTCTTTTCCTGCTTGTTTCCCTTACTTTTCAATAAATTCCTCTTCAAACTATCAATTCCTTGAAGTGATGCCATGTTGCCCCCACTGAGTCCATAATCCAGCTACTGTTTACTTGCAGTAAGTAGGAACCTGGTAGTTAGTCAATGCGCGGATTGCTTTCTGAGGGAAATAATACCTCCAAAAAATAAAAAATGTGTGGTCAGGCAATCCACGCTGTTTGTGGGACACTCCTGTGCGCAATTGGCTGCCGCGTTTCGTCCATTTTATTATATATACAATGAAGTGCTTTGAGACCTCTTTTCCCCCCACCTTGCCCCCTCCTCCCTCCTCTTCAGGTCACAGAGTTCTGGGTGATCACTTGTTGTGCCCGCAGAACTGTGTAGCTTCAGCTCTGAGACCTGCGCTGTTTCTGAAGGGTACTGTTTCTGAAGGGCACAATGTCGTTATTGCCTCCAGTGAATGTCAAATGTTGGAACCTCTTTTGTGATCTCAGTTATTTGTAGACCTTGGTAGTTAGCGATTAAATGAGAATTGGCATTTGGAACTCGTTGAGTCCAGGCTGACACTCCATCACAATGTTGGAGGTGCACGGGTCCTTCAGATGAAGCACTAAACTGAGGTTCTGTCTTTTTTAAACATCTAATAGGCAATCTTATGAGGCATTGTCTAGGCTGACAGTCCAATGCAGTGCTGGTAGAACGTTACAATGTGGGAGCTGCTGTCCTTTGGATGCTATACTAAACTGAGCTCCAGTCTGCCATTTGATTTTCCCTTTTATTTTAACTGATATAAATATGTTTGTTAGTCTACTTAAAATAGTTAACGTGAAGTTAGTGTGAATGCACATTTCAGTGAAGATCTTGTTCCCGATCAGCAATGTGTTGAATAAGAGTATAAAGTTTGGGACTGGGCACGGATTTTACAAGATCGGTTTGGATGAAGAAGACCCATGGGTCTATCTGATCTCATTCCTCCAGAACACCTATGCTACTGTCTTCCCTGCGATCTGCTAAAACATTAGCCACCTGTCTTCTCCCTCCGCTCGGCGGGCACTGGCTTGCTCCATGTCTCTTACCCTGCCTTCCAACCGTTGGTGGTCGGGCCTTCAGCCTTTCTGCCTCCACTCTCTGGAACTCCATCCCAGAGTCCCTTCACCTACTGCCCTGTGCCACACCTGACTCAGGCCAGCAGCAGCCATCTTTAAACCAAGCATTTTCAGGTGGAAAAAAAAACGCTGTTCCACACAATACGCTTGCAAATTTGGGTTTGTTAGCAATAGCAATAGTATAACGCTAGTTTTACAACAATGGAATCAATTAGTGGACATTATTACTTAGCATCGATGTTCTGTAGTCACATCTACGTCGCCTCCATGAAAGATAACGCTGTTTATTTTCTCATTTTGTCTTGCAGTTCAAGGTGCAAGACTTCATCAGGTATCTGTACAAACTAGGTCAGTGGATTTGTATCTTTGAGCAAATGTGCTTCTCTGAATTGTGATTTTCTCCCTTTATTTTAAAAAAAAAATTTAATGAAGGCCAGCCATTACAGCAGCTCACCTCAGGCGTTTCAGAATATCACCACCCACCCATTAAAGCATAAAGGTGTTTTTGAAGCTGTTCCTGGCTTCCAACACCCTTCCTGGTAAACCATTCCAACTGTTGGTTGTTGTTTGGGTAAAGAAATGATTCCTGGTGTTAAATCTGATCTTGATGCTCTGTGCTACTGATGCTCTGTGCTGTGTTTTTCTTTTCACAGAGGCGGGGGTGAGTGAGAATAAAACTGTGATGTCTCTGGTCTCAGGTCTTCCCTTGGGACCTCCACGCCTGCCATTACTGAAGTGCAGTCAGGAGAATGCAGTGAAGCTTGAAGCTAAGCTGAAAGAGATGGGGCTGCTGGCTTAACAACATCAGATGATAGATACATGGAGATATTAATATTAATGACTATTAATATTAATGGCTCACAAATCGATGTGTCTTTCCTTGCTCGCCCATGATATCCTCCGGGACTTTCCCCTTTTTCAAACACCTCAAATTTACCGTTCCTCCAACCTCTCCCTTAAAATTCTCATCATCTCCTGTCCCATCCCCCCAAGCCTTCCATCACTTTCTTCTCTGACGTCTCCCTTCTATCATCTGGGGAGTTCGATCCTTGCTTGCTCCAGATGCCGATTTCTCCTCTTCTTTCAACCTCTCCCTCCACATCAACTCTGCATCCCACATTGAAGGCCACCTGATATTTCTCTATGGCTTTTCCAACTCAGACATCCACATCACTGATAAAGCCATTTTGGACAACTATTTTCCTCAACTCCTCCCTCCCGGCAACCCAAACCACTAGCATCTCTTTCCGCCCCTAGAATAAAATTACCCCCTCCTCTGTTGCCATTGAGTCATCTGTACTCCTGTCCCAATGGCATTACCTCCTTGGTCACCCTCCTGCAAAATTCCTTCACAACCATTCTCAACACCCTCACTCCATCACTTCCCTCATCGCCTTCCATTCCCACAAGTCCCTCTGGTACAACAGCCACCTCTGTTCCCTCAATGGCAGGTACATGGATTGCACGCACCTGGCTTAAATCCAACCTAATGGCCCCACCTGACCTTCCAGCTACGTGAGAAAAGACCAGTCATTTCATGTTTATTTTTAATTGCATTTTTTAAAAACGCATTGGATTCTAAATGATGAGTAAGCTCATGCTGTAATTATCTCAAATAGAACCAGTTCAGATGTAGCCTGAGGCTGCTGGGTGTGAAACTTATGTTTCTCTAACCCCCTGTGCCAAGATCAGTTCAGGCAACAATCGCCCAAACACTGCTGTTGTAACATTTGGTTGTCAAGAGGCTGAGTATTCTCGTGTGATGTTACGCTGATGTCTTTCCGAGTTCAGAGCAAATATGGGCCAAACAATCAATGTTGGAAAGAGGTAGCGCACGATACTAGACTCAGGCAAAAATATATTGACATGAAATCTGGGGGTGTGTGGAGGCTATGAGACTTTTGTAGGTTTGAATGAGATACTTGCTGAAGCCCGGGAGAGTGTTCTCCAAAAACTACAGATGGATTTTAATGATGTGTTTTGTTTAATAGATAATTACAGATTTGGGGGGAAATATCTTTATTTTTATCATAATTATTACTGGTGATAATTAACACGTCCTAAACTGTAGTTTGCACCCCTATAACTACAGCTACTATAACGGCAATATAAATTGCATGCATTCTGTATTTATAATAATAATCCTTGTATTTGATATAGCGCCTTGTCACTTCTTCGAGATGTCTCAAAGCATTTCACAGGATATACTGTAAAGTGGATTGTCTAAGTATTTTGTGGGCAAAACACGACTGCCAATTGCGCACACTGTCATCATAGATTGAGTGACCAAATTATTTTCTTGGAGTGGGATTATTATTGTTTCCAGCTCAGATATCTGGGATAAATGGCTTATCAATGAAGAATGAGATCAAATGGGCTGAAGGGCCTTCTTCATTTGAAACCATCTTGTGACCTTGTGATCTCATTCTTGTAATCTCTACCTGAGACCTTGTGATTTCATGACTTTGTGATCTTAAAGGACATTTTCAATTTCATCTAAAACCTAAATAAAAATGCTCTGCACTGAAATGCCAAATTGTGGAATGTTCATTCCTTTTTTTTACCCGGAGAAACTAGACGATCAAAGACAGAAGACTTGTTGAATGAATCTCTCTTTAGTTAATAATAACCCTTGGATTTGATATAATAATAATAATAATAATCCTTGCATTTGATATAGCGCTTTTCACGTCGGGAGGACGTCCCAAAGCGCTTCACAGAATATACTGTAAAGTGAATTGACTGTATATTTGTGGGCGAAGCTGATATAGCAGCTTATCATGTCATTGAGATGTCTCAAAGCGCTTCACAGAATATACCATCAAGCTGTTTGACTGTGTATTGTGTGAGCGAAATGTGGCAGCCAATTGTGCACAGTTGTGCCTCACAGACAGCCGTGCAGTGAGTGACCACTCCATTTCGAGGATTGTTGGTTAGAATAGCGAGGGAGACTCCCTTCTCTTTCGCTTTTCAGCGCGTTGGGTCGTCCTCCCGACGTGAAAGGTGCTTTACAAATGTAATCCTGTTGTTGTTGAACAGGTAGACAGGAACTCTGTTTAACGTCTCATGCAAAGGACGGCACCTTCCACAATGCAACACGCTCCCAGCACTGCATTGGAGTGTCACCTTAGACCATATGGTCCCCAAGTCCAATATAGGCCTGGAATCTCCAACCTTTCATCTGAGAGGCGAGTGTGCCAGGCTGAGACACAATGTTGGTTAATTGGTGACAAACAGAAGAACCTGTTTAGTCCAGTGGGAACAGTAGGCCAGTGTAGACTAAGATGGCTGCACAGAATGATACTGGGCCCACTAAGTTGTCTGAGTTCTGTGAGGGGAGAATTAGAAAGACCTGACTGTTCAGCGCTTTGGGACGTCCTCCCGACGTGAAAGGCGCTCTATAAATGTATTTTTGTTGTTCTTGTTGTTGTAGAAAGGAATCCTCCCTCTTCACGATCGCTATCCATTGTCATTAACAAGCGCCTGTCTGCCCATTCCCATTGAAACCATTGCTGGAGCTCAGCAGCTTTGTGGCCCTTGAGTGATTGTTTCCCAAAGCGCAGGGCCATTGCTACACAGCTGAGCGGGTTTATGTGAGCTCTGTGCCTCCCTCCCCATGGGATAACCAATGTGAAGCCAGCAAAATAAATGAACCAATGCAAACCCCATCAGTGTTCCTATATGGCCGACATTGCAGTTTGACTCATATCTTTAGAGACCTGGATGATGTAGAATGTAAAACAAGATGACAGAGGTTTGAAGTTCAGAAACACAAAACACAAATAATTAGCAATTATTATGCAAACCTTATCTTCACATTAACTACCTGACGCCATTCTGCTTCCAAAGACATTAAATTGGACATGTAATGCTGAGATCATTATCATCCAATGGACATCTGTCAGACGCTGCTTAATGACCAAGAGAATTGTAATGCCATTTTATTACTCTGTATTGTATCTACTGGAGCTGCGTCTGTCCGATTCCTCCAGTGTGTGTCTCATTCGTTGTCAACAGCGGAGACATTTAACATGGGACAATCCTCACTAGAGCTCAGTTGACCTTCGAAGAGAAACAATATTGTCCCAGTCCTTTTATGGTGAGGTAAGTTCCGTATTGGAAACATTGTGCCCACGGATATTCATTAATATCCCTTGCTACAATATCATATCGTCAGGCTCAAAGGGATATTATTATTTACTAATATCTCTTCGAGCCTGATGATTGTTTGTTGACCCTGGAATATATAGATTATACAATAAACATGTGTTTCTTTTATCTTACCTTATTGTTTTCTGGGGGTAATAATCCCTTCAAAAAAATATTAATTTGGTTACACAATCCACAACTGTTTGTGAGACATTGCTGTGCGCAATTGGCTGCTGCGTTATTCAACAACAACAACAGCAATAACAAAATTACATTTAGAGAGCTTCTTTCACATTGGGAGGACTTCCCAAAGTGCTGAACAGTCAGGTGTCGGGACCCGAGCGTGAGGGAAGGGTGGTGTAGGGCTAAGGGAAGACAGAGAGGTGGGAGGGCGACCAAATGCACGGTCGAAGAGAAGGGTCTTGAGACCAGCCTTCAAGGAGGCAAGGGAGGAAGCGAGGAGAATGGATCGAGGGATGGAGTTCCAGAGTGTGGGGTAAGAGAGGCCAAAATCCCGGCCACCGATGTTGGATGATCTGCAGCCTGTGAAGGGAAGAGTTGGGACGGCCGATGAGGAGGCAGTTTCCAAAATTAAGCCTTGATGTGATGAATGCATGGAAAAGGCAGTCTGATGGGTGAGGCAGTGGCGGAGTATGGCAATGTTGCAGAGGTGGTGATAGGCAGCGGTGGTCCTGGTGTGGATGTGGGGGAGAAAGGACAGTTCAGGATCAAACAAGACACCCAGGTTCGAGGAGGCTGATGCTGCCAGCGCCAGCGCCTGAGGTGCGGAGGAGCTGGCTCGAGCCAATCAGGAGGGCCTCGGTCTTGCTGACGTTGAGTTGGAGAAAGTTATCCCTTGTCCAGGACTTGATGTCGGACAGGCAGTCGGTCAGGACGCCAGTAGTCCTGGAGTTGAGGGGGGAGGCAGAGAGATAGTGTTGGGTGTCATCCGCATACATGTGAAAATTTACCCCATGTCTGCGGATGATGTCACCAAGGGGGAGCATGTAGAGGGTGAAGAGGAGGGGACCGAGGACAGAGCCCTGAGGAAAACCGCACAAGTTGGTGCAGGGGCTGGAGGAGAAGCCGTTTGCTGGGACGACGTGGAGGCGGTGTGAAAGGTAGGACCTGAACCAGTCAAGGACAGAACCTTGAAGGTTGAGGTGGGCCGGTAGCTGGATAGCTGTGATGGGTCAAGAGAAGGTTTCTTGAAGGTGGGGGTGATAATGGCTGTTTTGAGGGAGGAAGGAACAGTGCCAGATGACAGGGAGAGATTGATGATGTTTACGAGTAATGGGGCAAGGAAATAGAGCTGGGATTTAAGGAGAGGGGTGGGGATGGGGTCCAGGGAGCAGGTGGTGGGCATTATGGAGGATATGGTGGTGAAGACAGAGGAGGAGTTGATAGGTTCAAACGTGTGGAAGGAGGGATGGGTAATTGTCGGAGTGTGGGGTGAGGGTAGGGAGGGGTTGGAAGTTGGAGGAGCAGTGGCAGCTGAGCGGATTCCCTCGATTTTGGACTCGAAGAAGTCCAGCATTCTCTTGCTGTGCGAGTCAGAGGAAAGAATCTACTGGTCATGGCTTGGAGGGCGGAGGAGCCGGTTGGTGGTGGAGAACAGGAGCCTGTGGTTGTCCTTCGCCTCCAGGATTAACCTGGAATAGAATGACGATTTGGCTGAGGCGAGAGCGGAGCGGTAGGTTTTGATGAGAGGTTTTCCTATTCAGTCAATTTCCTATTCAGTCAACTCACATAAGAGTATATCATGTGAAGCGCTTTGAGAGGTCTCAATGATGTGATTAGGCATTTTATTATTATTATTACAGATGATTCAACTTGTGAAACATCATTTCATGCAGCCCATTTTGCACACCAGTTTCCCACAAACAGTTATGGATTGAGTGCCCAAATTACTTTTTAAAATGTATTTTTGAGGCATTATTACCCCATGAAAAGCAATGTGCCAATAGACTAACAACCAGGTTCCTACTTACTGCTCGGTAAACAAAGGCATGCGGAGTAACAAAACGTGCCTAACGTTTCGCCCTGCCTGGAAATCGAACCCAGTTCCTCTGGCTCTAACCAATATGCTACAGTAATCCTACAGCACAAAAGTAGCGGTACTCTGTACTCTTCATCTCTGCTCCCGAAGTGTTGTGCAAATATGATATGCATTTATACAGCACCTTTCACATTGGGAGGACATCTCAAAGTGCTTCACATTGCAGGATTGGCAGCTGAGTTGTTTGGGGTGGTGTGGGGTAGGGAAATATGACTGAAAGTATGGTCAAAGAGGTGAGTCTTGAGATTATTTTGAATGTGGGGAGGCAGGCAGCGAGGTGGAGGAACTTCGGAATGGAGTTCCAGAGAGGGCGGGGGAGGAATGGCTGAAAGTTCGCCAGCCTATGGTGGGGCAGGTAGGGTGGAGTTTAATGCCTTGGTTTACGCAATGACTGAATGTTAAATCAATATTAATTTGAGTGGCACCAGTGGGCATTATCACTCCACTCTCCTGCTCTGTTACAGGTAGGGCCATAAACAGTCACGTGTAGGTTAAGGTTCAGGATACTAGAGGCCTTACCTCTCCCATTTTTTACACCTGCTCAAATTGATTGCGGATGTGCAAGCCTCATCCAAAGCACAATACATCTGTAAAATTAAGATTATTCTTAACAATTGAACGTCTGTAAGAGCGAGGAACAAGGAAACTTGGTAAATCCAAGGCAACTATTCGCCTCAAAAATCCTCTACTGATGCCAATGTGAAAGAACTTTAGCCCTTTTAATTTTAAGGTGAGTTACCTAAGAAAATTGTGCCAGTCCACCTCTTTGTTTCATTCCTTTCGAGCCTGATGATATGATGTTCACCCTGAAAGATATAGATCTTACAATAACCGTGTCTTTATTATATCTCACAAGAGATACAAGGTGTGAAACGTGATTTCATGGGCATACTATCTGGCTACCACGTTGCTGAGTCAATTCGCTTTACAGTATATCCAGTGAAGTGTTTTGGGACGTCTCAATGATGTGATGAAGTGCTATATCAAAACCAAGGATTATTATTGTTGTTATTATTATTATTACAGATGATTCAAGGTATAAAACGTCATTTCGTGGCCATATTATCTGCTTTCCACCGAAGGAAGAAATGTAGTTTGCTGGGCGTGCTCGCTGTGTTCCTTTTTTGCTTGCTGTACAGATATGAAAGAGCAACTCACACCCAGTATAAACAGGATGGTTTCCTGTTGGTGCCAGATTCCAGGTGTAATGTCAACCCTCCATTCCTGGTTATTCTTGTGACCAGCGCCACGAACAAGAATGAAGCTCGTGCGGCAATCCGGCAAACCTGGGGCAAAGAAACAACCATTGGCAACAACAGAATCGTCACCTATTTCCTCCTTGGATACAGCGCACATTACCAGCAACAGCTCCTGAATGAGAGTTTGCAACACAATGATATAATCCAGCAGAATTTCACTGATTCCTATTACAACCTGACGACCAAAGTGCTGATGGGAATGGAATGGGTAACTCGGTTCTGTCCATCCTCCTCCTTTGTCATGAAGACAGACACTGACATGTTTGTGAACACCTACTACCTGCAGGAGCTTCTAGCCACAAAGAATCGAAGCGACTTCTTTACTGGGGATGTCAGGTTTAACCGCAGGCCAATAAGGCCGGTGAATAATAAATGGTATATAAGTAAAAGAGATTATCCTCACCCAACGTTTCCGACTTTTTGCTCAGGAACTGGCTATGTTTTCTCAGCTGATGTTGCGAAGAAAGTTTGGGAGGTTTCAGCCCAAGTGCCCAAACTTAAACTGGAGGATATTTACATTGCCTTGTGCCTGGCGAAGCTGAAGGTCGTTCCGGTTGAAATGCACTCAGTGAAAACATTTTACTCCTCAAAGGTAAAATTCTCTATTTGTCGCTATCGGAAACTGGTGACCTCTCATGGACTGAGTCCCTTGGAGATACAGATAGGTTGGGAAGCTACGATGAATTCCACCAGGGAGGAATGTCCTGAAGAGAGGAAAAATTGATGAGCAGCACTTCACAAACAGAATCGTTCTGGCCACAGATGTTATTTTACACTCCCATGATATTGCAGAGCAACATAGCTTCACCTCTTTTTCTTTACACTCTGAAATTTACGTTTATTTATATATATACATTTACATTTATTTGTATTTATATATAATAATAATAATAATAATCCTTGCATTTGATATAGCGCTTTTCATGTCGGGAGGTCGTCCCAAAGCGCTTCACAGAACACACTGTAAAGTGAATTGACTGTATATTTGTGGGCGAACGCCGCAGCCAATTGCACACAGCAATGTCCCACAAACAGTCGTAGATTGAAAATAACCAATTTAATTATTGTTTTTGGTTTTTGGAGGGATTATTATTAGGCGTGTGGAGTAAGGAAACTTGCCCAAGGTTTCGCCCTGCCTGGAATTGAACTCAGGTCTCTCACTTGCAAAACGAGTGCTCTAACCACTGAGCTACAGGACTCCGAAATTTACATGAAATTTACACTCTGAATGGACACAAGTTCAAAATGGGTATTCTCGTGTTGGAAAGAGGTAGCGCACGATACTAGACTCAGGCAAAAATGTATTAACATGAGGTCTGGCGGTGGGTGGAGGTTATGAGACTTTTGTAGGTTTGAATGAGATACTTTAAAAATTAGTCAATGTGATACAAAATAATACAGCTCAGGATTTATAATCTTCAATCCTGGCATTTTGATATAGCACTTTATCACATAGTTGAGACATCTCAAAGCACTTCACAGAATACACTGTAAAGTGAATTGACTGTGTATTGTTGTCCCTTCACACTGCGTAGCATCTCGGAGTGCTGAACTATGGTGTAGTTTGATGTTGAGCTGAAGAGAAAGGGGAGGTGTCCATAGCCACGATTAACGGGGATAGTCTTCAGGTGCGATCTGAAGATGGGCAAAAAGGGGCAAGGAAGATGGAAAATAATAGCTCCACTATAGGCAATAGCAGTGGTCAATATCTTGCTGAAGCCCAGGAGCGTATTCTCCAAAGACTACAGATGGATTTTGATGACACGTTTTGTCTAATAGATAATTACAGATTTTGGGGGAAGTATCTTGATTTTTATCATAACTATTACTGGTGATAATTAACACGTCCTAAGCTGTAGTTTGCACCCTTATAACTACAGTTACTATAACGGCAATATAAATTGTATTCATTCTGTATTTATAATAATAATCCTTGCATTTGATATAGTGCTTTGTCACTTCTTTGAAACGTCTCAAAGCAATTCCCAGAACATGCTGAGGATAGCAAAGCGCATTATAGAGAATGCAGGAGTGATCTTAAAAGAGCGATAAGACAGGCTAAAAGATCGCATGAGAAGAGGTTAGCAGATAACATAAAGGGGAATCCTAAAATATTTTATAAGCACATAAAGGAAAAAAGGTTAGTTAAAGGTAGGGTGGGACCAATCAACAACAATGACGGCAATCTTGTTGTGGAGGCAGAGGGCATGGCTGATGTACTAAACGAGTACTTTGCATCTGTCTTCACAACGGAAACGGATGCCCCAAATGCCACAGTATTGGATGACAGGGTAGAGGACATAGATCAGATTACTATAGATAGAAAGGAAGTTCTGAAAAGATTGACTGGGCTCAAAATTGATAAGTCACCAGGACCAGATGGGTTTCACCCAAGGTTGCTGTGGGAGATACGGGTTCAAATAGCGGAGGCTTTGGCCATTATATTTCAGTCGTCATTGGACACAGGAGTGGTGCCAAGAGACTGGAGAGTGGCTAATGTTACCCCACTCTACAAAAAGGGGCAGAAAGACAAGCCCCGAAATTACAGGCCAGTCAGCCTAACTTCGGTAATAGGAAAGCTACTGGAGACCGTAATCCGGGACAAAATAAATCTCTACTTAGAGGAACACAAGGTAATTAGAGACAGCCAACATGGATTTGTTAAAGGCAAATCTTGCCTAACAAATCTAATAGAATTTTTTGAAGAGGTGACTGCGAGGGTTGATGAGGGAAATGCGGTGGACATTATTTACATGGATTTTAAAAAGGCTTTTGACACAGTACCGCATAAGAGGTTAATAAAAAAACTGGAGGCTCACGGTATTAAGGGGACAGTAGCCATTTGGATTAGGAACTGGCTGAGTGACAGAATGCAGAGGGTGGTGGTTAATGGGTGTTTCTCGCAATGGAAGGAAGTGTGCAGCGGTGTCCCCAAAGGATCGGTATTGGGACCACTGCTCTTTCTAATATATATTAATGATCTGGACTTGGGCAAAGGGAGCACTATTTCCAAGTATGCAGATGGTACCAAGTTCGGTAGGGTAGTAAATAGTGAAGAAGATTGTGACGGACTGCAGGCAGACATACACAGAATGGTGGAATGGGCTGACATGTGGCAGATGGATTTCAATGTAGATAAGTGCGAGGTGATACACTTAGGTAGGAAAAATGATAGGAGGCAATATAGGCTTGGTAGCTCAATTTTAAGGGGGGTGAACGTACAGAGAGATCTGGGCGTTCAAGTAAGCGATTCATTGAAGGTGGCAGAGCAGGTAGATAGGGCAGTAAAAAGGGCATTTGGTGTACTGAGCTTCATTAGTAGGGGCATAGAGTATAAGAGTAGGGAGGTTATGCTTAATCTGTACAAAATACTGGTTAGGCCTCAGCTGGAGTACTGCGTCCAGTTCTGGGCACCTTACCTCAGGAAGGATATTAAGGCACTGGAAAGGGTGCAGAGGAGATTCACGAGAATGATACCAGGAATGGGGAAGCTTAGCTATGAGGACAGGCTGGAAAAGTTAGGACTTTTCCCATTAGAGCAGAGAAGGTTACGCGGGACCTGATAGAGGTCTTCAAGATCATGAAAGGTTTCGACAGGCGAGATAGGAAAAAGCTGTTTCTGCTGGTAAGTGTGTCTGTGACTCGTGGTCACAGTCTTAAGATATCTTCCAAAAGAAGCAGAGGGGAGGTTAGAAGAAATTTTTTCACTCAGCGAGTTGTTAGAATTTGGAATGATCTGCCCGAAAGGGCAGTGAAGTCCGATTCGATAACAGCTTTTAAGAGAGAACTGGATAGGTATCTGGGGAAGACAGCTTTGCAGGGTTATGGGGAGAAAGCTGGTGAGAGTGGGGTTAATAAAAATCAGTTGCTCTGTCAAAGAGCCGGCACAGACTCGATGGGCCGAATGGCCTCCTTCTGTGCCGCAACATTCTATGATTCTATGATTCTATGATTAAAGTGGATTGACAGTTTATTAGACATCAAGAGAATTCATTAAAATACCCACTGAATATTTTATATAAATTTCAGACACCAAAGAATACCCAGACCATGATGTTAAAGTTTTTCATTTAATGTATAGTAAACAGCACAATCATTGCCAATTTCAACTGTGATAGAACAAAACTGTTAATAATAATACAGCATTTGATATAGCGCTGTCGTTGAGACATCTCAAATGCTTCACAGGATATACTGTAAAGTGGATTGACTGAGTATTTTGTGGGCAAAACACGACTGCCAATTGCGCACACTGTCATCATAGATTGAGTGACCAAATTATTTTCTTGGAGTGGGATTATTATTGTTTCCAGCTCAGATATCTGGGATAAATGGCTTATCAATGAAGAATGAGATCAAATGGGCTGAAGGGCCTTCTTCATTTGAAACCATCTTGTGACCTTGTGATCTCATTCTTGTAATCTCTACCTGAGACCTTGTGATTTCATGACTTTGTGATCTTAAAGGACATTTTCAATTTCATCTAAAACCTAAATAAAAATGCTCTGCACTGAAATGCCAAATTGTGGAATGTTCATTCCTTTTTTTTACCCGGAGAAACTAGACGATCAAAGCCAGAAGACTTGTTGAATGAATCTCTCTTTAGTTAATAATAACCCTTGGATTTGATATAGCAGCTTATCATGTCATTGAGATGGCTCAAAGCACTTCACAGCACTCCATTTGGAGGATTGTTGGTTGGACCACCGAGACAAACTCCCTTCGCTTTCGCCTGAACAAGCAGACAGGAGCTCGGTTTAATGCCTCATGCAAAGGACGACACCTCCGACAGTGCAACATGCTCCTAGCACTGCTTTGGAGTGTCACCTTAGACCATATGATCCCCAATTCCCAGTATAGGGCTGGAACCCACAACCTTCTGTCTGAGAGGTGAGTGTGCCAAGCTGAGGCCCAATGTTGGTTAATTGGAATAACAAGAATAACCTGTTTAGTTCAGTGGGCACAATGGACCAGGTTAGACTAAGATGGTTGTGCAGAATGATACTGGGCCCACCTAGCTGTCTGATTTCTGTGAGGGGAGAATTAGAAAGGAATCCTCCCTCTTCACAATCGCTATCCATTGTCATTAACAAGGGCCTACCTGCCCATTCCCATTGAAGCCATTGCTGGGGCTCAGCAGCTTTGTGGCTCTTGAGTGACTGTTTCCACAGCTGAGCGGGTTTATGTGAGCTCTGTGCCTCCCTCCCTATGAGATACCCAATGTGTTGCCACCTTGACGTCAGCAAAATAAATGAACCAGTGCAAACCCCATCAGTGTTCCCATATGGCCGACATTGTAGTTTGACTCATATCTTTAGAGACATGGATGATGTAGATTGTAAAACAGGATGACAGAGGTTTGAAATTAAGAAACCTAATCCACAAATGATTTGCAAATACTCTGCAAATCCTATCCACATTATCTACCTGATGCCATTCTGCTTCCAAGGACATTATATTGTACCTGTAATGCTGAGATCATTATCATCCAATGGAAATCTGTCAGACATTGCTTAATGACCAAGAGAATTATAATCCCATTTTATTACTCTGTATTGTATCTACTGGAGCTGCCTCTGTCAGATTCCTCCAGTGTTTGTTTCATTCATTCTCGACAGCGGAGTCGTTTAACATGGGACATTCCTCACCGGAGCTCAGTTGACTTTCGTAGAAATAAACATTGCCGCTCAAATTTCCTTCTTACGAACACTATGCCAATGGCTAATCATTAATATCCCTTGATACAGAAAATCATCAGGCTCGAAGGCATATTATTCTCTTTTCCTCTTGATTGTTCCTTTTTTGCTTGCTGTACAGATATGAAAGACAAACACACGCCCAGTATAAACAGGACGGTTTCCTGTGGTTGCCAGATTCCAATGTCAACGCTTCTTTCCTGGTTATTCTTGTGACCAGAGCCATGAACAAGGGCAAAACTTATGCAGCAATCCAGCAGACCTGGGGCAGAGAAGCAACGATAGGCAACAACAGAATCATCACCTATTTCCTCCTTAGTTACGGTGCACATTACCAGCAACAGCTGAATTTGCAACACAATCTTTAGCGTCCACCTGAACAGAGAGACGGATCCTCAGTATAACATCTCTACTGAACATCTGCACCTCTGATAATGCAACGTTCCACCCACCACTGCACTGGAGTGTCAGTCTAGACTGTGAAACCAAAGCCTTGACGTGAGTGTAACCCCATCCAACCAGGCAGGAGTGCTGTTAAGTTTGGTACCTTTGCTTTACATGGATACACATTGGTCCATCGCATTCCAAATCACTTCCTTGAATTAGCTCCATAGTTCCTCTGCTCTTTTAACCATGTTTAAAACTGCCAGACCCACTCTGACAAGGTTTCTCCATGCCATTAAATTGGTCTTTTTAAAACTTGGCAATTTTGTTTGTGCATTTATACCTCATCAATCCTTCTAATTCTTAATGTGATAACATTATGATCACTATTACTAGATGCCTCACCCACCTTTGTGTTGGAGAAATGATTGTTCCTATTACTCATAACCAGAACTAATATGTGATCCAACGTCCAATTAAAATGGCTGCCCAGAATGATACTGGGCCCACTGAGTTGTCTGATTTCTGTCAGGGAAGAATCAGAAAGGAATCCTCCCTCTTCACGATCGCTATACATTATCATTAACAAGCACCTGTCTGCCCATTCCCATTGAAACCATTGCTGGGACTCAGCAGCTTTGTGGCCCTTGAGTGATTGTTTCCCAAAGCGCAGATCCATTGCTCCACAGCTGAGTGGGTTTATGTGAGCTCTGTGCCTCCCTCTCCATGGGATACCCGATATGTTGCCACTGTGACGTCAGCAAAATAAATGAACCAACGCAAACCCCATCAGTGTTCACATATGGCTGACATTGCAGTTTGACTCATATCTTTAGAGACCTGGATGATGTAGATTGTAAAACAAGACGACAGAGGTTGAAAATTCAGAAACCCAAAACACAAATGATTTGCAAATATTCTGCAAATCTTATCTTCACCTAATCTACCTGACGCTATTTGTTTTCAAAGATGTTAAATTGTACCTGTAATGCTGAGATCATTATCATCCAATGGAAATCTGTCAGATGCTGCTTAATGCCAAGAGAAATGTAATCCCATTTTATTACTCTAATGTATCTACAGTAGATTCTGTCAGATTCCTCCAGTGTGTGTCTCATTCGTTCTTGACAGTAGAGGAGTTTAACGTGGGACATTCCTCACCGGAGCTCAGTTGACCTGCGAAGAGAAACAACATTTTCCCAGTCCTTTTATTGTGAGGTAATTTCCTTATTACAAACATTGTGCCAACGGCTAGTCATCAATATCCCTTGGTACAATATCATATCATCAGGCTCGAAGGTATATTATTATTCATTAATATCACTTCGAGCCTGATGATATGATGTTCATCCTGGAATATATAAATTGTACAATAATCATGTCTTTCTTTTATCTTTCCTTATTGTTTTTCGAGGGTAATAATCTCTTCAAAAAAAAATATTTATTTGTTTTCTCAATCCACAACTCTTTGTGAGACACTGCTGTGCGCAATTGTCTGCTGCATGATTCAATCAATCCATTTTAGAGTATATTTTATGAAGTGCTTTGATGTATCTCAATGATGTGATTAGGCTGTATATATTATTATTATTATTACAGATGATTCAACATATGAACCATCATATCATGGCCATATTATCTGCTTTCCACCGAAGGAAGAAACGTAGTTTGTTGGGCGTGCTCGCTGTGTTCCTTTTTTGCTTGCTGTACAGATATGAAAGAGCAACTCACACCCAGTATAAACAGGATGGTTTCCTGTTGGTGCCAGATTCCAGGTGTAATGTCAACCCTCCATTCCTGGTTATTCTTGTGACCAGCGCCACGAACAAGAATGAAGCTCGTGCGGCAATCCGGCAAACCTGGGGCAAAGAAACAACCATTGGCAACAACAGAATCGTCACCTATTTCCTCCTTGGATACAGCGCACATTACCAGCAACAGCTCCTGAATGAGAGTTTGCAACACAATGATATAATCCAGCAGAATTTCACTGATTCCTATTACAACCTGACGACCAAAGTGCTGATGGGAATGGAATGGGTAACTCGGTTCTGTCCATCCTCCTCCTTTGTCATGAAGACAGACACTGACATGTTTGTGAACACCTACTACCTGCAGGAGCTTCTAGCCACAAAGAATCGAAGCGACTTCTTTACTGGGGAAGTCAGGTTTAAAGAAACACCAATAAGGCGTGCCAATAATAAATGGTATATAAGTAAAAGAGATTATCCTCACCCAACGTTTCCGACTTTTTGCTCAGGAACTGGCTATGTTTTCTCAGCTGATGTTGCGAAGAAAGTTTGGGAGGTTTCAGCCCAAGTGCCCAAACTTAAACTGGAGGATATTTACATTGCCTTGTGCCTGGCGAAGCTGAAGGTCGTTCCGGTTGAAATGCACTCAGTGAAAACATTTTACTCCTCAAAGGTAAAATTCTCTATTTGTCGCTATCGGAAACTGGTGACCTCTCATGGACTGAGTCCCTTGGAGATACAGATAGGTTGGGAAGCTACGATGAATTCCACCAGGGAGGAATGTCCTGAAGAGAGGAAAAATTGATGAGCAGCACTTCACAAACAGAATCGTTCTGGCCACAGATGTTATTTTACACTTCCATGATATTGCAGAGCAACATGGCTTCACCTATTTTTCTTCACAACAGGTCATGAAATTTACACTCTGAATGGACAGAAGTTCAAAACAGGTCCAAGATCAGTTCAGACAACAATCGCCCAAACACTGCTGTTGTAACATTTGGTTGTCAAGAGGCTGAGTATTCTCGTGTGATGTTACGCTGATGTCTTTCCGAGTTCAGAGCAAATATGGGCCAAACAATCAATGTTGGAAAGATGTAGCGCACGATACTAGACTCAGGCAAAAATATATTGACATGAAATCTGGGGGTGTGTGGAGGCTATGAGACTTTTGTAGGTTTGAATGAGATACTTGCTGAAGCCCGGGAGAGTGTTCTCCAAAAACTACAGATGGATTTTGATGACGTGTTTTGTCTAATAGATAATTACAGATTTGGGGGGAAATATCTTTATTTTTATCATAATTATTACTGGTGATAATTAACAAGTCCTAAGCTGTATTTTACCCCCCTATAACTACAGTTACTATAATGGCAATATAAATTGTATGCATTCTGTATTTATAATAATAATCATTGCATTTGATAAAGCGCTTTGTCACTTCTTCGAGATGTCTCAAAGCATTTCACAGGATATACTGTAAAGTCGATTGACAGTCTATTAGACATCAAGCTGTAAAGGTTGATACATTTCAAACGAGATCTACACAACACGGTCTAAGAACATCCTGCTTAATGTTTAATCATTGAGGGACTTGCAAAATGTCAGGGGCATAACTTGCGTCACTTAGATCAGATATGAGACTTATTGAGGCAATCAAGAGGAAAAGAGAATTCATTAAAATACCCATTGAATAGTTTATATAAACTTCAGACACCAAAAAAATGCCCAGACCATGATGTTAAAGTTTTTCATTTATTGTATAGTAAACAGCACAAACATTGCCAATTTCAACTGTGATAGAACAAAACTGTTAACAACAATACAACATTTGATATAGCGCTGTTGTTGAGACATCTCAAACGCTTCACAGGATATGCTGTAAAGTGGATTGACTGAGTATTTTGTGGGTAAAACATGACTACTAATTGTTCACAGCTGTGTCGCACAAACCATCATAGATTGAGTGACCAAATTATTTTTTGGGAGTGGGATTATTATTGTTTCCAGCTCTGATATCTGGGACAAACAGCTTATCAATGAAGAATAAGATCAAATGGGCTGAAGGGCCTTCTTTATTTGAACCTTATGACTTTGTGATCTCCTTCTTGTGATCTCTACTTGTAATTTTGTGATTTCATGACCTTTTGGTCTTAAAGGACATTTTCAATTTCATTTAAAAAGTAAATAAAAATGCTCTGCACTGAAATGCCAATTTGTTGAACATTCATTCCTTTTTATTTACCATCTAGACGATCAAAGCCAACAGACTTGTTGAAAGAATCTCTTTTTAGTGAATAATAATCCTTGGATTTGATATAGCAGCTTATCATGTCATTGATATGTCTCAAAGCATTTCACAGCATATACTATCAAGCTGTTTGACTGTGTATTTTGTGAGCAAAATGTAGCAGCCAAATGTGCACAGTCGTGCCCCACAGACAGCCGTGGAGTGAATGACCACTCCATTTGGGGGATTTTTGTCCAGAATACTAAGAGAAATGCCCTTCTCTTTCGCCTGAACGTTTAATGTCCCAGTGCAAAGGACGGCACCTCTGACAATGAAACACACTCCCAGCACTGCATTGGAGTGTCACCTGAGACCATATGATCCCCAATATAGGGCTGGAACCCACAACCCTCTCTCTGAGAGGCGAGTGTGCCAAGCTGAGACACAATGTTAGTTAATTGGTGGCAAACAAAACCACCTGTTTAGTCCAGTAAGCACAATGGACCAATGTAGACTAAGACAGTTGCCCATAATGATATTGGGCCCACTTAATAATCTGATTCCTCTCAGGGGAGATTCAGACATGAATCCTTCCTCCTCACGATTGCTATCCATTGTCATTAACAGGCTGCCCATTCCCATTGAAGCCAATGCTGGGGCTCAGCATCTTTGTTGTGGCCCTTGAGTGACTGTTTCCCAAAGTGCAGGGCCATTGCTCCACAGCTGAGCGGGTTTATGTGAACTCTATGCCTCCCTCCCCACGGTATACCCAAAGTGTTGCCTTATAATAAGTCAGCAAAAAACTAAACTAGTGCAAACCCCATCAACATTTATATCGTAGTTTGACGCATATCTTTAGAGACCTGGATGATGTAGAATGTAAAACAAGATGACAGATGTTTGAAATTCAGAAATCCAATCCACAAATGATTTACAAATATTCTGCAAATCTTATCTTCACATTATCTACCTGACGCCATTCTGCTTCCAAAGACATTAAATTATACCTGTAATGCTGAGATCATTATCATCCAATGGAAATCTGTCAGACGCTGCTTAATGACCAAGAGAATTGTAATCCCATTTTATTACTCTGTATTGTATTTACTGGAGCTGCCTCTGTCAGATTCCTCCAGTGTGTGTCTCATTCGTTCTCGACAGTGGAGGAGTTTAACGTGGGACAATCCTCACCGGAGCTCAGTTGACCTTCGAAGAGAAACAACATTGTTCCAGTCCTTTTATGGTGAGGTAATTTCCTTATTACGAATATTGTGCCAATGGCTGTTCATTAATATCCCTTGGCACAATATCATATCATCAGGCTCGAGTTATATTATTATTCATTAATATCCCTTCGCGCCTGATGATATGATGTTCATCCTGGAATATATAGATTGTACAATAATCGTGTCTTTTCACCTTAGAGTAAATCCTTTGAAGTACTTTGAGATGGCTCAATGATGTGATTAGGCGCTATGTCAAATGCAAGGATTATTATCCTTATTATTATTATTACAGATGATACAAAGTGTGAAACATCATTTCATGGCCATATTATCTGCTTTCCACCGAAGGAAGAAACGTAGTTTGCTGGGCGTGCTCGCTTTGTTCCTTTTTTGCTTGCTGTACAGCTATGAAAGAGCAACTCACACCCAGTATAAACAGGATGGTTTCCTGTTGGTGCCAGATTCCAGGTGTCATGTCAACCCTCCATTCCTGGTTATTCTTGTGACCAGCGCCATGAACAAGAATAAAGCTCGTGCGGCAATCCGGCAAACCTGGGGCAAAGAAACAACCATTGGCAACAACAGAATCGTCACCTATTTCCTCCTTGGGTACAGTGCCCATTACCAGCAACAGCTCCTGGACGAGAGTTTGCAACACAATGATATAATCCAGCAGAATTTCACTGATTCCTATTACAACCTGACAACCAAAGTGCTGATGGGAATGGAATGGGTAACTCGGTTCTGTCCATCCGCTTCCTTTGTCATGAAGACAGACGCTGACATGTTTGTGAATATCTACTACCTGCAGGAGCTTCTAGCCACAAAGAATCGAAACAACTTCTTCACTGGGGAGGTCAGGTTTAACCGCAGTCCCATGAGGAGGCAAAATAGCCAGTGGTATGTAAAAGAAGAGGAATATCCGCACCCAACGTATCCGCCCTTTTCCTCAGGAGGTGGCTATGTTCTCTCATCTGACATTGCAAAGAAAATTTGGGACATTTCAGCTCAAGTTGCCAAATTTAAACTGGAGGATGTATACATTGGGATGTGCTTGGTGGAACTGAAGATCATTCCGGTAGATATGTGCTTGAGAAAAGTATTTTTTACCAGAAAGGTAAAGTTCCATGTCTGTCGCTTTCGGAAACTGGTAACCTCTCACCGACACAGCCCCGAGGAGTTACTGTTGTTTTGGAAAGCTCTGATGAATTCTACCAGGAACGACTGCCCAACTGAGAGGAAAAATTCATATTGATCAGGAACATCGTGCTAATAAACCTTTTCTCGCTGCACATGTTATTCTATTCCCCATGTTATTAATTCACTGCGGAACATATTTTTGTTTGCAACAGGATATAACATTTACCTGATGCATACAATGGGCTAGCAAAACACACAGTCATTGCACCTTATCACAAGATCACAAGATCAGTTCGGACGAGGAAGACGCCTCGGCCCATCCGATCTCATCATTACAGAACACCACCCAACTGTATGCAAAGTATGAGTGAAATTTGCATAGATTATTGACTCTTGAATGAGACTTGGGTAGATGTATGACCTAGATTCTAGGCGATTGTACAATTTATACAGATCCTGTACAACAGGATACAGACTTATGCAAGTTCTACAACAACAACAACAACAACAAAATTACATTTATAGAGTGCCTTTCATGTCGGGAGAATGTCCCAAAGCTCTGAACAGTCAGGTGTTAGGGCCCGAGCATGGGAGAGGGGTGGTGTAGGGGTGAGGGAAGGCAGAGAGGTGGGAGGGAGACCAAAGGCACGGTTGAAGAGAAAGGTCTTGAGACCGACCTTGAAGGAGGCAAGGGAGGAAGCGATGCGAAGGGATCGTGGGATGGAGTTCCAGAGTGCGGGTCAGAGAGGCTGAAAGCCCGGCCACCGATGGTAGGGCAGGTCAGCCGGGAGACATGGAGCAGGCCGGAGCCTGATGAACGGAGGGAGCGGGCAGGCTCGTAGGGAGTCAGCAGGTCAGAGAGGTAGGAGGGGGCAAGGCCATGGATGGCCTTAAAGGTGAGGATGAGGATATTGAGCTCGATCTTCTGGGGGATGGGGAGCCAGTGGAGTCGGGCGAGGGTGGGAGTGATGAGGGTCACGGAGCCTTGTGCGTGAGAGTACACAAGCTGCCCAACTGAGAGGAAAAATTCATATTGATCAGGAACACCGTGCTAATAAACCTTTTCTCGCTGCACATGTTATTCTATTCCCTATGTTATTAATTCACTGCGGAACATATTTTTGTTTGCAACAGGATATAACATTTACCTGATGCATACAATGGGCTAGCAAAACACACAGTCATTGCACCTTTTCACAAGATCACAAGATCAGTTCGGACGAGGAAGACCCTTCGGCCCATCCGATTTCATCATTACAGAACACCACCCAACTGTCCGCCCAACAACAGCATCATTATTTTGTTCATTGTTAGGGCTATTAAATTATGTGCATTTTAATTCACTTAATTATTTCTTACATTTTCATTGTTTACTCTAGATTTAATGATTGTTCTTGCATATACAGGTATGTACCTAATAGATAAAAGTGCACTGTTGTTTTAAAATTTGACATAGGAGGATGGGGCTGGGGGAAGGTGACCCAAAGATATATCTTAAGGAGGACTTTAAAAGTGGGGAGAGAGGGAGTATGTTAGAGGAATTCTGGAATGGAATTCCAGAGAGCAGGGCAGAAGGGTTAAAGCTCTACCATTGATGTGGAGGGCAGGAGATATAAAACAACTGAATGGCGAGGGCAGTAGGGTTGAAGGAGGTCACAATGGAAGCTGCGGAGAGGCCAGGGAGAGATTTCATTGTATGGATGTGGATTTTCAATTTGATCTGCTTGGGGGATGGGGAGCTGGATTGGATTCAGACAAGGATGGAGATGATAGACTCGCGGAGCCTGTAGTGGTAGAGGACTTGAGCTTCAGCATCCTGTATGGTCTGCAGTTTGTATAAGGAGGAGTTGAGGAGTCCGGCCAGCAGGGTGTTGGAATAATCAAACCTGAATGTGATAAAAGAGGGGGTGAGGGTCTCAGTTGCCTTAAGAGAGAGGTACAAGAGTTAGTTTTTCTGTTATTGTATTCAGGGAGGGTGTAACTATAACATGAACATTATTTGCATGCACCAAACCGCACCCCACCTCACCCCACCACAGTTGCCTTGATTAAATATACAGTTGTAAAGTTTGATATATGTGAAATAAGATCAATACGAAAGGGCTAAGAACATCCTGCTTGATGTTTGCACAATGAGTGAATTGCAAAAGGTGAGGTGACTGGCTACCTCTCTCCCCTCTTTTGAGGCATATCTGAAAATAAAACAAAGAAAACCTAACTGACAAAACGTAACGCACTTTAAGTCATCTTTCCCCTCCGCATCCCCCAGCCCTCTCGGTTCCCTCCCCCAGCTTGGATTCCCAGTCCAGCATTGTGAATGACCTTTGTTCTTGCAACCTGAAAGGTGCTGTATAAATATATGTCATATAAATATAACATGTGTCACTTGGATTAGATGTGAGATTTACTGAGGCAATCCAGAAAAATCCATTTAATAGTTTAGATAAACTTCAGATAAGCAATGCCCAGAGCATGATGTTAATGTTCGTCATTTAGTATGTGATAAACCTTACAATCGTCGTCGATTAAAACTGCTAGAAACAAAACTTTTCCCAACTCAGATACCTGGGCTAAGTGGCTTTTAATGGAGGTTTTCAATGTCCTCTGAACAAAACTGAATAAAATGCTCTGCATTGAAATGCCAATTTGTGTGACATTTACCATTTACTCTGTTTTACCAGAGAAATTGGATGATCAGACAGAAAAAGATAATTAATCTCTCTTTCGTTGTTCAAAGGTAAAGGGTAAAGGTTCAAAATTAAGAAACCTAATATATCACTGACACAATCTGCAGCTATTATCTTCAGATTCCATTACTGCTGACATTATACCCCTTCCAAGGTCAATAAACTGTAACTGTAAAACTGAGATCATCAAGAAGTGGAAAAAAGGTAAATCTATTTATTACTTACTCTTGGTTGTAAGCACATGCATCTAAGATTACTATAAATTGGTGTTAACTCTTCGCTGCTCAGAGATCTTGGGTAAAACCACAAATGTTCCGGATTCCTCATTACTCTCCAGTTATCACTCTGTGAAAGATACATTTGTAGCTTCCGAAGGGGTTGCTTTGATAGCCATCAAGATCATACTTTGGAGGCTGTCCCAATTTTTAAAGATTATTGAAATGATTTTCATCAAGATAGTATTAATGGTTCTGTTAGCTCTTTCTTCCTGTCCGGACAGGTGATGGGGAATATGAATTTTCTGTTTGATGTCCAAATCCTGCAATCAGAACTTCATCACTTGTTCACCCGCAAGTTTTTCGCTGCACATGTTATTTTATCCCCCATGTTATTAATTCACTGCGGAACATATTTTTGGTTGCAAAAGATATAACATTTACTGATACATACAATGGGCTAGCAAAACACACAGTCATTGGACTTTATCACAAGATCACAAGATCAGTTAGGACGAGGAAGACCCTTCGGCCCATTCGATCTCATCATTCCAGAACATCCACCCAACTGTCCGCTCAACAACACCATCAAGCTCCAGTTTCCTAGCCTCAACCTCCTTATCTGGCAGCTTGTTCCAGCCGTTGATTGTCCACTGAGTAATGAACAATTAACTTCCTAGTACCTGTCTAGCCCCACACCAGAATTTGAGCTAATCATCTACGCTGAAGCTCCAGTAAGGTACATGATGGAGCAGTAAATTGTTTTAGTTGCCTCCGTTGGGTGATAGTTTCAACTAATTTCCTATTCCCCTGTTCTATTAAGGCATCCTCCCAACTTGAAAAGCACTATATAAATGTAACTTGTATTGCATAACGTGATACAGTGCAGCTTCAATGTTATATGATACTCTAAAGTATGGTGATGGGTTTCCATACGTGTCAGTAGCTGGATATCAAAACAAATCTATACTTTACAGGAGGGTGGTCCAACTGGCAGCCAGTGGGTCTCATCCGGCCTGGGGGATGATTTAATCCGGCCCGCGAATTATGGCCGGCTTCAGGGTTTTATCTCCCGGCTGTGCTTCTCTTCCAGTCGGTCACCGGGTGATGGGAAGAGGGGAGGAATGGGAGTGTAGTAAATCTCACATGAGTCGTATCAGTGGGACCATACATTCCAATGCAGGGCATTGGAATAATCAAACTTGGATGTGATAAAAGGTTGGGTGAGGGTTTCAGTTGCCTGAAGAGAGAGGTACAAGAGAGATAGTTTTTCTGTTGTTGTATTCAGGGTTTTTCTGTTATTGTATTCATGTAACTATAACACAAATATTATTTGCTTGCACCAAAAAAAACACAGTTGCCTTGCTTAGACATACAGCTGTAAAGTTTGATATATGTGAAACAAAATCAATATAAAAGGGCTAAAAACATCCTGCGAAGAGGGTCTTGAGATGGGTCTTGAAAGAGACAAGGGAGGGGCGAGGCAGAGGGACTGTGGGATGAAGTTTCAGAGGGTGGGTGCAGAATGGCAGTTTGTGGAACGGGCGAGGATTATAATTATAAATGCGTCTCTTGATCCAATTCAATCCACGTAGTGAATGTCTGCTCCATTCTGAAGCTAGTGGTGCTCCGCCTGGTATTGTTTCTCATTGGGGAAACCTTCGCCTACTTCTCAAGCAACTCGGTAATCACCAGGATATATTTATTTCCCTTTCCCATAGTGGAAAGCGGATCCATAAAGTCTCTCTGTAATCAGACTTTGGTTAACTACTTCTCTGTGGCAGCAGGGGGCATTATTTCTGCTTACTTTCAGATTGTTCTCGGCACATGTTAAACAAGTGTCACAAAAAGAACTGCAGTCGTTTGTGAGTGGCTGCTTTCTTCTTTTATCCCCACCTACTCCCCATCGCCAGTCGATCCCAAGCGGTTTGCATAATAAAACTGTAAATGTAACTTACCTGCCTTATAAGGGATTTTTAACTCTGCTTTTTGTAAAGCGAATGAGCCAGCCCTTTCTGCTGTTTACTTTATAAAACCCGAGCTGCTGCCATGTAAGCTTGTGCCTCTATCTATTGCTCACAGGCAGTCCACTGTGAATAGAGCTGCATAAATGTGTGTAGAGTGGGTTAATTAGGAACCCATGAACAGAAGAACCAAAGTCAGTTGTATTTTGCATTATTAAGCTCATTTAATTAAGTAATAAGGCAGAAAGACATATACTTTTGCATCAGATCAATAAGCATAGTTACAGAAGACAGAGTTACAGAAAGTTGATAATAGCAAGCATTGAATCGAAGGAACTAGCAGTTGTGTTGCCACTGTATTCTCGTATCGTTGCAGTTCTTCTGGTCTTCTGTTTTGCTTTTTTTTCCGACGTTACTG